AAAACAAGAAAGAGGAGAGAAAGAGAGAGAGGGAGTTTGGAAATAGTAGGAGCTTGAGTTGTATTGTATGCATATGTATATATATATATATATATAGTCGCAAGGGGTTGCTTACGTCTGCTTGCGTGGATAATAGAATCTTGAACGAAGTCATATAAAATACGGGTGAAGGGAACCAAGCGGCGAAACTTCCCTGGTCGTTACCCCGTAAAAGAACCTGGCCCACTGTGGCAGAAGTTAAGGACACCAGTGAAGATCTTAAGTTTGTGGGATCCATCTGAATAGATCTGGGATCGTTGGATGGAATATGTTTCTCCATCACGTTCAAATTCGTAAGTCATACTAAACGGACGAGCCGTTAATTAAATAGTTCCACGGCTGGTCCGACACGGCTCCTTTGGTAACTAGAGTTGTCATACTAAAGTTGTCAAATGACTCTATCCGAGAGTGACGTCACAGAGAGAGAGAGAGAGAGAGAGAGAGAGAGAGAGAGAGAGAGAGAGAGAGGAATTCGGCTAGGGTTTTTGGAACTAGCTCATGTGTTTTGTGTAGTCATGTATTTATAGTCTTCTTGTTTGGCTAAGGTTTGAAAAATAATCCTTATTTAATTAGGATTATTCTTAGCCAAAAAGATTATAGGAATTCATCAGAGAGATTTTCGGGAAATTGGTTCCTTGAGATTTAGGGAGATACTTCTATCTTAAATCAAAGATAATTTCTTAATTAAATATGATTTAATTGGACTAATTAGTTAACCTAAAGAATACCCCATTTTTTTACGTGTCATCTTCTTATTGGCTGTCGAAATATATTTTCCCACAAGCTTACTATTTTTTCACCTCTATTGAAGTTATCCTAAACTGGGCCAGTTTGGCATTGTTGTGCTGTGAAAATAATCGCTCTCAGATTTGCTGTGAGAGAAAGCAGTTTGGCATTTTGGTAAACTTTTTGTTAAAAGTGTTGTTGATACTATTTTCCGAATAATCAGAAAATGATTCCCGCATAATCATTAAACCCAGCGCCTCTTCAAAACTGATTCCTGCATAATCAAAAAATGAAAGCACCTTATTAGCTGTTTTCCCTTATAGCTTTCTCTCATAGTAATTTTTAACAATAAGTGATTTTCTCATAGTTTACCAAACAAGCTGGGCTTCCCAAAATTTTTAAAAAAATCACTTATCACCCCAAATAAGTAATACTAAACGGGCACATTTGATAACAAATTTAACCAAGAAAGAGGAAAAGAGGTTAGAAGAAAGCGGAATGAAAGATAGGGATACTATGAAGGAAAAATTGATTAGAGCCCTCAAAAGAAAAGTAACCAATGATGAGAGAAGAAAATCATATGATGTCCTTCAGTTTCAGAGATGGACGAGAGAGAAGATGAGGAAAGTGATAAACTCTATAGCTATGGGTTGGAATTAAAACGAGTAAAAAAAGAGTTGATGGATTTAAGTTTTAAAATATTGGCAGTTGTTTGATTTAATTTAATATAAAATGACCTCAGTTTTAGGTTTTGAGGTGAGTCGCAGGACTCTGTTTTAGTAATTCCAACAGACTAATTAAACTGTCTATTCAACAAGTTGCAACTTGCAAGGGAGCAGATTACCATCAAGTTCAAGTGCCTTTTTGTTTACTAAGTCTGTTGATGCATCAAATTAAATCATTTTATCCTAAAAAGGAAATGTGTTGCTGGGCTTGGAAATTATACAATCTTTTTGATCGCCATGTGAACACACACTGAGCAACCATGCCGCAATCTTAATTTTCTTGGTAGCTTCAGTCTTCAGACTACCCACCTCTGGAAACCAAGACCTAGCCAATACTGTACATGCAACTGTGTGTAATATGATAACTTTTAGAAAACCGAAGGGCCAACCCTCCAATCGACTCCCAAATACACGTAAATTCAAATATAATATGATCATATTCACATGTACATGCATGGTGCCGTATTATCATCTTTAAAATTTGTTTGTTGACTAGCTTTAAAAAAGCTTAAGCTAAGCGTGTTAGTTGATTTGATTTGACTCTCAAGTCTCGACCTATGTTCATTCATGGTGCCGTACTATCATCTTGAAAAACTCCAACTTGGCGCATATATATATATATATATATATATATATTTAATGGGACAGTGGAAAGCGTGTTTGGATCACCATATATCGATCCATCGTTGTGAAATATGTATTTGATTCTTTACAAGTTAAGGGGTTGTTTGAAATGCATTCCAATTATCAGAATTTGGTATTTGGAATCTCCTAATTTGAACATGGCTGCTCAATTCTTGTATCCATTCCAAGCCTTGGAAATCTATATTCAAAAAAATTTATCCTAATTTCAAAACAATCACCAAAATACTATGAACTCCACTAGGGTAAGTGTGGTGTGAAGATCCGTATTTTAAAAAATATATAAATATATATTGGTTATATTTATATGAGTAATTATCTTGGTACATATATGTAAATATTGTTGTTATAATTTTATACTAATTATTATGAATACTATTATAATAGTACTTATATATGTCTATGTTTATGATGCATGTGTCGTTCACCTCTTGCATGAGAATAGTATTGGTAAAAATCTAAAAGACTAGGGGGAATGAATCTTAGATAGAGTTGAATGTTTAGTATATCTTTTAAACAACAAGTGGCAATTTGCTATTTCACTTTGCTTTACAAGTGTCATTATTTATCATGACTAATCCTTTTGTAAGCATGAGCTGGTGAAAACTTGGAGCAAAAGTCTTATCTATTAAGCCACATATCCCTTCACCAATTAAAATCAACTAGTTGCCACCTTTTAGCTACTATAAATAGGAATAATTTGCTTTGATTGTTTTACATGGTAGTGCTTGATAGAACAAGAAAGTAACAGAGAGAAAGAGTGTTAGTAGAACAAGAGAGACTTTGGAGGAACTCAAGGTGTTGGATTGTAGAGTTATATCTTACGTTGTAAAAACATTGGAATCAAGGTATAGGGGTTTCTTGGGAGACTTTACAGGGATTGATCTAATTAAATTTCGTGAGCACTATATTATGCGTGGTATTATAACTTAATGGATGTTCTTGATATTATAATATTCTTGATATTGAGTGTTTACGTGTTGTTAATTATTTAATTAATGTGGGCATGATTATATGTACATTGGTGATATTTAAATGATTACATTGTTTTTATGAAATATGTGAACTATATAATGTCGTGGAAATTATTTGGAGTTCTTGGGTTGAGAAAATAATGGTGGAAAAAGAGAGTAATGTGAATGGTCTTTTGTGTAGTTGAGTCTAACTCTTGGCAGGTACCAGGTCTCAGGGATCCCACAGTGCACATGGTTTTTATTGGGTGATTCGGGACTGGCGAAAGAAAGTTAGACAAGATGACTAACAAAAGGAAAATTATGGGATGATTGAAATGGGTATTGATTCATATAAATGGGCATTTGGGACCAAGTGGTATAAGCATGGTATGAGACGTGCAGGTCTACTTGTCCAGTTATATGAATTAACGGGATTTAGATGAATAGCATTTATGCATTGTTACTAATAATGTGAAATTTGGCTACTTGATTATTTGTCACTTAATTTAATTATATCAATTTATTGTGAAAAGGTTTATGTCCTTACTGAGCTGTGGTTTCACTCACCCCCTAATAGATTTTGCAGGTACCGAACCTGAAATCTAGAGCTTGTGATGATTTTTGGCATGTCTATAGAGTGTAATATAACTTGTGGTTAAATAATGAGCTACTCTTTTAGTGAACTCCCGAGTAGTTCTAACTTGTAAAATAATGTAAAAATTTTATGGTTTCATATGTTATCGTTTCCGCTTTTCTATTGAATATTTTATGTGAAATATTTATTTTATTTATTTAAATGTTTTCTTCACATTTTAGTTCTAGTTTTTATTAAATTCTATAATTAATGTGTGAATCACGTCTTAACCCAAGGTTTCGTAAATCCGAGGGTTGGGAAGTGACATGTGGAAGGTCCTACACTTTGTAAATGGAATTTGGGCCAAGTGGAAGCCAATTGGGCTTCAAAATTTATTTGGGCATTGAATATTATATAAATAACACATAATATTTGACAGATCTATTGTCTCAAATCTATGTTGACTTTAGTTGTGCCTCATTTTGCCAAGTTGCTATTTGAGGTGTTGCTGTTTGGTCTTATATTACAATTTTCTCCCGTATCTCGTTGGAGCTTCAGTTTTCTTTGGCTTTTGGTGGACTTGTGTAGATCTATTTTTTACTTGACAGATCTATTATCTCAAATCTAGGTTGACTTTGGTTGTGCCTCATCTTGCGAGGTTCCTCTTTGAGGTGTTGCTGTTTGGTCATGGTAGATCCATTGTTCATTGGTGCGTTGAGGACCTAGAGTAACTAGGTGACACTCTCTTGTCATGTCCCGAATGAAGATTAGTGAGCTGATTTTTCATTTTGCCGGTGTTGTTTTAGTTTATTTATTTATTTTGGTGTAGTTTGTTCAATAAATTCAAGAAACTCTATGAGTTTTCTATGTTTTTTCTATTATGATTCCAAAAACTTAGTTGAGTTTTGTTGGGTACTCTCAGTCTCTCTAGGAGAGTCATGCCGGTTAGTGGCTAGTTTTTGTCCTTAATCTCATTGGACTATATTCGAGGAAATTATAATGGTTGAGGGGATTATAGAAAAGTTTTTTTCAAGAGTTTTTTTTTAGGTTGTTGTTGTTGTTGTCAAAATATTGATTCCTTTGGTTTATGGCATTTTGTTTCCAGAAGTTTGTGGATAAAGGGCAATAACCAAATGAATTAACAATAAAATCATGTATAGAAAGGGAAAAACAATATATATTAATTCTACATTAATTTTCAAGAACATGGCATTATTAAAGCTATATTATATATATAAATATATTAATTCTACATTTTACAACAAGAACATTATCTTCTGTTTTACAACATGAACATTATCTTCTGTTTTCCAGAGCCAATTGCTAGCAACTGATGACTGATCAGTAAATCAAATCCTGCAGTCTCTGCCACACAGTTGAAATCTCTACACCAACCCTAGAAATTTTGACCTACAAGGATCATATAATTAAGTCAATTTCGTGAGGAATTAATTGTTAAGAAAACGATTAAATTAACATCATTAATTAATTTAATACTGTGTTTTAGTACCTGAGCATGGAGCGAGTGGAAAACCTTATCGCCTACGGTGGAAAAGCTAGCGCTGATAACTTCTGCTCCTTGTTCCTCAAGAACACCAATCACTTCGTATAACATGAAGTTCTTGTTCAACCCACTGATCAGCATCACTTCTATAACTGAACCTGAGTCTCTTAATTCAATAACTGGCAATCTTGATCTCACCGTCATAGCATTATCGGCATCGATAGTACTATTAGCATCCATCCCTAATTGTGACCTCATTGCTTTCTCCTTCCTCTCCTCCAAATTCTCTATTCTCTCTCTCAGTTGCTTTATGTAGGAGGACGCAAGATCGAGCTGCTTTTGCTGCGACAACGTGTCCTGATCAATCGGAAAAAGCACCACTCAAATTAGTGTTTTCTCATATGTACGATGTGTTATATTGTTAGACTGTTTAATCACACCCCAAATTTCCGACAAGATGAGGACATTTTCAAAGGCACTGGCTAGAGAGAGTGACAAGTTATATACCTTGGAGTTGGAGGGTTTGGAGTGTTGGGGAGGAACAAGGGAAGCAAGCTTGAAGCAGAGACCTTTCATGTGGATTCTTCTGTTCCTCTCCACTGTCTTCCTGTCCAGTTTGGAAGAAGACTCACCGCTGCACTTCTTCATCCTCAATTATATTCTCTCTCTCTCTCTCTCTCTCTCTCTCTCTCTCAAAGAATGAAAGAAAGAAAGAACGAAAACCCACAGAACCCAAAAGCAAGAAAGAGGAGAGAGAGAGAGAGAGAGACGGAGAGTTTGGAAATAAAAGGAGCTTGAGTTGTATGCATATGTGTATATATATATACACATAGTCGCAAGGGGTTGCTTATGTGGATAATATAGAATCTTGAATGGAGTCGTATAAAAAACGAGTGAAGGGAACCATACAGTGAAACTTCCCTTGTCGCTACCCCATACAAGAACCTGGCTCACCGTAGCAGAAGTTAAGAACACCTGTGAATATCTTAAGTTCGTGGGACCCATCATGATAGATCTGGGATCGTTGGATGAGTTAAGTCATACTAAGGTGTGCGCAGAGGCGGGCTAATGTGGCTGACTCTTGACCTTTTGACTCCCGCGCTTTCACTTCACCGTCCACTTTATCATATGTTTTTGTGTTTGTAAGAATCAAGGTACCTGTCTCTGTTGCTTTCAAATCTCCGGCCACCAGGAAAACATAATTTCCTTTTTTGATTCAGTAATCTGAATATGTCTTCTTTAATTAGGATCGAATCATGAGTGTGAAAATCAATGTGACACGCGCTACTGAAATTATAATTCAATTTGAACGGTGTAAACTTCTTCTCATATAAAATACCTGTTTGTCACTCACATTTTTCAATTTTATATAGCTCCATTTTCACTGGGGATTGACCTGCCTAACAAAATTGGTTATATATATATATATTGACTATAACTTCTAAGGACGATGAAGTTAGTGATTTTAACAACATTAATATTGTTTCCGTGTACGACGTCCTTATTTTAATGAAGTCAATATAAACAAGAAAAAGATTGTCATTATTATTTTTGGGGAGAAAAATGGACTTGAGTTGTGCTCAGTTGAAATAAAGGTTGGTACGGATAGGTCCTTGTAACTCTTATATCCTAGACATATTAAACTATTATCAAAAACCCAAATTCGAGTATAGGTTAATAGTTGTCCTAATATTACAAGATATTTACATATTGTGCCATCAACCTTACTTGTCAAATCCCTTATGTTTACCATTTATGTTTAATTCTTTTTTAATTTGGCACCTATTTAATATTGAAACGTTTTGATAAAAATAAATCAAGGATACATAAATAATAATGTAACACGAATATACTACCTAAATAATAACAATATTAAACAATGATAATATATATACCTAAAACAAATTAATCTTTTTGTCTAAAAGAATATTGATCAGGTAATTGTATATTGGAAAATTATGGCGATACATGCAAAAAATAATTTACCTACATATCTAATACAAGATAGGTAAATAGATCGATACATACTTATGTAAAAAAAAAATGAAATAAAAGGTACAATAATTTACCTACATATTAGATAGACAATTCAAATAATTTAAAATTTTGTATTAGGTACATTTTTTTTTTCCTACAAAACAAATTTACATGTACATTATCTATAAGCAAAATATAGGTACATTATTACGTTATCCTATTAGATACACAATTCGAAGAATTTATACATTTGTATTAGGTGCATTATCCTACTATTTCATAATAGGTACAATTTTTATAGAAAAAAAAGGACTGTAATTATATGATAAATAAATAATTAGTGTAAGGCACATAGGAATATTTGTGTGTGCATTACTTACCCAAAAATATATATTTTTGTGCGCATTAAATGTATAGACAATAACGTTTAATACTAATGGGATTGTTTGTACAAAATATTTTGAAAATTAAAACAATTAATGTGTGAGTAGTCAAATTTGTAATAAATTCCTAACTTAGGAGGAAAAAAAATCAACTCAATAAATTGCGAAACCAACATTTAATATAGAAACTCTAATTAGGGGTACTTTTGGAATATGAAAAGTACAATAAATTAGATTTTAAGCTTAATTAGTTAACTTGCTGAGTTGGATCCTACTTATCGAGTTTTATTTATAATAAATTGGGTTTTCTTCACAGAAAAATAAGACAATGGGTTGTAAGTAAGAAAAAATTAGTTTGAAGGGAGAAAGCCACATTTACTAAATAAGGGCAATAAGGTGGGTTTTTGTACTAATTCCTCTTAAGACAAAATGACAAGGTGTAACAAGTAAAGGAACAATTAGAAGCAAAATTACCTACGAAAACAACAAAATTAGAAAAATATCTTTAAAACATTGGAAAAAATGTTATTTGGCTTAAAAAGTTCGTACATCACGGCGAAACGATGCATTTGACTCATCTTGTCATTCTCAGCATATATTAGCCCAAATTGAAACTTGAAACTCAAATCTACAAAAGTCAAACTTTGCTGTTTCTGAACTTACATTTATCAAGATGCTTCTCGATCATCTCTGTGATCAATTGTACATGAAACAACTAAGCGAATACTTCACACTGGATCCAATGGTGCATGTCAAAATGTCACAGGATAATTAGTTGTTCCCAACTAGGCTCTAGGGCATCAATCCCGATGCCAGAGACAATACAGAAGGAGATTTGTGTCGTATAGACGTATAATCTCCTAAGATCAAGAAACGGTCGTGATCATGCTCTGTAATCTTAAAGGACGTACGTGATTCACACCAATATGCCCAAAAGCATGCATGCAGGCAGGAAGGAACGAAAAGTATTGCGAGCCGCCTCTAAAAATATGTGAAAACACGAGCTACATTCACTGTAGTATGCAAAACACGGCACTCCTTGCCACCAAATTGCCACCGTTATTCATTAAAACATTCATTGTCGTTTGGTTGGCCCATCTAATTAAGGGTCACATAAAGGTATTAGCCAAATAAATAAATAAAGTTATGAGCTAATCTAAGACGTAGCCTGACGTAAACATAAGATGTTTTGGCTAACGGGGGTATAGATAAATGGTAAATGATTTTGACTTGTAAATTAATAGCCTTAAGTTTGAATTTCCATGACATTTTGATAGTGTTTGTGTGAGAAATCCCTTCCAATTTAGATCATCATTTATACTTCGTGTCCAATGACGGAGTCAGAATGTCACGTGTGTAGAAGTCTCTTAGAAAATATATAATAAAAAACTCAAACTCACAATACATTCCAAATATGAACATTCTGAGTTCAAATTAGCCGTTTAATTTGATTGATGGTGATATGACACGAGCTATGTTTTACTATAATCCTCCCTCCATCTCTCGCTTCCGTACCAAAAACCCATATATCTCCACACACACGGAAAAAAAAAAAAAAAAAAAAAAAAAAAAAAAAAAAAAAAAAAAGGGAAAGAAAAAAGAGAATAAAAATCTGCTTACATAGGAGGTGACACAAGCAATGATACTTTTCTTCGTTCCTTTTCATTTTTAACTTTTCTAGGTCGGAGTAGTTCCTCAACGAGCATTGCAATTGCATAGAGAAACAAATATGCCGTTCCGTCATCATTTTTCTGAATCCTTATGGCATCATAACATTTACAATGAATTCTCAAAATCATATCTTTAGATAAATTTTAGAGATGATTTAAAAAAAGGGAGTTTCACTAAAACACCAAAAATGGGGGTTGAAATTATAAAAAAACCCAAACACTATTTAAACATATAAACACACCCAAAACTCATCATTACACACACTCAAAACCCATTTATAAACACACCCAAAAAGTTGACTTTGGGGTTGATTTTGGATGTGTTTCTATGTTTAAATAGTGTTTGGGTTTTTTTATAAGTACATGTCTAAAATTGAGTTTATTTATAAATTTGTATTAAAAAAATACAACTCAAATCATGCTTTCTATTCACCTCCTAAAATAGAAAGATCTTTAAGAACTCCTAAATCTGATGTGAGAGAAAATACTCCTAGTGACTCTCTATAATTTAATGTTCCTTTATTTTATAAGTATTTTAAATATTTAATTAATGCTAATTATTTTTTATATTATTTTTTTAATAGAGATGAGCTAATTAAAAAAGAATTATAGCATTTATGAGTCTCAAAACTAGAGAGTATGATTGTAGTTAAAATTTTATAGAAAGTTCCTAAAATAGCTTTTGTATGTTTTTAACTAAATTTTAACTAAAATTTTGAGAGCATAATTGTAGATGCTCTCATAGTTGTGTATGTGTGAGAGAAATCTCCCTCCCTTTTAGTTTAGAAAGGTCGTCATATTCTAATATAAAATAGCACGATGAAAACGCTTTGATGATTAATTATTTAAATGGGATAGCTTTGACACAAATATTGGAATAAAATTTGAGTTGATTCTATGCTTTAGTTTTGTTGCTGGCACAGGGGACTATGAATTTGAAGGTCAATATATTATGTTCTGTTGTTAGTCCATATATAGTTCAAAACAGAGTCTCAAATTTCAACACAATTCAAAACCAATGACTGCAGTATTTGAGTGTTGATACGTTTGGTTTGAAACTTGGAACTGAGACTTTTCCGTATTGACATTCTTGACCAACTATTGGTATAGCTTTCTCTTCCTTGTGTTCAGCATGGTTTATTCTCTCAAATCTACAAATTATATTCACATCTATAATTCAGCTGGCTCATAATTTTATGAGAAAAGTTTGTGTTTGACTAGTACTTCCATTGATCTCTAGGGAGTAATTATGTGAGTACTTGTTAGGAGAAGTTCAAGCGTGTTTTGTGTCATGTTCGGGCCGGCCTATTTAATAATCGGGTCAAGATATTTGGAAGCTCATAATTTTAGTCAAGGATCATTAATACATCATTAAATTACCAGCCAGCTCTGCTATAAAAAATTTAAAACAAAAAACCACCTAGCTGTGGTTGTTGTCTTGTAGACATTATTGGATCCCAAACCTTTCAACGGGCAAGGGCAAGGATGAATTCCAAATTCAATGCTGTCTGCTAATGCTAGTAGAAAATCAAACAATTGCACGTTCTAGAAGTTTGATCAGATCTCATAACCTTTCTTTTTCTTTGCTTGTCTCTGTCCGGCGGCGGGACCCATCAGTTAGTGGGCCACGCCTGGCTGGTCCCATCATGTCATGCCACGAAGGGCAAAGGTCACCATGTGCACTTTTGCTAGCATGCTTGATGGACGGTGAATGAACAGTGCATGATGATGATGATGATGACGATGACCATGGTGCACTTTTCTATGGCTGTACTCAACCCAAAAGCCAAAGCTGTAAAAATTAGCCTGCATGCCGCGAAATGTCTGCTTTCACTTTCACTGCAACACGCGTAGTACTTGGGACTAACTTGAACGACTCACTAGGAGGAGGACAGTGGTGCATAAATGGCAATGGGTGGAATTGGGGTGGATATGTATTAATTCAATTGTTATAAATGTCAAAACTTTATCATTATAAATGCAGAACCACTATCACACATCTTAATAATATTTATTGGGGATTAGAATACCATTCTCGCCCCTCCTCAAATACCATAGCTGAAAATTTTCCCGAACCTGTACTCATACTCTCTTTTTATCCTTCATATCCCTTATATGCGGAGAAAATTGTCATCCCCTGAGTGGTGTGTGTGTGTAGGGTGGGGGTGAGCTAACAACTTGGGAATATATCATATATGGATACAAGAATAATGATCAAATTTTGTTCCTTCATTAAATCTAAAAAATGGTATTCCTTATATCTTTTGAATTAGATATGATATCGCTCTTTCTTTATTTTGTATTTTTGTCTGCCCATGCCTCTCTCTTTTTTTCCTTTTTTTTTCTTCGCCCTTCTCCGTTTCTCTTTAGTCTTTGAATATTTATGACTAATTTACTATTTAATTATGATTTCATATGATCAATAGATATAACTTGATCGTGTTTTAACTTATGTAAGTTAAGACAGTTGGTAAGGACAGTGAATCCACTTCTTGTATTAAAGTTCGAGTTCATCTCCGCACGCACGTTAGATTAATTTAAACTATTGATTGTATAAATAAAATAACAAAAAATAACAATTGATCAGTTTTACAACAGAACACATTAATTATATACTTACTATATATATGTATGGGAAACATAATTACCTACCTACGATTTAGCCTGTTGGATGAAAGCATGCATTTCTTATATATGAAACTTGAATATTAAGTTTTATGACCAAAAAAGAAACTTGAATATTAAGTCAACCTAACTCGTTGATTCATGTTGATTTAAAATATTTGATTGCTTCCAAGTTGGTTGATCCTAGGATATAGAAGCAAAAGAACACACATCCATCGAACACAAACCCCCCAAACTTTATCATATAAAACAATAAAATGTCGAAATCAAAATAGACCATAAATTATGGAGTTACAAAATCAAAACCAGTGCCACATCAGTCCTTTAATCCGCAATGGCCCACGTCATGTCATTCTCAAATATCCAGTGGCACACTTCAATCTTTCCCGGACTGGACCCCAGTGCCATGAACGCACCATGTCCCGGGCTCCATGATGACGTGTCAATATGACAAATGGCCACACCATGATTGATCTTGCTCTTGCTCTCCACGTCCACAATATCAGCCTCATAAACCCTAACCTTGGGCACAGAGTGACAATAGTATAGTAGGTACGGGTACAAAGTCTGGTGACATGAGACCGATTTGGTCACATTTCCACCGTTGATTCCGCTGACCATTCCAATCATCACCTTCTGCTTTGACCCACTCACATTCTCTGTGGTTCGGACCACCACATTGTGGCCCAAGACGGAGGTGGCGAAGTCGATCATGTCCTCGATCGACCCCACGCACCGCTTGGTCTCACCCGGGCTCGGAGCCCTCTCGCACTCGCCCAGTGCGTTGGTCAACACGTGCTCCATGGCAGAGTTATCCCTCGCGTGAAATATCTCCCTAAGCTCCGACAACCCAGGAGTGGAAAACGGTAATTTCGACAAAATACCCCGGGGTAAAAACGACCTTTCTGGCATTTTGTCCCGAATGTCGGGCATCACTACTACATTCCCCTGCTTTAGCATAGATTCCCTGAAAAACTTGCCCGGCTCAACCCACTTATTTACCAAACTGCCACTGGACTCAGTTTTAGTTGCCTCTGTCCCCTCCTTGCTCAGACTGCTATATTCAGCAAAAGTAACGCCATTTTTGGCATACTCTTTGAAACTCCGACCCAAACCGTACGACTTGAACCCCACACTGGTCCGACCCTTCGACCCGGTCCCGTACTCTTTAAATGAATCGTTTCCCGGGTTGAACGATTTCCCATAATTCGAGAAACTCACCTTCCCGGAATTCGAATTTCTCGCGTAAGACTGAAACGAATCGTCCCCAACATTCGCTCCGCTCCGATAATTCGAGAACCCGTCGATCCCAGAAGTCCCGCCACCGCCATAGCTCTTGAAATTGTTATGTGGGTTGTTCGCAGATTGGCCGTACCCTTTAAACGAATCGTTTTGGCCGGTCCCGGACTCTCCGTAACCCGTAAAACCCGACCCGATTATGTTCGCGTCTTCGGCGTAGCTGCTGAACTCGGTCGGGTTGGCGTTGCCGGTTTTTCCGTAGCTGACGAACGTCTCGGAGCCCGAGTTGGTGTCGTGGCTGTAGCCTATGAAGGAGAGCCTGTGGTTGTTCGCATCCGAGTCGTAGGCTGCGAATCGGAGATTGGGGACGTTGACTTGGTCGTCGTAGCTGGTGAACTCGCCAGAGCCGCCGGCAGAGTCGGCGCCGTAGCTGGTGAAGCTGGCGTTGGCGACGTTGGCTTCGTGGGCGTAGAATGTGAACTTCTCCGAGTGCGAGTTGGCGTCCTTGCTGTACTTCTTGAACGAGTCGTAAGGCGAGTTCAACCCGTCCGAGTAGTTCTTGAACGAGTCGCCGCCGCCGGGTTGGGACGAGCCGTAGTTGGCGAAGTTCTTGTTGCTGTAGGCGGCGAAGTTGGCGTCTTTGAAGTGCCGAGCGACGAGGTCTTGCTGGTGGGTTTGTGCGGACTGCGAGTCGAAGGAGCAGTAGAGGTTGGCTAAGGAGCATAAGGAAGCGAAGTGGGCGGAGAGTGAGTTATTGGCGGCGAGTTGGGTGAGAATCGCTGAGTTGACTCGGTCGAGTGGGGATGCTTTGGAGAAGAGGAAATTGGGTTTGGGGAGATTGTTGGAAATGTGGTTGTCCCAATAGCGATTCAGTGAGGATTTGGGTGTAAATGGGTTGGTTCTAGTGTGAGCACTTGTGACCTACACGCACATGTATATAAAACATAAACAAAAAAACAAAAAAATAGATGCAGGAAAATGACATGAATAATTGGTAAGTGAAAATCAGAAGAAATATATGGAATTTGTGCTTAGTTTCTTACCTTGAAAGGTGAGAGTGAGGAGAGCAAGAACAAGAGGAAAATGTTCATGTTTGTAGAGTTGGAAACAGAGAGAGAGAGAGAGAGAGAGAGAGAGAGAAGCAAACTAGGGTTGTTGAGAATAGCTTTTGCTTTTGGGTTCTAAACTTCTGATTCCTTTCTTTGGCCAAACTTTTGCTTTTACAAAAAGCATGTGTATGCAAAAACTGGTCATGCAGCAGCAGGCCATGTAGTCCCTGCAGAAAAGAATGGTAGATGTGACATTACAAAGTATGTGTTGAATGAAGTGGAAGGTTTGTTCTTTTCCTAATTGGATTGGATTGGATATAGAAGAGTGGAAATTAATTAACATGGAAAATGGGGTGCCCTAGTTCGTTGTTGATGTAGGGTTTTAGGAAATCAAGAAGAGCATATATTAATCAGGTGTGGGCAGGGCGGCAGCAAGTGGCTGCTTTTCAGTGATACCATGTCATTGTGTCTCAGATGAGTTGTGGAAAACAGGAGTTAGATAGATTATATGGGCATATTCTAAGGGACCCGACCCGAATATCAAAAAGGCTAAGCTAAACAAATATATATATATATATATATATATATATACAGCTTCCTTCGAGTCTACTGTCTACATGCCATGGGTTTGGCAAATCCTAGAGGAGCTTCTAGTTTATAATAGTACCAAGGCAAAGATGCTTCATTTTTGGCTTAAAGTAGCCCATTAATTTTGTGCAGCGTGCATTTCAGTGACTAGTCCCAGCTACCTAGGAACCCACTCTGGTGGCATTATATATAGATCATTGACCAACAAATATATATAGCTTATCTACTAGCTACAAACTCCTAAGATTTATCTTTTTACCAAAAAAACTCCTAATATATATATATATATATGAAGAATCGAGCTTATGACCTAAGATATAAAGATAACTACTCTTAACCATTTGAGCCACAAGTCATTTACTAATATATATATATATATATATACTAATAAGCTAAATCTATGTTTTTGTAACCAAGGAAGGAACCCAAATTTGTTTTACAGTTTGATAGAAAGATGATGATGGGTTGCTGCAGTGGGCTGAATTAGAGAATGTTTGGGAGCTGGGTTTGGTTCTTAGGGAGGAGGGAGCTATGTTGGAGGTATTTGGGCTTAAGAGGGGAAAAAAATCTGAATTTGTAAGAAAAATTTGAATACATGTAGGGAAAAAAATCCTCTGCAACTAGCAATGATTTCTTTCCTCCATTTCGTAGTGTGAATTTGTAGAGTAAAAGAACCAAAAAAGAGTTAAATTAGTATGATCAGGGCAGTTGGTTAGATTTTTGAAGATCTAAGGTTTTGACACAAGAAGAACAAATTAAGAGAGCTAGAGGAAGTATGTGTCCGTCAAGAAGATTAATGGTAGCCTAGTGGAGGAGAGTCTTGATTTGCAGACAAGAGGTCAGATGTGTGTGAGAAAAACTCCTCCCTTGTAGTTTAGACTATCACTTGTACTTAAAAAAATGGGAGCTAAAGAAACCTGTTCATTAATTTAATTTTTTGGGTTTAATTTTTTCTTGGAACAACAAATATATGTAGTATTGTGCGAAAAGAAAATGTCAAATTCTTTCTCTTTTGATTTGTAGAACTATAATGTTCTGTTTGATTTTCTCTTAGAAAATGTTTTGGTGTGTAGGCTCATTGCTAGCAAACGGCAACTTGCATCCATCTTTCTTTACATGCTTCAGGATGTAAACGACATGTCGTTTCATCTCCATTTGGTTTGTGTGTATTGGCTTGGATTTGGTTGGATGAAGTGGAAGAAATACAGAGCAAACTCAGAAAGAAGTGGCTGTTTAGTTAGTTAGGACTTCACCCCAAGTACCCGCCAAAAATGATAGTAACATCTTCTTCCATTAAAACCCCTCCTCCTCCTCATCCTCCAAATCCATGGGCAGCATCTCAAAACCCTAACAATTCATTCCTACCCATCAACCGTCGCAGCCTTCTGGCTGCGCTCACCATCTCCACCACCACAACCCCTTTTGCACACACTTTTCTCAACCCCATGTCAGCACAAGAAGTAGCCTTTGCTCGTGGCCTCTTCCAGATGCCCCCAGTTAGGCTCACTAACCGGTAATTCAGCAAACCCATATTCTGTTTTTGGTTGAATCTTGAATTGCTCTTTGATTTCTGAGAAAATTGAGGAAGTTAATGGAAAACACAGTAATGGGTTTTTGGGGTTGTGGTTTATGCTGCTATTTGTTTCCAGAAAGCTGAAAATTTTGTCCCCATTTGAACCGTACTGGTGATATATGAGTTTCTGTTATATTGGGTTCCAATGATGTTAATATGTAGCCATGGTTATAACTTATGTATGGTATTATTGCATTGGTTGTTGTATTGTTCTGAAACTGTTGCTTGTTGGTGTATGGGAAGGTATTTTCTGGTGAGGGCTGGGGAGTCTGAATATGAGAGCATTGGAGTAATTAATACCAACCCGGTTGCGAAAACTTCTGTTGATAACGGTTTGTCAGAGAAGGGGAAGAAGCAGGCTGTGAGGTCAGCTTTCGATTTGAAGGAAATGGGAGCTTGTGATAAGAACTGTTGGATATGGCCTTCTATTACTCAGAGAGCTTACCAGGCTGCAGAGATCATTGCATCGGTTAATGGGGTCAGTCGAAGGTGTGCAAATTAGTATGATTTCATGAAGTTCAAAGATTTAACTTTGATGTCTTTTGAATATTAGAAAGGAAAAGTCTAGTGAGATTTCAAACTTGTCATAGGGCTGAAACTATGAACTCTAGTGTGACACAGTCCATCTAGAGTTGTGTGTGTTCTAAAGCTATGAAATAATCGTGTATGATTGTTGAATCATGTTTCCTTGTCATAGTGAGCTATCAAGGGGAGGCCATTTTCCTAAATCAAACTCATTATTTCTTAAACATTTTAACCTGAGTTGGGATTTGGGACCATAATTTTGGAGGCCAACTGGGAATGGTATTGTCATTCTAAACCTGCTGATTAAGTATACCTTTATAAATCTGTCCAAAGTTGTTTGCTTTCAGCAATCATTGTCTATTCTTTGTTGCAGTTATATTGTCCCAGAGTACAGCTTTCTCGATGCCAGAGGATTGGGAGCTTATGAAGGAAAGAACCTGGAAGCTGTTTCAGAAGTAACATTTCCAATTACAGCCAATTTGCTTCTCTTTAAGTCATTGACAAGCAAGTATGATCATACCTTTGTTTATACTCCTCAGGTATATGCATCAGATACTCTTTCTCCAACAATCAAGCCTCCTCCTATTGACGATGGAACCCCAAACGAGAGTGTTTCAGATGTCTTTGTTCGGGTAATACAACTCATGTCCATACTTGAGACTCAGTACTCTGAAGACACAGTGATTATTGTCTCACCAGATTCAGACAATTTGACAATCCTACAAGCTGGTATAATTGGACTTGACTTGCGCAGGTGATTTGGAACCCTCTTCTTAAACGTGATTATCGCTTCGAACAAGAATCTTGATAGTCATCGAGCATTCTAAGTGCTAAGTTATCATGATAATGCTGTACTAATAACATCTCTTTTTTATTTCAGGCACAGGGAGCTTTCTTTTGCACCTGGAGAAGTCAGATTTGTTGATACCAATAGTGTACCTACTTACAAGCAACCCGCTTCAGCTGTATATAAATGTCTAAAACCACCAAATTGTAACTGATATTACTTCCTTGTTAAATTTTATAAAGACTAGTGGAATTGATAGATGTGCAAATTATCTCCCCTTCTCTTGGTTGTTTATAAACACCATCAAATTGTCATCTGTGTGCCCATTTAATCTGAATGTTAATGCTCCTTACAGTCTTCAGTTTCTGTGACTTCTTTTCTTCTCACATGCTATGCTAGTTTAAGCTAAACTGCCTGTAGACAATTGCTCCACCCTGGCAGCTTGTATTCTCAGTCACTCTTTGATTAACCAAAGGTGGTTTCAACTACCTTGCACTATATTATAAACATATTACAAATTTTCATTTTGGCATGTAAATTCAAATATATGTAGGACTTGAGAGGTTCATTCTACTATATTTTAATTGTTAGGGGAGTGGATTCGAACTTAGAATTTCTTCGAAGAGAAAAAGACTTCAAGCAAGAGTCAGAATCATTTGAATTTAAAATAAGAATGATTATAGTAACAAGATGTATGCTATGGTCAATTGTTATACTTTAGATTTCGCCCTTTTGCTTGTGTGCGAGGCTTGTATGGCAAGATTAATGCTAAACACGTATATAAAGTAAAAGTACTGAACTTAACAACCTTGGTGGGTACAGGTACAGCCCATCTAACTAACTCAAAATAATTAAGCTAACAGCACTAATTAAAAAGAAAAGATAATTAAGGGAACTAAATCAGACAGTTACAAAAAATAAATAAAAATAGAAAGAAGTAAACTCATGAGTCGCCGTGGAGTAATTGGAGGAGAAGTACAGTCAGCTATTTTGGTACCCAAAAGATCAACAAGTCCTTCTCAGAGTAAGACTCAAGACTCAAAGTTGCTCCACTCCCTCACCGCTCTCTCTCTCTCTCTCTCTCTCTCTCTCTCTCTCTCTCTCGCTTTCTTGCTAGCTAGCTTTGTTCTCTCCGAAATCTCTTTTTGCGTATGAAAGATCGGAGCTTTTGGGGTTCAATTTCAAGCATTTCTCTCTTCAAATGAGCATCAGAGGATATTGGGATTCATTGTAGTCTGTATTTTGTCAAGACTCAAAGTTGCTCCACTCCCTCACCGCTCTCTCTCTCTCTCTCTCTCTCGCTTTCTTGCTAGCTAGCTAGCTTTGTTCTCTCCGAAATCTCTTTTTGCGTATGAAAGATCGGAGCTTTTGGGGTTCAATTTCAAGCATTTCTCTCTTCAAATGAGCATCAGAGGATATTGGGATTCATTGTAGTCTGTATTTTGTCAAGACTCAAAGTTGCTCCACTCCCTCACCGCTCTCTCTCTCTCTCTCTCTCTCGCTTTCTTGCTAGCTAGCTAGCTTTGTTCTCTCCGAAATCTCTTTTTGCGTATGAAAGATCGGAGCTTTTGGGGTTCAATTTCAAGCATTTCTCTCTTCAAATGAGCATCAGAGGATATTGGGATTCATTGTAGTCTGTATTTTGTCTTCTGTATAGTTCGCCCTCCATGGCCATCCGAGGCGTCGATTTCAAGTGGTAAAGTATCTTTCTTTGAACCCATTCAATTGCAGTGTGGTAGGGTTTTGATGTCGAATTCGGGTGATTTTGCATTGCAGGTACGATGGGTTCTTCTTGTCTATGCTCGCGACAAGTGTGTATCCTTTAATGTCTTATAAATTAGGGTTTTCAATTACATGCTGGACTCTCAATTTTCCCAATGATTCTTTAACCGGTTCACTAACAGAGTCATTGTTGCAATTAATTGGAAACGGTACCATACCTGTATATACCCGTTGCACATATGGATCGTGGTGAGTTTTTCTCTGAATTCTAAGCAAGTTTGATATGGGATTCTTTTGAAATATATTTTTCTTGAACCTCAGTTGTTTTTCTGATAAAGTTTTATTCTTACTGGTTCAGGTTGATTACACTACTGTGTTTGTTTTTCGGATGTTGATGTTTGTGGATAATGGGCTTGCCTCTGGAATGGGTTTGTAAGGCCATTTTTCCCAGTTAATGTGTCCCTGCTACTTAATTTGTTCAATTTGTGTAGCTGAATAGTACATAAAACACTTTTCTTTGCCCCTTCAAATTTTGCTTTAGGGATTTTGGCTGGCAGCAGAGATATGCTCGTTTCTGCGGAAGAGTAGTGGTCCTTTCAATTCTTTCTCTGCTACTCTATCCATTTCTTTGGACTTGGACAGTAATTGGTACGCTGTGGTTTAGAAAATCGAAGGACTGTGTAAGTTATATCCCGTATTTCTTGGCTGAATGATCGTGTGTAAACAAGTTTCTTGATGGTACTAATACATTATTATGCTTGCAGTTGCCTGAAGATGGTCAGAAATGGGGTTTTCTAATTTGGTTACTTTTTAGTTACTGTGCACTACTTTGTGTTGCTTGCATGTCGATTGGGAAGGTTAGTGGTGCTTTGTGTACTTGTTCATTTTTTAGATACAACCAGGACTGTTGTTCCAAGTGAGCTCATTTTGAAACACTTGTACATGCGTTTTTATAATGATATTTTCTGTGATGTTCTTATCCTTATTTTTGGAACCCCCCTTTTTCAGTGGTTGACACGAAGAGAGGCACACTTATTGCGTGCTCAACAAGGGATTCCTGTTTCAGAATACGGGGTAAACCCTGAAACACTTATTTCAGTTTTGCTTGAGAATTGTGATAGTGTTGTTTTGACTATGTAAGATGCCCATGTGATGTTGATTGCTTGCCACATGAAGTGTTCAAAGCTATGATATTCTGTGTTGGTCCAATTGTTCCTGCATTAATGGTAATGATTTCTCTCATTATTAAAGGTTTTGGTTGATATGATTCGGGTGCCAGACTGGGCATTTGAAGCTGCTGGTCAAGAAACAAGAGGGATGGGCCAAGATGCTGCTGCATACCAACCTGGACTTTACTTGACTCCAGCACAGGTACCTGCCACCCCAAAATTCTTCTCTGCCGAGGAAATTGCTTACCTTTCCTTAGATTTACATGCTTTTTCAGTTTTGAGTCTAATGGTTGTGCTTTACTCCTTCTACAACATATTTTGTAGATAAAGAATTTTTGTGTGTACTTGGTTTGAATTCATGATATTAGTTTACTCAAGCTATTTATGCAGTGGCAGTTTAAATTCTTTGCTCAATCTAGCATTTGCGAAATCAATGTATAGAAAATAGAGATTTGTGGTTCTAAGGGGTGTTGCTCACATGCATGCCTGTCTGTATGTGCACTCATTACTCTGGCTCAAGCACACTCCGACTTTAGAGGGCCGGCATAAGATTCAAGAACATATTAATTGTTGTGCTTCATTGGTAATAAAGGGCTGTACTGAAAACAAATAACCTCTTCAATTGCAGTTCTTTTTTCATTGGGAAGTCTTTGTTGTCTATACAAGTTCGCAATTTTTTTTCCTTAATTCTGAATTCTGATGGTTGATGTTCGTGTCTGTCTGGGTGTTGCAGACAGAAGCAGTGGAAGCACTCATTCAGGAGCTTCCAAAATTCAGACTGAAGGCTGTTCCAACTGATTGCAGTGAATGTCCTATCTGCTTAGAAGAGTTCCATGTAGGCAATGAGGTAAATTTTTTTATGAATATCAATGCTACTTTTAAACACACAGTAATCTAAATTATGTCATGCTTTTTGGGCATATAGTATATTATTCAGTATTAAAATGTTAATATATGATTTGGATCAATGGTCCCCTTCTGTGGCCATCTGTAAAATGTTAAGACAGTTCTGAAAAAAAGAAACAAGAAGGAAACCAAGTTCACAGCTGTATCATTAAGCAAATACATATGGCCATACATGTTTTACCTCTTGATAGTGAATCAGTTATTGCCAAGTTCAATAGAAGATTCTTACTGGAAGTGGTGCAGGTTCGTGGCCTGCCTTGCGCTCACAATTTCCATGTAGAATGCATCGATGAGTGGCTTCGACTGAATGTGAAATGTCCTCGGTGCCGTTGCTCAGTCTTCCCAAATCTCGACCTTAGTGCTATATCCAATCTCCGTCCTGAATCTGAGCGGTCATCTGTCAGCGTGTTGACAGCCAACCGGTATGTGAGAACCCAACCTTACAGTCAGAGCTATTTGTTGAGGTTACAGGGTCTGCTCCGCCCAGTCCGTACGGAAAATGCAGGTGTAGGTCCATCAGGCAATGAGGCAGACACTGCTCTGGAAACTGCTGAGTATGGAGGCGTTGCTCTGTCTACTCGGGATCCATCAAGCCCAAGGCCGGTCTCTTCCGCCGGACATATTGTTGTTGTTGACTCCACCGCACAACAACAATAGACTGTTTCCTGAATTGCATTTCCCAAATGTTAACTGAATTTCCTAACCCACATGCTGAGGAAGGCTTAATGGTATTTAATCTGTGTACCTGCCCATCGCTTGGCATGCTTTTGTAATGGCTGTTGCTTGCTAAAGTCTAAATCTTTTGCCATCTTTTGTCACTGTGGTGATGGATATGAGAACCGAATCTGATTGCTTAACCAATGCAGATTAGATATACTGTTTCATGAATGTGAAGGCCATTTTCTGGTGAAATACTCAACACGGTTTATCAAAGCTCTTCTCCTCTTCCTTTTTCCTTCTATCTTTTGTTTGGTCTCTCTCTCTCTAGCTTGTGCTTAGACAATTGATCTGAGTGGGGCCTTGCGCCGATTTTAAGGTCCGGAAGCCAAGAGGAAAATATACGTGGTATATTCTCAGCCGTTTTATCAAACTTGTGTTAGCCAAATTTTGTAATAATTTGTCGTCCACTCATCCAATTTTGCAAAACACTCATGTGTCATGGCTATTCGCTTCTTGTCTGCACCCGTAACACATGGCAACCAATGGAGAGAAGTTGGGGTCAATGGCTGATCCTTTGAGCTGCCCATGACCGACCTGTTGGTTTAAGGGTGCAAATTCTTATCAAATAAAAGCTTATTGACAATTAATTAAATTAAATACAAGCATCGCCATCACCCAAGTTAGTGTTGAACTTGATTTGAAGTGAAATATCAAACCCGAATTTTGAAGTGATTTAGAGTATTTATCTTTGTATTTGAGGTTTAAAGTATTTATCCTTGCATCCGAGATTCTTCCCCCCTCAAGTACCACTTGTATCAATATCAAAATAAAAATGAAAAGAAGGAAATTTTATGGGTACAAAGCTAAAATACAGTTCAGTTATTATCAAGTTTGACTAAAATTTAACCCAATTAGTAATCTGGTATATAGGAAAGTTTAATTTAACCCGCAAATCAAGTGGGCCTGGGTTGTAGTAATTCAGTCGTTGTAAGTTTTTTACCCGGCGATTCTATCCATATATCTCATCATCTTCCTTCGTCTACCAACTGCTCCAATATAATAAGACAGACACAAACTCACAGATATTGAATTGAAAATCCCACAATAATACAACACAGATTGTGGAGCGAGAGAGAACAGAGAGATGGCGGTCGCCAATGGATGGGGCGTGGGACAAGCAATCCCAGTGCCCCAATTCGGCCCCAATTGCTGTTCCGGCTTCTTAGCCAACAAGTCCAAATTCAACAGTACCAATAAAAATCTGAGCTTTGTTCTGAATTGGGGCTGCTCTGCTCAAACCAAGTCTTCACCTTCACCTTCTTCTTCTCTGAGTAGGAATAGAAAGAGCTCAAATTTTTGTTGCCGTTGCAGTGAAAGTAACAGTTATATTGATGACCGTATTGGGTCTTCTTTGGAATGGGATTGGAATCGCTGGAGTCGCCATTTTTCTGAGATTGAACAAGCCGAGAGCTTTGCCTCTGTTCTAAAGGTATGTGGGTTTCTTGTATTTTTTGCCCAGTTGCTAAATTGTATCGAAGTTTCGTTTCAGTTTTGCTGCTTTAGTAAGGGTAGCTTTTTTTCTATCATTGTTATACAGTTTCTGATTTAATTTGGAAGTATGTTGGTTTTCAATATAGAGTTCCCAGTTGCTAAAATTAAATTTTGTTTAATGCTTTACTAGTTAAACTGCAAAGTTGATAAGTCAAATTGTAAGCTTGGTGAATTTACATGAACTTTACAGCTTTTGATGATTATCTTTCATTAATTTATGCACTTCAACTTTTTCTGTCATCATTGATCTTATAATTGTTTGACTACGTGTGCCTTTTGTTTCCAATTCCTATGATTTCATGAAGCATAACCATGCCCTTTTGGACTCTGTTTCAAGATAGCTCAGGCGGGAGGACAAATTACAAGTGCTTTTTTGTTTTGTTTTTGTTTTTAACTTGATTTTATGCTTTGTAGTTTCAACTTGAAGATGCAATTGAGAAGGAAGATTTCCAGGAAGCTGCAAAACTGAAAATGTGCATTGCAGAAGCTACATCAAAGGATACTGTTGCTGAGATCATGTCTCAATTGAAGGTTAGATGAGCATTTGTGCCATATTATTGTATACTTTCTCAAATCAAAATTTGTTTGTTGACCCGGTCTGCTATATCTTTGCAGAATGCAATTGAGGAAGAGCGTTACCATGATGCTTCAAGATTGTGCAAGTACTCAGGAAGCGGACTGGTAATTTCTAACAACCTGGCTTAAACAATTTACTTTGAACATCATAATTATATTCCTTGGCTGGCGTAGGTAGCTTTTGCTCTTCCTTTCTTCTCCCACTTATTTGAAATACGATCAAGTATATTTTGTTGGAAGACTAGGTATTCTGTCTTCCTTTGTACATTAGTTTTAGCGGCAGGTATTGCAGTTTTGTGGGACTCCAAAGGGTCAAGGGGAGGGAATGGCAACATTTATCTGATAATTGACCTTTGAGTCTGTACCATCCCCTGCATGTCACTGCCTTCCCCTGTCTTCTCCTATGCGTAATATTAAGCTTTTTATTCTCTTCAAAAGATGAAACATTCCCCTTCCCTTTGGTCCACCCAAAAACAACCAAAAATAGTGTCTGTGCAGATTATTTGGATTGTCACGACATGGATTTTTTGTATTTTGGCATTAATGCTGCTTACATATTTATTTAACTAGTCTTTTTAATACGTTACTGCGATATTTTAGATTATCATATGATTGAGATTGTGTCCAAAGTTGGTGCAGTTGTACTGCTACTAGTTTTAGTCATACTCTTGTGAAGCTATTTTATTGTATCTGATCTATGATCATTAAATTATTGAATACTTGTTTATCTGATGGATCTTTTTCCTGGTTTATTCTTTATGCCATTTTAATGTGTTCTCTGAATGTGATTGACAGCCTTATTATTTAGGCGTGCTTTGCAGTGAATTTTTTGTTGTGTCCCCTAAGTCATTCCTTCTGTATAAGCAGGTAGGTTGGTGGGTTGGCTACCCAAAAGATTCAGGTGATCCCTTCGGAAGACTCATACGAATAACTCCTGGTGTAGGCAGATTTGTCGGCAAGAGTTACAGTCCAAGGTTAAGATCTTTTTGGCTTTGATTTATGTAACATCTGTTGGAAAACATTAGTGATTATTATTTGTTGCAGACAGTTGGTTACGGCATCGCCAGGAAGCCCCCTTTTTGAAATTTTTGTGGTAAAAAATGCCGATGGGACACACATTATGCAGGTGATGTGATGCTTCTAATAGATAATAATATTTCATCTCATATATGTGCTTGCCATACAAATTTGTAAGTGTCGAAGTGGCCTGGCTGACTAGATTTTGCATATCTGTTAATAATCTCTCTCTCTCTCTCTGGTCTTCTGATATCATATCTGTTAGCAGGTAGTTTACTTACACCAACCCAAAGCCAATTCAACAAACTCTGCTGTTACACCATCCAAACCTGAAAAAGGCTTGTCCACTTCTGAAGTTGAGAATGCAACCCTAGTAGATGTTCAGAAAAATGAAGGTAAGGCAGAGAGCAGTGAGGAGAAGGGCATTAATATCGAGGGAGCAACTGAGGAGGGAATTAAAAGTGTGATAAATTTTCTGAAGAAAAAAATTCCAGGACTTAAAGTTAAAGTCATGGATGTTGATGTTGCTAAGGAAGTGATAGAGGATGACAATTCTGTGAACCAATTGATGCAAGAAAATAGTGAGAAGTCAGATTCTGATGACAGTTCTGAAGACGAAGTGGATAATTTGGATGAAATTCAGCCTGATGAGGTCACTCTAGGAGAAGGTAGTGATACCACACAGGATGAAAAGGATTTGGATATGAAACTTTTTATTGGTGGGGTTGTACATAATGATGATGATGCTCCTATCAAGGATGAGTATGTGCGTCGGCCTGCTGAAATCAAAGATGTGGAGAGAGATTCTTTTGTATTGCATATTCCAGGGAGAAGCCTAGATAATGATACCAGAGAAAGTAAAGCATCCAAAGTTAAAGTGGCAGCTCTAGCAGCTAAAAGTGTCTCTGAGCTCATGCCTTCTGATGTTGCCAAGGCATTTTGGAATTCTGACAAGGTTTCTCCAAAGGTCGGTTGAACTTATATGCCATCAGGAAAATAAGATATGGAAATTGCATGTGGTAAAAAACTGAATCTTCCAGTTGACATAAAGTAATTGGGTTCATGAATAGAATCATTTGAGTTAGATACTTTTGTTGTACATGGTAAACTCATGGTTTACAAGGATTGTGGAATTAGGAATTCCCAAAGGCTATCCTTGGTTGATGTCTTCCTTTTTCCCTTTTCTATCTTTTTATAGTAATGTAGTATTTCTAGGAAGCTTGCATCCTGGCCATTTTGGTTCAGCTATTGATTATGAGGGCAATACAAAAGTTTGAGGCTTGTTTTTTTAATTCACAGAACTGGTGGAAGGTTTTTCAGTTTTATCAAAATTATCATAGTTAATAGTTTCCTTTTTAATTTATAACTAGGTTACAAGGAATATGCGTGAAATAGTCAAGCTTGCTGTTAGTCAAGCACAGAAGCGGAGTAGATTATCCGAGTATACAACGTTTAATCGGATCAATACCTCAAGTGGAGATTTGGATCCCTTTGACGGTGAGTTTTCATTCTCCACATTTCATGTCTTTTTATCTTGTACTTAGAAAAAGGATAATTTTCTAAGGAACTCTTCTGTTTGAGTATAGGCTTGTATGTTGGGGCATTTGGCCCTTATGGCACTGAGGTAGTGCAACTGAGGCGTAAGTATGGGCACTGGAATGGTTCAGAAGGCAAAGACAGTTCTGCAGATGTGGAGTTCTTCGAATATGTTGAGGCAGTTAAGCTAACTGGCGACCTGAATGTTCCTGCTGGCCAGGTTTATAGCTTTCTAGATCTCGTGATTGTCATGCTACTTGTTCTGTACAACCACTTGTTCACTGTATTCATGCATCATGGGATATGTAAACATATGTTGTACTAAACCGTGAGATTTTTGCATATGCAGGTGACATTTCGTGCTAAAATTGGAAAAGGGAACCGCCTTTCCAACCGTGGGATGTATCCAGATGAATTAGGAGTGGTAATGATACTTTCAAGTGGAACCTCTGCGTATGTGCATGTGTTCAGTGTGTGGTAGTTTTTATCTAGGATTCTAGGACCAAACAGTCAAGGAAGCTTGTTTGGCTTACTATTGACTGTATCACATTACCATGGAAACTAGTAGATTATGATCACGTGAACACTTTAGAACACCCTTTCCGTTATTTTACTAAAAACATCCGAAGAGTTCATTTATGTATGCAGCTGATTAAGAGTTCATTTATCCAGGTTGCAAGTTACAAAGGTCAAGGAAGAATAGCAGAATTCGGGTTCCGAAATCCACAATGGGTTGAAGGAGAACTTCTCCAACTCAATGCCAAGGTGAATAAACTGGTTCAGGATGTCTACTTGCTTTACTTCTTTATAAAAGCCTGATTAACCAGCAAGCTCTCAAGAAATCTGCTTTGTATTTGTAACCTTTTCCTTCTTTTGGCCGATGTTTGTGTATAGGGCATTGGACCATATGTCAAGGGTGCTGATCTTGGTTTTCTTTACATCGTTCCTGAGCAAAGTTTCCTTGTACTGTTCAATCGCCTGAAACTACCAGAATGAGCCAATGGTACCACAATCTGTTTGAGCTCTTACATCTTTGATATGGCAAGACATCACACACTCTGATGGCTGAGAAGGGTTATTTTAGTGTACCGTATCTGAGCAAAGAAGTTAATTTCACTGTATTAAGTAGGCACTTGGATTTATTTTCCTCCCAATTTCAACTCTTTTTTTTCCTCGTCTTTCTTCTTGCCCCTTGTAACTTCATGAGCTGTATATCATTTTTGCTGACCAAATATTTTGCGACTAGTACTGAAACTGCAACGAGGCTCCAAGTTGTGATCGGTTTCCAGATATTTGTTGGCTTCCTCTCTGTGGTCTGTTGATATCTTATTATCTCTAGGTTCTTCCCATGTGTTTCCCCAAAGACTTAATGAATTAGATAATGGCAAGTCATCAATGATTATGGAGTACCAAGTATAAGAAATCAGTAAAACATGAAAAGTAGATTGTGAGATGTCTTGTGGTTGCTTAAAGGTAAAAAGCAAACTCTTTGGTGCTTTCCTTTTGTTAATTTAAACACTAAAGCCATCCATTGTGATTAATACACATGAATGATGCACAGACTGAAAAGGCTAAAAGAGATGCTTTTCTTGGTTGTTTTAGGTATATACTTCCTTCCTAATGGTCTTTTTGCCAAACTGGCAATCAGAATCTAATATAAGAAATCACTTCACTTCGCTAATAATTTGATTAACAATCGGTAAAATAACATGCCGGACTATCTGACAAGAGAATATTAGCATATATATCTTATATTATATTCAATGAAAGTCCGATTTCGAAATATCTCTGCACATAAGGAGGAATCTGTCTACTTGAAGAGAAATGAAAAAAGTTGGAAAGGAATGTTTGCCTTTAGCTCATGAAAGAAGAAAGATGGCGCACTACTAAAGAAACCGAAAAGAACTTTGCATAAAGTTTTCCACTCAAAACTTGCTTGGATTTTGTAGGCTTCAATTTGTTTTTCTTGCTTTTTGCCTTACCATGCAAGCTTCGTCTTAAAGCTCTTAAATTAAAAGCACTTGTATTTGCTTTTTCTTTTTCTTCCAGTACTCTTCGCACTTAGCTTTCTACTGTGATCATTATAAAATTGATTTATTTAATCATAATTATAAATTTGTTTAGTGGAAAAACAAAGTCATTGTTTGCTTAATGGCAGTGGCCAGTGTTTAAAAGTGGTGGGACTCTTACGACGTCGTATGAAGCCGTCTGCTTCTCCCTTTAGTGAGCAAGTAGTAAGCGGGAAACAAAGCCTTTCCACGTGGCCTAATCCCCACAGCGCGAAAACGCGAAATTAAAGACTCCAAGTCCCCACAACCATCACTTCTAACTTTCTTTCTGTTTCTCTCCTTTTCTCAGTTCCCAAACGCACTTCTTCCTACTCAATAAAATCTTGAAAAGACAATAGGCGCCAATGGAACCCCAATCCCAACCCCAACCCCAACAACAACAACAACAAAGCCAGAACCAGAAATCCAAGCCAAACATGAACAAGTCTTATTCTATGAACTCGGACGACTCGCCGCTCCGCTTCCACTCCCCGATCCGATCCGACGCCGGCGACCCGCCCGAAACTCCGCCCTACGAGTCTCCCGAGAACTCGCCTGAGAGGCGGGTGGACAACTCCAAGGCGATCATGGCCGTCGACAAGTTCACCCAGTACTCGCCGCTCCGGCCTCAGAAACCGCCGGAGAACGCTAAGGCGCCGTCTCCTGTGGTGGTGTACAACCGGTCGATGAGGGATGACGTGACGCCGTCGGTGTCGAAGGTGGGGCCTGTCGTTGGAGCCAACGGCGGCGAAGACGTCGTCAACGGCGTCATTGGAGGTGGGAGATCGAGGGGGATGACTTCGACCCGGCCGAAGAGAGGAGATATGGTGAAGACGGCGGCGCTGGGGTTTAGACTGAGCGAGGTTGTGCTGTGCTTGATTTCGTTCTCGGTTATGGCCGCTGATAAAACTCAGGGGTGGAGCGGCGACTCCTTCGATCGCTACAAGGAATACAGGTCTCTCCTGAATTTCAATTTCAATTTCGACTTAATTTCCATTAAAATGTTCTCTTTTTCTGAAATTTTAATTTTGATTAGCTGAGTAAGTCAACCAATTAATTTTGATTTAAGCGCTTAAATCAATTCAAGCCGTTTGGTTGCTAAATGCAAAAATAAAATAATATATATATATAATAAATAAATAATCCATTTTCCACTTAACATGAGTTAAATACAGTTAGACCTAAACGACATTCATTAGAACATAAAAATTATCTTTTCTTGTCGTCTGTTTTGCTTCAGTTTTTAAAATAGGGTTTGTTGCATATGTTTAAATCCAATTTGCTCGTTTATTATATACTTAAATGGTTGCGTGAGTGAACATGTACAATGTGAATTGGCTTCTTGCAATTTCTATTTATTTTGTACTTTTGGAGATAATTTGATAGTGAAGTGAAGATTATGTGCTGCTGACTGCAGGTATTGCTTAGCTGTGACTGTTATTGCATTTGCATATGCTGCCTTTCAGGCTTATAATCTATCCTACCATCTAGTCACACGGAAATATGTGATCCGCCACCATCTTCGTCGCCACTTCGATTTCTTCATGGATCAGGCAAGTTTTGCAGCCCATCTGTTTATATGTTCATTTAACATTGGCTTGTAGAATTTTGATTTAGAAGGATATAAGCATTTGTTCAGGACTTGCAAACATAGGTAAGTTGGTCATGGACTCATGGCTTAATGCCTATTATTTCTCTTCTGGTTTCTGTTGTGATATAGGCTTCTGTGTTAAGACGATGCTGTTTTAAGATTTAGGGTTAGCAAGCAATAACAGAAACTTGAATAGATTGGGTTGCATTGGTTAGACCTGTAGTTGACTCCAAGTCCTTTGAACTGACTGTCTCAGCTCAAGGGCAGCTAAATATTTGTGTACTGATAAGCAATGCATTATGTTTTGCTTTGTTTGTGGGTTCAATTTGCAGGTACTGGCATATCTTCTGATTTCAGCATCATCATCTGCAGCCACTCGGGTCGACGACTGGCAATCAAATTGGGGTAAAGACGAGTTCACGGAGATGGCCACTGCTTCAGTCAGCATGGCCTTCCTGGCTTTTGTTGCCTTTGCACTTAGCTCCCTCATCTCTGGTTACAATCTCTGTACCCATGACTCTGCATGACCGCAACTATAACCAGCCGCCCATAGACCAAGTTTTCAATTTCTCATGCTGTGAGAAGATAATTATAGAATGTGAATGAAAAAATATTTTTTTGAATGTTGTTTGTACAGCTTCAAACCGCATGTTTTCCTCCCATAGCGATTCCACGGTCACTGGATTCTGGCTCTGTAAATCGTTTATGGAGAGAGCATAGCTTATATATATGTTATGGATTTTGATATTACTTCTTGAATTCTTTCCATTTTGTACAAGTTTGCAACTTCTAAGAAGAATAAAGTTCATCTTCGTCAACGGGGTCTAGCTCAATATAAAGAGTCTTGACTTGCAGACTCTGTGTGAGAAACTCCGTCTCCTTGTAGTTTAAAATCATTGCTTGTATTATAAAAAACCAAAAAGGTCCATCTTTCTCTTCTCTTTGTTGCTGTTGGGCAGCCATTTGGCACAAAGGGCTTGAGAAATCATTCGGAGAGTTGAATGAGGATCCATTTCTTTTTGGTTACATGGGTCGAAAACCCAAAATATAACTAAATGACTATATACTTGGGCTTCAAATTGAATATCATTGGACCCAGAAGAAAATTCCCCTTCTTTTTTTTTGGTTCTTTTTTCTATTATGATTCATTATGGATCAGCCAATGTTGTCCTCGCTCTTGGGTTGTTTTGTTTCATTCAACTTCTGAAGTTTATTGCAAGCAATGTCATTTGCTTGATGCTCTGTTGGACATATTCCCAAAGTCCTCCAAGCAAAAGATTGTCATAATTGTGTTACGCAAACATCAACCATGTTAGCTTTGTTCTCAAGAATGGTGAACTCTCACCATCAAACATTTACACACAACATATCAACATTTCTAGTTGGCCGTTGATTTGGACCGATCATGTCTTAACCCAACAACCAACCTGAACTTTTTCATGCAAGTGTTCCTAGCTATGGGTTGGTGTGCTCTAACCTTTTGGGGTATATATGGTATGTATATTTCGGACAGTCCACATGACACGTCCTCTCTCACATGCTAATTGATGCTTATCCAAACCCTAAAAAAATAATATATATAAAATCAAGCCAAAAACTTCAACCCCTATAATTCCATATACGAAGTTGTCCCATTGTTAATTAAAAGTGTTAATTTTCTTAAATTATATTCAAATATATAATATAATTGACAATCTAATAACGTAACATACGACGGCATGCGACTATAATGGTAGATAGAATGAAAATAGTTAAAAGGGGTTCACGTGGGATCCTCCATCAGCCATGTTGATGCAGTGCACAAAACGGAACTAGATGACAAACATTCCCCATCAGACCCGTCTTTTTCTAACGGAGCAGTCAACCACCCTCAATCTATCATCTTCTTCACCCCTTCGCATTCGCTTGTCCATCTCCATCTTCATCTCCGTGCACGCACATCATCATCAAATCTCAGCCCTCCGATCCATAAAACCCCACCAATAAATCCAAATCCCATCTCATGCAATCATGCAACCCTAATAATATCATCACATACCCATCAAAACAATTACGTCCGTGTATAATATAATATAATATAATATAATATATGCTTATACTTTACACCACCCAAACTTTGTCATTTGTGATAATTAATTAATTAAATATTCTAATTATAATCTAATAAGTCACACCAACAATAATTAGTACGGCCTAAGGATTTATTCTGTACCATAAGTTTTGGCTAAATTATCGAATCTGAGCTGGTACGTACTACATAACGTGGACACGTGGTATTTTAATTTCATCAATGTTTCCAAGGTACACATCGCATGTGCACCACCCCAAATTTGTGCTACAAATGCTTAAAATATAAGTAAATAAATAAAAGGGCCCCCTTTGATTCTTTTCAATAAAAAAATAATTAAGATGTTATGTTTTCGATACTGTGATATGCTAATATACAATTAATGTGAAATCACTTTGGAATTTTGACCCTTGACAATGAGTTGACACCTAAAATACACTCAAGGTTTGTTGAATTAATATTTTATTATGCGTATAGTTATCTAGAAGATTCCAACTCCTGATTAGAAAACTAACCTAATTAACAATATCTTAACTGATACTGAAAATTAATCATGAATCAGTTGTACAGCATGCCAACCTACCAATTAATGCAGAGACGATCTTCAATGGTAGGTAGATCTTGATGATAATCTTCACAAAATAATACATCATCAGCCAACGTAACAACAACACTAATTAACTATAACGCAAGTGATGGTCTAAATTATTCTAACATAATTTAATCTACAAGGAAAGGGATTCGAAGTGCAAGAGGACAGACTCGTATCTCTGACTAATTAACCTAATTCACGTAATTTTAAGCATAATCTAATAATATATCATATGGTATATATGATATATGGGTGAGCAAGGAATTTGCGTCCAACATGTTTTTAATATTGAAGCCTTGTTGTATGGACTCAAATGAGTTGGGATATCATGTCGCGTAAATGAATGATAACAAATTAATTTGTTTTTTGGGGTGATATAATTAGACTTTGTTTAGATTGGAAATGGATCCACCCACCAGACAAATTCGGACCCAGCCAAGTTGTAAACCGTAAGGAAGTCGGATCCCAACATTGAAATGGTTGCAGGCTTTGTAGCCTTGTACCTTGTATGGGTGCAGTTTTAGCTGTACCTCTTTGTCTGTGTCAACCTAGACAGAGTTGGCTAGCTAGGTCATGGTCAGCGTGCACCGTACGAGCTTTACAAGCGGGTGGGTTTTATTTCTTTGTTTTGTTTCTCATTTTAAAATTATTAAAACAGAAAAAATAGGACAAAGCTCGTCGATAATAATTAGAAAAAAATAAAAAGAGGAGAGAGAGACCGTATACGGAAGAGGACCATACGGCTTCTCCGACACACCCACGGATCGCTCTGTGTGGGCATAGGACCCACCTGCTTTTCACCCATAACGTTACTCCTCCTCTCTCTCTCTCTCTCTCTCTCTCTCTCTCCTGTTTATGTTGTAACGTATCCCTTTCTCATTAAATGACTATATGCCCTTCTGTGAAATTTCGAGGGACCAAACTAGCCTTGGAGTTTGGGGCGTAGTTGTTCATGGTTGTGTTGTCGAAGCTCATTTTTTATTTTGACGTTTGGGTGACATCTTGTGTTTCTTTTACCATAAAAGAACTAATCATTGATATTTGACTAAGGTATTTGAATGAGGAAATACAAAATGGATGAATACTATTTTTTTTATTCTTTATGTTGGATGATATTTTGTGTTTCTTTTATAAAAAATAACTAATAATTTGTTTTTAAATAAAGAAATACAAAATGAATGAATTCTAGTTTCTTACTTTTCGTATCATAATATGAGATACATTTTAAATTTGCTCAACAATTCTCGAGTGATCTTCTTCAAAATTTCAGTGATCAAATAATTTACTCTTGTAAAATCAATCAAAATTCAACCCTAATGCATTACCTTGATAAAATTAAGCATAAGTAAAGTAATCCAATCTCACCAAGACTTTGTTTTTGTTTTTAAAGTAAATTTTGCTTCCTCACTTATCCTATGGTCACTTTTCTAAAACACCAAAAGACATAAATTACTACTTTGTTTTTGAACTTTGCATATTGGTAAAAGTTACTGAGGGACAACGATTTGAGAATAAAATGGTAACTCATGAGTCATGTGTAGTCATCATAAGTTGATGACAACATAAAAAAAAATTATGGTCAAGACATTACCAATTAGTAATCTTTTCCTCTAAATTTATAAACAAACAAAATTACTAATGAGTAATGCTACTAACTTTAAAATAAGCGTCAACATTTTGCAATCGATTATGTTTCACTTATTCATATGAATCCAATATCACCCCTTAATTTTTATTTATCTTTTTAAAACCAAGGATATTATTACTAAAATGTGTGGGGGGGGGGGGGGGGGGGGGGGGGATTTGAGGTTTATTTTTTGGGTTTTTGTTTGTAGAGATGTGGTACCGACCTTCGAACCCAAGACCACTAGGTGGTTAGTGTGCAAGCGCACTTAACCACAAGGGCAGGTTGAAGGCCAGTTTTGGGGTCTTTTAGAGCAACTCCAGCGCTCACCCAAACCTGGGCAAAAGGCCCCCCTGGCAGCCCAACTCCCCTCCAGCGCGTAGAAAAGAGCTCGAGCAATGGCTGGGTCCCACCAGCCCGGGCAGGCCCAAGGGCAACTTTCGCCTGGGCTTCAGCCCGAGGGCGCTGACGTCAGCGCTGGTGTTATGTTGACGTCAGCGAGAAAAAAAAAATTCAAAAAAATTATAAAAAATTCAATTTTTTTTTAAAAAACCAAAAAATTATGGATATTTTCCCTATAAATACATAACAATTTTATTCACTTTCCCTATAAATACATAACAATTTTATATTTTGTTGCATATATATTTTTTTTTCTTGCCCTTGACTTGCCTTAGACTTTGCCCTCATGGGTGGAACCACAAATGCAAAGGCTGACACTATTCACGTGAATAGTGCAGCCCTTGCTTGCCCTTGCCTTAGACTTAGTCCTTATGAGTGGAGATGCTCTTAGTTTGCTCATTCCAAGAGCAAAGAGGGGTAGGCATGCAAGGAAGACAACTCAAAAAGTCTAAAAAGCAAGAGGTAATTTTGGCTTTGTGATACAAATGAGAAGAGGAGGGTAAAAAAGGAAATTCAGATAGGTAGAGGTCATAATCAACAAGGATCCAGTTTGTCCCCTCAGAAGTGGATCTTCGCACGTTAGGAATGGTGTTTGTAGAGAAGCTGTGAGTTTTATGGGGGGGAGAGAGAAAGAGAGAGAGAGAGATGAGAGAAGAAGAGCCAGCCCCTTCATTGCATATGCTTTCACTGCTCCAACAACAACAACAACAACAACCCAATTCAACTTAACTCAACCGACTCATTATCCTCTCTCTCTCTCTCTACAGTATTCCCCTGTTTTTGTTTGTTAGCTTCGCATTATTACAAGCTCTCAAACTTTTCTCATTTAGTTTCTCATTAACTATTATAGCCTTCACCACCTCAGGTTTTTCTTTTCACTTTGCAATACCCATGTGTGGTTTTGGCCTTGGAAACTCAAAAACCTTCGTTTTAGAACTACTTTTTTCCATTCAAATGGTGGTTTTCTCTGTTTCCTTGAGTTCTTTTTGTCTGAATATATAGATTTTAGATTTTTGAACAAAGACTCCTCCTTTTGGCCAAAAACATGTTTATTGGCTTGAAAAAAATGAACTTTATTCTCAGCTTCTGCTTCATCAAACCATTCTGTACTTTGATTTGTAGTTCTATCTGAAAAGTTTTTAAAATTGTGCATGAAAATCGATGATTTCGAAATGTAGGTTTATGAGGAAAAATAATACTTTAAGCTTGCAAGCTGTACTTGTTTCCGTACTGGGTCATCTTGAAATTCAAGATTTGCACGAAATTTGGAGGCTTTTTGTGACTTGAAGAGTCCAAAAGGGGGTTGAGATTTTATGGTTTTGATGAGTATAGGCTCTGACCCATGAAGAATTTTCACTGGTTTAAGCAGATTTCCAACAATGGCAAACCTGAGAGGAGGCTCTCTCTTGGAGAGTACAACAGGGCAGTGTCATGGTCAAAGTATTTGGTGTCTTCAGGGGCTGAGATTAAGGGTGAAGGGGAGGAGGAGTGGAGTGCTGACATGTCCCAATTGTACATTGGGTGTAAATTTGCTTCAGGGAGACACAGTAGGATTTACAGAGGGGTTTATAAGCAGAAGGATGTGGCAATTAAGCTCATAAGCCAGCCTGAGGAGGATGAAGGCTTGGCTGTTTTGCTTGAGAAGCAGTTCACTTCTGAGGTGGCTTTGCTCTTTCGGCTGCACCATCCAAATATCATCTCTGTAAGCTCTGTTTCCACAATGGTTAATGGTTAATGGTTATGCTCTCTCTCTCTCTCTCTCTCTCTCTCTCTCTCTCGCGTTAGGTTATGGTGTTGTTGCTTGCCTTTTCAGCTCTGTAGAAAAGAAGAATGTGGTCCTGGTTTATGTTTTGTTGGTCAATGGACCTGCACTTTTTCAATTTTCCTGCTTCTGCTTAATTTTGTAATCTTTGGTCTATTGAAAACCTAAGATCCTTCTCCAGTTCCTTGATGTCTTTTAACCTTGCACGCTAAGATTTTTCTGAAAGAAAGCAATAGAAAAAGCTTCTGCATAATGTTAGAGAGATGCTCTTCTCCTGAGGCATATGCACGAGTCATCGTTGAGTCATTGATTGATTGTTACAGATTCCCTGCTTAAGAGCTTTCCATCTTAATAAATTCTATTAGGCTGAGTATGTTTTTTTGATATTTGGGTTGGCAGTGTGGAGAAACTATTTGCTTCTCTTACCTGTCTTATTGGTATCACATATATTCTGGAAAATTTGGATCAGTCCTCTTAACTTGTTGATGTTGGAACGGTAGCTGTCTCTTTGTGCTCTCTGACCTTCATGTACCAATTTTATTCTGCAGTTTGTTGCAGCTTGTAAGAAACCTCCTGTTTTCTGCATTATCACCGAGTATTTGTCCGGGGGATCGTTGAGAAAATATCTCCATCAGCAGGAGCCACATTCTGTTCCACTCAGCCTAGTTGTGAAGCTAGCCCTCGACATTGCACGTGGGATGCAATATCTCCATTCTCAAAGTATACTTCATAGGGATCTCAAGTCAGAAAATCTATTGCTAGGGGAAGATATGTCTGTGAAAGTTGCAGATTTTGGCATCTCATGCTTAGAATCACAGTGCGGCAGTGCAAAGGGATTCACGGGCACTTATCGTTGGATGGCACCTGAAATGATCAAAGAGAAACACCATACGAAGAAAGTTGATGTTTACAGTTTTGGCATAGTTCTTTGGGAGCTTTTAACAGCATTGACACCATTTGACAACATGACTCCTGAACAGGCTGCATTTGCAGTATCACAGAAGGTATTTTCTGTAACAAGACCTATTAGTTATCATTATCGATGAAACATTGACACCTAACAGACTTGTGATATTCGATTGTAGCAAGCATAATTGTACACGTTTAAAATGACACTAATGTATCCATTATTGAGATATTGGAATCTTGAGTAATAGGATATGAAGACTGTTACAAAAGCATAGAATCAGAGAATGATAGCGTTTAGTAAGGTACAAATTTAAAAAACACAGTTTCTAATTGCCACCTTCTATGAGATTCTAATTGGTAGACTGACTGCTTGAATAGCTCTCATGTGTAGTGATGTTTTTGAGAAGTAGTCTTTCTGCGTGTCTTAAAAAACTCTTAAATATCAGTCCTTCCACTTGACAAAATTAGATAAAAGTCTTAAATTTCCATGCAGTAAAAGTAAATATGCCATATTGGAAATTACAATTTGTCAGCTATCCTTTTGTGGTTATAGCCTTCTTGATGCATACTAGACCTGTATCTTTCTCACATGCATCATTAGCGGGGTGAGCGACAATCATTTATATGCTTGTCCTTGTATTATCATCATGTTGGGGCCTGCTGCTTTGGCCATCCTTATCCAAGCAGGAAATGATATCCTCCCAAATCAAAGAATTATATTAAATCCTATAGCTTTTTCGTTGTTGATAAGATATGTTAAAGCACTGATAAGCATGCACTAATACAGGTACACATCCAAAGGATGTTGTGGAGAGTAACTTCATCATTTTCTTAATCACCTTCTACCAAAAAGAAGCACGCAAATATCTAACATTTCTGTTTCAGTTTTTGCTGTCAACGTCTTGCACCTGTTTATGAGTTTGTGGAACAAATGGAAACTTTATCTGTTAAAGCTGTTTGAATTCACATCACACTTGCCACCTTGCATTCACACTTGCCACTCCTGTAAATTGGTTTTGTTGCTATGCTTGAAACTTTTTAACATGAAGCTGATGTGTTTTGGAGTCGCACGTCTCCTTTTGGTTTAGAAACGCCTGGAATGTAATGCACTTGGCTGTGCTTATGATTCCTACAAAATGTCTAGTGCTTTGCGTAAACAATGAACCACATGAAGCTGATGTGTTTTGGAGTCGCACGTCACCTTTTGGTTTAGAAACACCTGGAATGTAATGCACTTGGCTGTGCCTATGATTCCCATAAAAAGTCTAGTGCTTTGTGTAAACAATGAACCACATGAAAGAGTAAAATGTGCTGGAAATTATTGCAAATGTCAGAATCTTGTGGTTTACAGCTACAACTTGTCATTCCAGTCTGGTTGGAAAGAGAAGGGGAACATGAGATTAGAAATGAAGATGAGATTAGTCTAACATATCAGAAGCTGCATTAATTATTTGAAACTTTGTCGGGTTGATGTGGTTTTTTTTATATATGAATCCTGCACTAGTCAAACGAATATGCTGTGATCTTCTATGTGTAGTTATTTTTTTTTTGGGGTCAATTCTATGTGTAGTTATATCTGCTGAATTTTGTGCAGAATGCAAGACCCCCTTTGCCATCCACATGCCCGATGGCATTCAGTCGTCTCATCAGCAGATGTTGGTCGACTCATCCAGACAAGCGACCTCATTTCGATGAGATAGTTCACATATTGGAAAGTTATGCAGAGTCCCTTGACCAAGACCCAGATTTTTTCTCATCTTACAAGCCTCCTTCAGATCACACCCTTTTGCGATGCTTTCCAAAATGGATCGGTCGCCATAGATCCACTTCTTGAAAATCTAGGGAAATTTTTTGCTTGAATCAACTTATTGATGTTGAATGTACCATATGCTTTTCTTGTCAAGGTTCCCATCCTCGTACAATTATGATTGTGAACCTTTCTCTTTCTGTCCTGTTAACTTTCTATCTTTGAATATATTGGAATGAAAGCACTACTTTTAAATTGGTGTTTTAACTTTTAATCCTGATGTACAATAATGCAACATATTCATCGTGCTTTCTTATCTGTTCTACTCAAATTTGATGTGAAATATGGCGAATAAGACAATCAATAGAAACTTCTAAAACCAGTGCCCCTCCATCATTCCTGATGCACTGCCGCTCTTGGGACAGTTTTGGCATGTGTAGATTGGGCAAAACTTTTGTAGCCAAATTTATTGTATGTCGTTGGTTATAATATCATCTCTCTTACAATAGTATGTGAACTTCACATGCATGTCACAATACACAAATTCTTTGAATTGTTCTTTCAAAACCAATTGCTCCTTCGTTTAATGGTACTTCTCTTCTAAAAATTAGAAGATGTTGCAAATTCGAATCTCATTTTACTTGTTGATCATAAAAAGAAAATTGTTCACCCAATGTTTTCTTTCACTTCAATATACAATTTGAATTACTTATCTTACAAAACGATATTGGAGGAGGGCAATTGAACACAAGATCGCAGGTGCATGAGATCGCTGGTGCATGAGGAAGCTCCATACAAATTGAAGAAAAGGGCAGTCCAAGTCCAATGACAAAATATATCATTTAAGCGATCTTATCCCAAAAGGAGACCAAAAATTCTGGCCCAACATCCAATGGTAGACCTGATGATAACATATGTAGATTATCAAAGTAAATCCACCGGGCCCAATATTAAATTAATTTGAAGTCATCTGGGTACTCAATTTATAAATTATTTGTGACACAATATCTCAAGCGACAGTTTGGCCGAGTGGTCTAAGGCGCCAGATTTAGGCTCTGGTCCGAAAGGGCGTGGGTTCAAATCCCACAGCTGTCATTCCTTTTGGTGTTTTTACTTTTTCTATTTGGTTTCTTTGTTGGCTTACCTAACAAACAAATAACGATATCATCAAAGTTTAAACAAAGTAAGGGGTTTTAGCCTTTATGAAACTCCAACCAATACCAATGGATCAAGGTGAAAAAAAAACTCTTAAAAACATGTGTACTTTTGTTAGGTTAATGTTAGAGGGAGAAGATGGAGTGAAGTGAGAACCTTTGTGTGTGTATCTAACACTTGTTCCAATTTTTGTTGGTTGTAATGATAAGATAAACAAGAGATCACTTTCTACTTACTACTAGGTGGTCCAAGTCTCCAAGGTGTTGAATATTTTGACCCATGAGTGGTTGAGTAGGTTTGGCTTTGGTTCTTGTGGGATAATTGTCTCTTACTTTGTAACAAGCCCCATTTGTGGTGGGGGTGGTGTGTTATTATAGAACTTTTTCGCATCAATCAAAACCTAGAGCATTGTGAAGCTCGTTTACCCCAATGATTATTTCAAAAGCTAATGCACCTTCACTTCCCCAATTTGTCTCCTCACGAGATTATTGTAGCTTTTGGGCATCTTAAATTCCCGAAGTCACCCTCGTTGAGGAGAGATGGTGCTTTGATGATTGTTTGAGTATTTGGTTATGCTCTTTTTCTTGATGGCATTGTCCCCTTCTCGAATTAGAGGCAGTTTTGCCGATTGTTGGGTCTAATTTGGCACCGATTTTCCTTGATGTTTATGTTATGTATGTTTTATTTGGTTCGCTTCTAGTGAGTTGGTTTCATTGTATTTTATTTGGCTCATTATATCTAGCCTTTGTGCTTGAATTGTAATCCTAATTAAGATTGGAACCCTCCTTATCCAGAAGAATTGGATGCTTTTAATTCTCTGAAGTTGAATACGTTTATAAATGAATTGTCATATTTTTCTCTTGAGTGAGTTCAATACCTTCAACCAATCCAATTCCAATTTCTTTTATATTCAAACTTTTGGGGATGAAGTAGTTGAAGTGTATCATCACCCATAAGTGAACCCAAATGTTCTTTGCTCCCCATGAAGATAAGGTGAAGCCTACTTAGAGGCATGGCTATTTATTGCTTCATGTGCTATAGTAGTTTTTCATTCAATGCACTGTTCACGAATGGAGCGCAAACAAATTAAAGCAAATGCAGGACCAACATTGTCAAATGTGTGAAGAAGAGGCCAATACATCAAGTTGAGGTCAAAGAAGAAGGTGAATTCCACCAACTACCACACACTCGGGCAATTTCTAAGTTACTAATTACCATAGAATTTACCTCACCAAAATTTTAAATTCTTGAGTTGGCTCATTCTTAATAGTAAAAGTTATATCGTCAACGTAGCGCACATACTTAATTCTCGCTTCTTTATTCATAAAGCCTTGCGTCTATCTCATCAATTTGCGAGTTTACATATGACAAGCATACTATATTACACACATTGACACAATTCAATAAAATTCATTATTGTATAAATTTCTCGGATTGTGCCGACATGTTAGAACCAGCTTGGTGATCAAGTTGAGAAGAAGAAAAGTAACTTCAAGAATAACGACCCTCTGTCCGTAAAAAACCTACATCCCACCCAAAAACTAAAAGAAAAAGAAAAAACCAATACAGAAATAGGAAAATAAAACACAGGCCATTTCTCATTGTCTTTCAAAGGGTATAACTGTCTTTCGACGCCTACAAACCACATCAGAACGCCACGTGGAAAGCCTCAGTTTAAATTAGAGTCCCGGAAAAGAACAAAACAAATCGGCATTTCGGCAGTTGCAGGACGCGCGGGTGGGTGGGGAAGATTTCGCCTTCTCTCTTCCGCTTCGATATTCCAAAGTCTGCAACTTTCAACAATTTTCTTTTTAATTCCATTTTTTAAAGATTAAATCTTTTTTCTTTTGACATTTCCCCATTTTGCCTCTATCTCTGTCTCCTTCATCTTATTCACCCCCCACCATAAAAAAGAGAAATTATTTTGATATTTCCTCCATTACCTTATATATATACGCATTTTTATTGAGACCCAGATAACACAATCCCTTTGGCGTCGTTTTGTCATGGTAGATTGATTGTTCAGGTATGGCTATCCATTTCTTCTTTGTTAATGTTGTTGTTTCAGCTCAACTGATTATCTGTTTTCCCTTTTGGTATGTTTTTGGATTACTTTCAGAGGTCAACTGCACAAGAACGTGATGTTATTGTTGATGGGTTCGTGTTGTTTATCCATGTTATTGGTTTTAATCGTTGTCATGTTTCAATTCGTTGATGGGTTGTATGTAAAACGTATTTATGTTGGTTGATTGTTTGTACTTGTTTGTAAAGATCTGATGAGGGCACTTTCAGCTATTGTTCATTGTTCCCTTTCATTTGCAAATATAAAATTTTCATTTTTGTAGGTTATTACTTTATATGTTCTTCTTAAGTTTGTGGGTGAACATACAAATTTTCAAAAGCAAATTTTTGAAATTCCCAGACATGATTTTTTTGTGTGGATATTGTTAATGCATTTTGCTTTCTGTTCAAGGTTATTTCAATATCTGTCAACTGTAGATTTGTGTAGTATGTATGCATTTGAACTCTGCTAAAGTTATCTGCTTCCGTTTTTTGGATTTGTTTGTAACAGTTGTTTCGTATTTTCCTTTTCCTTTTCGAATGAAACATTTGTTGCAGATAAGTTATTTGATATAGAGATTTTGTTGATTTGGGTACGTTGAGATGCCTGGAATTGTTGAAGAGGTTGTATATGAATCGAATGGAAATTCCATGCCTAATAAGGAAAACCCAGCTCTAAATGGCTTCCCAAAGGGTACTATGAATCAGCAAAGTCCTGGGAGTACAGGACCTGATCGTCCAGTTGATGGGGTGGTTGACACCTCAATTGAGCAGCTTTATGAGAATGTGTGCGATATGCAGAGTTCTGATCAGTCACCCTCAAGACGTAGTTTTCGATCGGATGGTGAGGAGTCTAGGATTGATTCGGAGTTACACCATCTTGTTGGAGGAGAGATGAGAGAGGTGGAGATAATGGAAGAGGAAGTGCTACAAAAGCCAGCGTATGATTCTCGTAGTGATTCAAGTTTTAAAAAGGAAGCTTCGTCCTCGGATAGAAAACCAGCAAAGATGGATAAATCTGCAAGTACAAAATCCACTTCTTCAGGGAACTCTAAGAAAGTTGCTCACTTGCAGGTGGACACTGAAACTTCATCAAAACCAGTGTTGAAGGGAAGAAGTCCTGATAAACCTCCCATTTATGGGGTTAGTGATAAGAATCCACAAAAACAACATGCAGGACCCACTTCTGTGAAGAAACGCAGGAATGCATCTTCAGGAGGGTCAAAGTTGCAGATTGGAACTGAGGATGTGGCTGAATCAGGATTAAACAATCCGGATCTTGGGCCATTTTTGCTTAAGCAAGCTAGGGATTTGATTTCTTCAGGGGATAATCCCCAGAAGGCTCTTGAATTAGCTCTTCGAGCTGCAAAATCGTTTGAATTGTCTTCAAATGGGAAACCCTGTTTAGAGCTAGTAATGTGTTTGCATGTTACATCAGCGATTTACTGTAGCTTAGGCCAGTACAGTGAGGCAATTCCTGTTCTCGAGCGTTCAATTGAGATTTCAGCTATTGAGGAAGACCAAAATCATGCCCTTGCTAAATTTGCTGGCCACATGCAGTTGGGTGATACTTATGCTATGCTGGGCCAACTTGAGAATTCAATTATGCATTACACAAGTGGATTGGAAATCCAAAGACAAGTTTTGGGAGAAACAGATGAAAGAGTGGGTGAGACTTGTCGGTATCTGGCTGAAGCTCATGTTCAAGCACTGCAATTTGATGAGGCTCAGAGGCTTTGCCAGATGTCTCTTGACAGTCATAAAGAGAATGGTTCCCCAGCTTCTCTGGAAGAGGCAGCAGATAGGAGACTGATGGGTCTTATATGTGAAACGAAGGGAGATCATGAAGCTGCTCTTGAGCACCTTGTTTTAGCCAGCATGGCTATGGTTGCAAATGGCCAGGAAGTGGAGGTGGCTTCTGTCGATTGCAGCATTGGAGACACGTACTTATCTTTGTCTCGGTATGATGAAGCTACTTTTGCTTATCAGAAGGCACTGACTGTGTTCAAGACCACCAAAGGAGAGAACCATCCATCTGTTGGTTCAGTCTTTATACGTCTGGCTGATTTGTATAACAGGACCGGGAAAGTTAGAGAATCAAAATCATACTGTGAGAATGCCCTTAGAATTTATGAAAAGCCCATGCCTGGAGTCCCTCCTGAGGAGATGGCAAGTGGTCTCACAGATGTTTCTGCTATATATGAATCAATGAATGACCTTGAGCAGGCAGTCAAGTTGCTACAGAAGGCGTTAAAAATATACAATGATGCCCCTGGTCAGCAAAGCACAATTGCCGGGATTGAAGCTCAAATGGGGGTCATGTACTACATGTTGGGGAATTATTCGGAGTCTTACGACTCCTTTAAAAGTGCGATTTCAAAGCTCCGTGCAACTGGAGAGAAGAAAACTGCCTTTTTCGGAATTGTTCTTAACCAAATGGGCCTTGCTTGTGTACAACGTTATTCCATAAATGAGGCTCAAGAATTCTTTGAAGAAGCCAGGACTGTCTTGGAACATGAGTGTGGGCGGTATCACCCTGATACACTTGGGGTTTATAGCAATCTTGCGGGCACTTATGATGCAACTGGCAGGTATCGTCAATCTTTATCTTGTCCTACCACCAGTGTCATCTTCAATTGTCATTATGCATGCTTTTGTTCTTCTCTTGGTAATCCTGTTTTTTCAAATGATCAATTGGGTTTCCACTTGCTTTATGTTTCTTATTTTCATCTGTTTCTTGTTCCTTTTTCTTACGCTGAAAGCCTGACAAGTTTAACATATGCAGCCCTTCCTTTCCTTTTTGGACTTTTTGTTGAAAACCAAGTTGTTAGGACATTGTTCTGATGGACTATTTGGGGAAGAAGAACTCGCTAAGCTGTAGAAGTTTTTGTAATTTATTGCTCTTTAGTCTTTTGGAAGAGACAATTTTTAGTTGGATGCAAAAATTATTGCTAATTAGGCATTTTGAGTGAGACAGTTTACAAATTATCTTGTTATTAACCCAGGTTGGAGGATGCAATCGAAATCTTGGAGTACGTCGTTGAGATGAGAGAAGAAAAACTTGGGACAGCTAATCCTGATGTAGATGATGAGAAAAGAAGGTTGGCCGAGTTATTGAAAGAAGCAGGCAGAGTTCGGAGCAGAAAAGCCAGATCACTAGAGAACCTCCTTGATGCCAACTCCCACAGTATAAGCAATGATGGTGTTAAGGTATGAAAAGAACGGCAATATTTGGGAAACAGGATGTAATATAGGACATATTTAAGAAGAAAAAGATAGAATAGCCCAAGAATGAAGACGAAACAGTTGTTGGGTGTGTTGATAAGATTCTTGTTGTGTAGGGTGCATGAAATAAACTGAGGCTGGGGTTTTGGTTATATTATTAACTTATAATATACTGTATTGGCCGAAGTTTATATTATTTTGTGTCACACTATTTATGTAATTGGATGTACCGAGATTGGTACCAAATTCATCATCATTTGTAATACGACATTCAAGAATCATAGATTTGTTTAACACTGCTACAGTCTGAAGATTTATCTTTTGACGTATCCAATTATTCAGGATCAATGATGACATAAAATTTGGGACCCCAGTTGCAACTTGCAAGCCAATAATGTGATAATCTTGAAAAATAGATCTCTGGTGTTGGTGAGCAGTTGCTTTTTGCAATCTAGCGTCTAGCGTTTATATGTTTAATGCAATTATTGTGCTTTTGGAGCAAAAAAATTATGATTTTTCCACTCTGCCAGGCTATTGATAATTTAGATTTTTGTCAAGAAATGTCAACGGTTTGCTGTCAAGATCCCAGGTTTGCATTGAGAGAAACTCTCATACAACAGGAATAACACTTTTTGCTATTCCCGATCAATAATGCGATGACACGTAAGATAATTTTCCCACGTGTCATTGCGTTATTGGCCGATGATAGCAAAACAGTGTTATCCCAGTAAGTTTTTTTATAGTTTGGCCAACAGCAAAGGGGCAGTAAGTGATAAGATTTGTGAGGGCAAATCTACACACCTCATGTATAGTTTCTCAAGAAAAAATAGCTAAGATTTGTGAACCTAAAGCCACGCCACCATGAAACTCCAACTCATACTGCTAGCTGTGATTTGTTCTCCATCACAACAGACAACTTAACATTACATTTAAGAGAGGTGGATAGTCAACTTTGGTGGACCCCTGCCTTGGTTTTCATTGCATGCAGGAGTTCTTCTTCTTCTCGCTCTCTCTCTCTTCCTTTTTTTTAGAGGGCTTGACATCATTTTGCTGACAATGTGTTATACAGCATTAAATTATTTGGAAAAGATTTGAATTTGACATAAAAATGTTGTGAAATTAGGTATCGGGTATGTGCCTAGGTTGATGTTGTGTTACATCCAATCCAGCCAGGTGTTTAGGTTAGACAAGATTTGAAAATTTATCTTTGGTGGGTCAATCGCTCTTTATGGTTGGGGGGTATACCATTGAAGTCAGTGTGGCCCTCTCCCACCCCAGCAGTAGGGTGGGGGATGTCTCTCCCTTTGTCTCCATGCAATTCCTCTCTGTACTGGTCCTACTGGAGATTGTCACGACCGGTTATAACTTTGATTTTTTCAGGCTTATGTTTCTCGGTCCATGCTTCTGTTTCTTATAAAACTATGGCCAAGTACTTAAAAAGTGTATTTTAAATGGCTTCCAGAACACATTGGTATCTGTGGGCTGCACCTTTCCAATCTGCGGTCTGCACATAATGACAACTTAACTGCTTAACAATTGTCATTGATAAATTTATATGCACAGTAAAGTACACTTCACCTAATGACAAAGAATGCTTAATGCTCTATGTACAATGTTGCAGGTGATTTGTTTAATTTGCCTTCCCTCCGGTGGCTGGAAACACACATCAAAGTTTTCACATAAATAAACGCATTCTTGAGAATTTTTGGAAAATTAATCTCATAAACACCCAATTCAGAAAACTATTTCAGCTCCAAAAGGCTGCACTAGATCTTTAGGAACAAGTCTTCAACCCACAGGTTGGGATGTACCATCACTAGCCACTCCAATTGAGAAAGCATCAACCACTGCCATAGAGGTTGAGAAACACCTAACATGAAGCAACAATGAGAACTGAACGCTGCCCTGCAGTTGAAGCAAATAGACTTGTTACCGGTTCTTGAACTCCAATCTATTAACTAAGATGCAACTCAAGTTTCAAGCTTTCAACTGAGAGATCTCCTTCAACTTCCCCTCCCACATCCCCCACTCGATCCCACAAAAGAAAGAAAAACTTTTACCTTGTTTCCTCAGCACATGGTTCATTTCATTTCCATCTCTTCTCAGTTTGCTGAACCATAACATAATTGGATGGCGTGGCGCCACTTGCTGCAACTGGCCAAACTGCTGGCTGCAAAACAATGTCACCAAACACCCACTTAGAGACCAGACTAAAGCATCCTTGAGAAAGTAAAAAAAATTTCCTACAATCTTTGGGATCATAACGTTTTTTGGTTTAAAAATACAATTAAATCCTAAAACTTACTCTGGAAATGCTTCCAAAATAGAGGCCAATCGGTTGCAAAGATAGATGAATGGCTCTCACTAATAATTTCATTGCTGGAATGTAGGCCATTGAATGGGAATTATCTCAATCCTCCTCAATCATTCCAAACAGTAAATCAGTTCCTCTCTATTAAAAGCAACATGGCTTAACAATTGACTGAGAATCATCCGATCATCATTTCCGTTGAAACTTTTTGGTTATTCTTTCTACTTGCCACTGAATACAGCAGATTGTCGTCTTTAAATGATATAAGATTTTCATTACTAACCTCATCAAGCCCAACACTTACAGTCAATGGTTGAGGAATATATCCTGCCTTCTTTATTTCACTTGTTAAACTTTCAATTATTGTATATATCTCGTCGGACTGATTATGAGAGTGATCACCTGCAGTAAATATGTGAACATTACTATCCACTTCAATCCAACTACAGCCAGGCGTCTTCTTGAGTCCCATGCCTCTGATATCTGATCTAATCCTAGTAACTTCATTCCATTTCCCATAATCTTCATACAAGTTTGCAAGAAGGGTACGGTAACCGATACTAGTAGGATCAAGTTCAAAGATATGATCAGCTACAATTTCTGCCAGTCTTTCATCACCATGAATTTTGCATGATCCGAGCAATGATCCCCATATACGATCATCTGGGACACAGGGCATTGTCAAAATAATATCATATGCATGGCTAAGATGCCCAGCTCGGCCTAAAAGATCAACCATGCAGGTGTACTGTTCAAGTTGAGGTTCAATTTTGTAATCTTGAACCATACGTTTAAAATATTTCAATCCCTCTTCAACCCTCCCTGCATGACTGCATGCAGACAATAGAGCTGTAAAAGTGGCATGGTCAGACTTCATTCCTGCTGCTTCCATTCTTTCAAATAAACCAAATGTTTCATCCGCATGGCCATGCATTCCTAACCCCAAAAGAATTGAATTCCATGATACTTCATTTCTTTCAGGCATTTTCTCAAATATAGCCCATGAGCTACTTATGTCTCCACATTTTGCATAAGTAGTTATTAGAGAATTGCTCACAAGAATATTGGACTCAAAGTCTTTTCGTAAAAGGTAACCATGAACCTCCTTGCACAACATCATGCCTGACAACTGAGCACAAACTGACAGAATACTTGCAATTGTCACAGCATTGGGTCTAACTTTTTCAAATTGCATGTCAAGGAACGCCTTTAAAGCTTCATCTAGACACTCATTCTGAGTATATCCAGATATCAAGGCATTCCATGATACCAAATCTCTAGCTGGTAGTCTATAAAAGACTTTTTGAGCTGACTCGATGTCTTTGCATTTAGCATACATATCAACCAAGGCACCACCAACAAAAACATCTGAATCAAACCCCAATTTTACTACTAGTCCATGGATTTCCACGCCTCTAGTCTTAGCAGTCAAGGAAGAACAGGCTCGTAGAACAGCCAAGATTATGACAGAATCGACAAACCCATATACTAATATATAGTTATGGAACAGGTTCAACGCCTCATCAGGATGACTACTTTGAGCAAAATTTGAGATGATAGCTCCCCACATGACCACGTTACGATTTAGAGATCTTTGGAAGATTTCAAGACCAGCCTTACTATCACCGCATTTAAAATACATGTCCATGAGAGCAGTTTCAACTCTAGCATCATTGTTCAATTGAATGCCAAAACAGAATTTATGCATTTGCCTTCCGAATGCTAAATCCAACATCTGAGAGCACAAAACTATAACGGCAACCATTGTGGAAGTATCTGGTGACAACCCAATTGACAACATCTCTAGGAAAACCTCCACTGCGTGTGACAAACACCCATTAGAGACATAACCCGAGATCATCACATTCCATATAACTGGATTCCCTCTGATCGACTCTTCATTAATAATGCTCCTAAAAACATATTCCGCATTCTTCACATCCCCACATTTCATGTACATATCGATTAACCCACTAACCAAGAACTGATCAGTATCTATCTCCCTTTTCACAACAAACCCATGAAGTTCTCTTCCATGAACTAAAGACTGAACTGAAGAGCAGGACGTGAGAGCTGAAAGGCAAGCTACCCGATTCGGTAACACCCAGTGATCATGTATCATTCGACTAAACATTCTCAACGAACCCATGTAATCTCCCGAATGACAGAGGCCAGATATCATTGTATTCCATGAAACCAAATCCCTCTTACACATTTTCTCAAACATCTGAACTGCATCCTCAATTGCTCCGCATTTCCAATAAACACCCAAAAGAGAATTGACATCATAAACATCATCTAAAACTCCTAATTTCAACACATGCCCATGAATCTCCCTAGCCTTGCCTACATCAGAAAGCCCCCCAAAGGCCTTAATCAAACAGGGAAAGAATCGAAATTCCTCAACAGGCAAACCAAATTCAAGCATTTTAACATAAATCGTTATTGCATCTTCGCAATTCCCATCCTCCACATACTCCTTAATCAGCTGACCAGCCGACAAAACTTCGTCTTGGGAAGAATCCCTCGAAAGCCCGCATCCCAAAATTGATTTCCGAGATGGGTTTTGCAGGAATTGTACTTTAGAACAAAAAGTATGAAACTTGGAGCTAAAAGATACCAGGCAAGGCTTACTTGCACCCCTGAGCTTGTACTGTAATGCCTCGGATGGTCTTAACGGGTTGTGCTGGTGCAGGCCATGACCGTAAGTATGAACCGAGTAGAAGTCTAGTGGTCTAGCAACTGCCATTCTCTCTGGTCCCAAGGTCTCAGAAACCTCACCGGAACTGAAGAAACACTTCCACGAGAACGGGGACTCAAACTGAAAATGTTATCCGGCGCGAAACGATGTCGTGCAAAGGCGGGGAATTTGATGTGAACTGTACGTAAATACGGCGTCGTTGTTATTTAGGGCTTAAAATTGGTTATTGAATGACTTAAATACCCTTCGCGGGACAATCTTGCCGCTACGTTGTCTTCTTCCTTCTACTCAAAGCCTACTGAGGTAAACAAGCTTCCAATCGCCGATTACTCGTCAAAAACTCGCACGATTCAGTAATTGAATGGCAGAAAAAGCGACCGGTTCGCCGGCGAGCTTCGTCGACCAATCAGTAGTAAGAATTTCTCTTCGTATTTTCCCTCCGGTAATTGTTTCTTTTTCGTTTATGTGATTTTCAATTTCTTGTTGTTTAGGTTCCAGGCGATGTGGTTCTTGACCTCACCAGCATGGCTAACCAGACCATCAAGCTCGGCGGTGGTCTTCGCCAGGTCTCTCTCTCTCTCTCTCTCTCTGTGTGGTGACTGTAAGGACACATATGGCTGTCAATATCTCCATTATATACTTTTTTAAATTAAAAATTAAAATTTTCAGGATTGTGATGCAATAACTGCGATGAAGGCTGGGACTTTGAAGTTTTCAAAGCCAAACAAATATTGGGTCGAAACCTCTCAGAAAAGGGTATGCGTGTTTCCCTCCACATTCACTATTTTAAAAACAAAAATCTTTCATTTGTTTTTCATGTACGTTGAAATTTCAATTTTGGTGGTTTGTGCAGTATGTGCCTTGTGCGGGGGACTCTGTTCTTGGAATTGTGGCGGACTCTAAAGCAGATGTAAGAGCTTGAATGTGTCCTTATTGCATTAGGTGATTATTGGTTCATTGGTGCCAGCTTCTTGCTCATGAATTTGTTTTGTTTTTCCTTGTTTGGGTTTAGAATTTTCTGGTGGACATCAAAGGACCTACAATTGCATTTTTGCCTGTGCTTGCTTTCGAAGGAGGAACCAGGAGAAACATACCAAAGTTTGAGGTTTGTGTACGTTTAAATTGCGCCTATATATTTATTGCCATGGTGCTCATATCTTGAAAATGTATACTGGAAACATGAGTATATGAAGAAAAAACGAAAGCATCGTTATCATTGCTTTCTTGTCCTAAACATCAATGAAACAACTGTCATTATCTCTCTGCAACGCACCTATGCAGCCTCATCTACTAGACCAGTTTTACTCCCAAGAAAAAAAGTTATTTATATATATGAGGGAGATTTAGGTAGCTTTTATGGGCTTTAAGTTTGTCTCGATCTTATTATTGGTGACTGGTTCTAACTTCCTGCAACTTAAATGATCTTCAAAGTCATGTCAAAGAAAATGTGTGAAAATGGTTCTATAAATTATTTGAAAGACATAGCCTTTACGACAAATTTTCAGAAAATAGATTTTTTGTTTTGGGGGGCGAGGGTGGGGAAGGAACACGTCTGTATTGAGACGTAGTAATTTCATTGTTGTAATTTTGGTCCTTTGCATGATAGCTATTTATTATCTTTTAACTTCAAATTTAGTTTTTTTTGGGTGCAATCCTTTACCATAGCTAATCAGTTACTTGACAGGTGGGTACATTGCTTTATGTCCGGGTAGTGAAGGCAAACCCTGGCATGAATCCTGAGTTATCATGCATTGATGGTTGGTTTTCTATCTTTTCTTTTTCATTTTGGGACATGCTTTATATGTCAATAGGTGTGCCTTGTGTTTTAGTTCTTGTAAATGTTGCTTCATTGGATTTCTGTGATTATTTCTTGACTATGATTGAAATTTTTGTGTAATCTCTAGCCAGTGGAAAAGCAGCAGAGTATGGTCCCCTTAAGGGTGGCTACATGTTTGAATGTTCAACTGGCCTTCCAAGAATGTGAGATGTAGTTCCCCTTGCTATGATATGTAAGAAGTGCTTAGGGGATAGATACTGCTGTTGTCTAAGCACATAGTCAATGCATAAAACAGAGGGTTTTCTTTCTTCAATTTTAAAATTAACCAGTCATCCGGTTTTCAGGCTGCTGAGCTCACCAAGATGTCCAGTTCTGGAGGCGCTTGGGAAGAATATTTCCTTTGAAACAGCAATTGGTTTAAACGGCCGTGTTTGGGTATACTTCTTAACAGCCTTTTTCAATTTTATTTTTGTAAAAATTATTATTTCTTAATTGGGTGTAAACGGTTCCTTGTATCTTCGTTGTAGCTAATTTCTTTGCTTTCACCATCAATAGAAAAACCTATTCAAACTAAGATCATTGCTTGCTCAGCCTGATTTCCCTTTATTGGGTCTTGGCTGAACGTAATTCTCAGTGGGGACATTTTCATTGTCGTAGACTTGTTTTCTAGAACTCCTTTTCTATTTGAAACATAATTCCTTCTAATACCATTTGTTTTAAATTCTTCTTAACTTCCAGGTCAATGCTGGTTCACCATCTACAGTGATCGTTGTTGCTAATGCAATTATGAATGCAGAATCTCTGAGTGGGGTGCAGCAGAGAATTATGGTGGATAAACTTATTCAGAATTTGAAGTTATCAAGTTAGTCCATCACGTTATGATTCAAACTCCTATCTTAATTGTCTGCATGTTTCTATATCATTTTGTTTCGACTCTGTTATGATATGAAACTAACTTTCTTTTATGCTTTTTGTGTAGCATGACAATTCAAGAAGTGCAAGCATTGTAGCTGTCAAACTCGGCCTGTTACACAGAAGACGTTTTTTCATGAAGGTTAAAGAAGACACCGGAATCCAGTGATCACAATCTCATATGCTAAAATGATATTTAGGATGAGCCTTCTAAACCAGTAGAGATGTCTAGGAACTATGTCTTAACTCCAAATTTTGTTAATTAGCTTTATAGCTTAGAAGTATACTGTTTATTTAAGCGGCGGATTTCATCATGTAAATTGAGAATGTGCCTATGTATTTTGAATTCACAAATGCTATTCGACTTGTGCCACATTATTCAAATGTTACAGCTTACAAAGCTACAATGAAACTCTTGTTTCTTTAACCCAGGTTCAATGTGACAGTACACTGCTGACTAGCGATGTACAGCATCATGTGCCTGAATTTGGGTCAGAGAACTATACTATAGATGTTGAAATCCGTACTTGGGTTCCACTATAATTTGCTGTTTTGACGACAAAGCCACTGTTTTTGTGTCAGTTTGGCAGCTGATTAACAAGCTCGAAAGCGAGTTATATACTCCAACCATAGCTTGATAACGGGTCTATTAGTGGTTGTATACAATCATGTACATATCTTTATCAGCGGTTGTATACAATTATGTACATATCTCTCTCATCACGTTACTGGCTGTGGACCAATACAGTTGCATAATGATAGAGACATAAACATAGTTGTATACATCCGATTCTACCAAAGATTTACCACATTCTGAATCATGTTGCTTATTACTTTGTGCTCAGCTAGTCCACTATCAAGATTCTCAGGGCTTTTGCTCCACTGGTAAAAATTTGGAGATGAGAGGAAAATGATCACGGACTGGTTCAGCAATGGATCAATCCAGTCCACACACGTGGCAAACAGAGAGAAGCTCCACCATTTTCTGAATGATGCATTAAATGCAACTGCTTCACTCACATGTATGTAAAAAGGTCACAGTGATTATGGACCTTTGGTAAATTGCTAGTCTCATATTGATTGCTGTTTTTGTTGTATTTAGGTTCCGAAGGTTCTCACTGTGCCTGTAGCCCACAAAGACAGTGATTCATAATTAAGCTTCCAAAAGTACAAACCCCAGTTTGTGAAGTCTCACTCTCACTCAGACCAAAACTGGATCTTGCATTGCCTTCCTGATTTTCTGTATCTGATCACTCTGTCATTTTCTTATTTTTTAAATTTGATTGCAGAGATTTCTGCTGACTTATAATGGCTTAGTTGAAACTTGAAAGCTGGTTGATTTTCAGATTATTTTCTGAAAAGTTCCAACTTGGTCAAAGAGGTCATCATTTATATAATTATATTGCTTGCATGCATGTGAAACTTTCAATTCAATTGTAAGAAGTCTATTGGAAATGGGGGAAAACAAAAACCCAGTTTCTTGTAACTACACAGAAATTCTTATGTGGATCTCTCTGTTTTGTACCAGAAAAATATATGATGGTTTGATTATTTTCACTTTCAGTGGTTCAGCTCAGATGATCAGAGGCTAGCTACTTCTTCTGGAAAATAGAATAACTAGGAGCTATTAATTATATATCAGCTGGCTTGAAATTCCATGCTGTGATTCTTCAATTATTATACATATATATTCTCACTCACATCTATTCATTCAAAGGTCATAGATTCACAGGCCTACTGGCTTGGTATGTTGTAAGTTGCATACAAATTGATGCCTGATAAGATCATGCAGCAGACTAACTTATTCAACTCAAATTGTGAATAACTAGCTTCAGACCCAAACACACAGCCCTACTCTCTCTCTCTCCCCACGGGAATTTTTGGGTGAGAAAGAAACAAAATCCAATGATTCAAGTAGTCTCTCAGACTTAAAAAAGAAGCTTGCAAATCACAGATTCATTGGATTATACCTAGAGATTTGTGCATGCTGCGAATATAACAAAACCAAGATATATAAAGATTTTTTCCCCATCTTTTATCAGTTTTTCTTAAGAACAAAGGTTGTGAAATGAATTTCAATCGATGATATGGAAAGAGACTCTACATGGTAGGTTGATCTGCAACGAACAATAGATGTGGGCATCATCAGCACGTGCTAAAAGACTGTGTGCAATCTTTGTCTTCTTATCAGACCAATGTGTGTCACATTGGTTTTGTTCCTGTGTCACAGTGTGTGTGAACACAATAGATACCATAGAATTTATGTGCATTGCCTTCATCTTCAGGGTAGGCAACAAAATTAATATACGTCGAATTTTTTTGTAATTATTTGACCCAGAATCTTTAGTTTGAATGACTTTTTCATTCTGTTTCTGTCATACATGTGTTTGAGCAAAAGCAGATTGCTTGCTCTTTGTTTGAAGTGGTTTGGGGCAAAAGCAGAGTCTACAAAACTTGTGAACAGAAATCACCACCACTGTGCATGAGCAAGTTATTAAAATCAATTATAAGATGTTAAAGCTCAATAAGATTAATCATAATGCATATTGTATACCTTGTTGTTATTATTGCATTGGGTAGTTTTTTTTCTTTTCCTTAATGATGAATGGATATCTTAACAATATCATGTTGGCCACATTAACTTTCTTGTCATTTGTTCATTATGAGAAAGCTTAGAAACTTGATGATGAGATGATGGGTTCCATCAGATTGTCAAACTGAATTATGAGCTTAGCCGACCTAACTTAATTAAGCTGCATATTAAGTTTAATTTCATGATCATCATGTGCCAAGGGGGCCAAGGTGAGAGAGAGAGAGAGAGAGAGAGAGAGAGAGAGAGCTGGAGATGACAATGATGGGATCCATTCCATAATGATATGTAAGCGTTAGGGTAACAGACAAACAATGGTCGTCTGCTACAATTAGCTAGCTTTTTTACCGTCCATATATATATATATATAAAACATTATTTTTGTGTGCAATTAAAGTTGTATGATATATATTACGACATTATATGACAGCAGTAGATAGTGCCAAGCAAAAGCATTGCTTATGCCTGCAGATAATGAAATTAGATAGCCACCCACACACATTATATATCACTCCCTCCCAAGTCCCAACACTAGCTTTTTATCTATATATAGTTTCACACCTATATATATATATATATTTTTTTTTAATATATAAACCACCATGTATTAGTATGAGTATTTCATCCACAAAAAAACCACCACATTGAGTAGACTTCCAATTGAATCCCCAAGTAGCTTTTCCTCTTTTCCTCTCTCTGTCTCTGTCTCTCTCTCTCTCTCTCTCTCTCAAGAGTCTTGCTTGCTTGCTTGGTTGTGCTTTACTAACAAGAACAAGAATGGAAGGTGGGAATGAGTATAAGAAAGGTCTTTGGACAGTGGAGGAGGACAGAATTCTAATGGATTATATAAGGGTGCATGGAAAAGGGAAGTGGAATCGTGTTAATAAAGTCACAGGTACTTGGCAATTCAGCAGAATGCATGCTTTCTTCTTCTATTTCTTTTTCTGCAACTAAGTTGTGAATTATTGATGTGGTGTAGGATTGAAGAGGGGTGGCAAAAGCTGCAGGTTAAGGTGGATGAATTATCTGAGCCCAAGTGTGAAGAGAGGTGACTTCTCTGAGGAAGAAGATGACCTTATCATTCGACTCCATAACCTCCTTGGAAACAGGTTCCTCCATCTCCTTCTTCAAAATCAATATCTCCATATAAGATTCTCAAAAGATATTGATGGTCTTTTATTAATTCAATGTGAACAAGCTGCAATTTTTATTATTTATTTTTTGGTTTCAACAAGATATGAATCTTAAAATCAATATCCTTAGCATAAAGCATCTAGTTCTACATTTCTGCATGATTAACTTGCTTCTTCTGTCTTCTTTCCTGCAAAATTTTACCATGCCTGTTGAACTCTGGTATAACCATCCCTGTTAAATATTCTTTCTTTCTTGGCGTTTCATTGCTTTCAAGCCCCAGCAACAAATACTGGGCAGGCAGTGACCACTCTAATTAAATTTCATGCATTATTGCTATGCTATAGTAGCTAGTACATGTACAAAGTTATTAATACCAGACAACTATAGTTGCATTAATTCCTATTGTACCCCTCTAGTTTTTACTGCTGACATTGATGTGTGCATTTACATATTAATTATTTACCATGCAATATTTAACCTACCAAAGAAAAATAAAAATAAAAAGAAAAAAGCTCTGCTGTAGCAGTCTTAACTGATATATTATTGATCTCAATTTTGTTACATGTTCTTTCTTAATTAGGTGGTCTTTGATAGCTGGACGTGTTCCTGGGAGAACTGACAACCAAGTCAAGAACCATTGGAACACTCATTTGAGCAAGAAGCTCGGTGTGAATTCGAAGAAGGGAAAGGCGAAAGCCAAGACTTGTTTAGGCTTAAAACAAGTGAAGGGGAGCTTCTGTACGGCCTCAGAGTCAAACTCTGAGCAGCAGCCTCAACCCAATTCCAATTCCAATATTGGTGATCATGAAGCTGCATCTGCTGCTGGGTTTGATGATAAATTGATGATGATCAAAGACAACATTGGCTCTAAAAGTGGGGTTGGTTTTAGTGGCATGTGGGAGGCGATGATGAACAACAATAATTATGACAGCTCCTTTTGGTTTTACAATGATGACCTTAATCTAAATAGCCCTTATTATTTATTGGACCCTAGTCTAGATGATCACCATTACCCTCTTCAATTTTGAATTTGTTTCTGATGGCTTGTAGACTTTTTAACATTTTGTATATATTCTCTCTCTATCATCAATGATTAATAATCTAATCTAATATTTTTGGTTAAATACTTCTCATCTGATATATACTTACCAATTGATATTATGCATTGTACTATGAATGCCTGCTTAATCATATAAACCTAATCAAACCCAACTAATCCAGATGATGGAGGCAGTTGGGTTGATTTAAAGTAAGGGGTTAAATCAATTGAATCCATCACCAAGATCCAATCAAAATCTAATTCAGATCTTCAAGGTGCACAAACTTTGGCTCACATCAGGACAAGTAGACAAATATAAATGCTAGTCACTGAGGCAGGGTCCAGTAGTGTCCTTTGTTTTGTATAGTATCTTGCCTTGCCACACTTAGTGCTCACACTTTTGGTAGGTGGTCCTTCCTGCTTCTGGTTCTGGATAAAATGCATATTACATTAGCTTCCATCGGGAGTCAAGCAACATTTCTTTATTCATTTTCCTTTTCGTTTTTACAACTATGTATCTATCTCTTTCATCACATTGATATATTAGTTATGCGATTAGAGGCAGATATTATTGTATCCAACCCGTTACATTTAAAGGATTTCAAATTGGTACAGATATTTTGATATTGGTTTATTTTCTTCTTTCCTATTTGATGTGACTCGGAATTTTTGTTCATTTACAAATTTGCTGGTGATCTTGGGAGAGCTAAGATGCAAATCTCGTCTGCTTCTTTAGGCCCCCTTGTCCTTGTGCATGTGCCAATAAATTATTGAACTTCAACACATGCCAGCTGTCTTTTTTCTCTGAGATTTTACAATCAACCCAATCAAGGTGGGAAGCAGAAAAGGGCAAGTAAAAGATAGGAAATCTGTGATGGCCTATTGGGACTTTTTGCTCTGTAATAACCAGGTAACAATGACCAATGAAGAATTGAGGACAGCAGAGGTCTTTTGAGCTAGAGAGAGAAAGCCCATCAGAGAATGACATGTTTTGTCCCAAAAAAAGAAAAAGGAAGAGCATGACATGTTTTATAGATACAGCATACAGGCATAAAATAAAGGCACCAGGCCTTGGCTCTTATTACCCAAAAAAGCAAAAGATGATAGGGGCAAATGGGCTTGCCTTTAAGTTTTTGACGTTGTCATGTTTTTTTGGTTTTTTGTTTGTCTCAATTGCTTAGAAAATAGCTTTTGGATGATTTTGAATTGCTTCCCCACACATGTAAATAATTGCTCCTTTTGAATTATGCAAAAGTGCTTTTCTTTGTCTACTTGAAAGTCACTTCCCTTTCAACAACAAAATCATTGGCATAAAGAAAGCTACGTCGTTGAGACGTGTTGTGCTTGTGTATACATTTCACTCTCAAAAAAAGTTTGTTTGGGAGAATATTGCTGAAGAGGGACAAAAAAGTCCCAATATTCTCGACTCTTCTCGATTAATTAGACATCTAGCGTATGACTTGTGCATCTCTTGATTAACCAAAGGTCTGAAAAAAGCAGGAAAAGCACTAGTGACCTTTAGCCTTCACAACTCTATATCGTGATCAAGTGGTCCATGCTAGAAATGATTAACAAATATACGTAGAAGAGTGTTGTAGGATAGGCTTTGTATTCGAATCTATGTACGACCAATTAACTGAATCCCTACGTAGCCAAGTCACAACCAACACAGATGCATCATGAATGAAAGACTTTGCTAGCTAAAAGCATTCACCGTGATCTTATATCATGTGCCCGTGTTTTAGTACTGCACAATCTTTAGAGACGGGAGTTGCGAATGAAAGCACATTTTATTTATTCCAAGAGGGTGCAACTTTGATGCATATTTTCTGTCTACAATTTGTGGGAAAATTTCCGATGGGTGTAAACTTGTGTTATCTTGTTTGGTTGGTTCTTAATAGATATACAGTTCGTGGTGTTAGTTTTGAAAAGGAAATAATGGTTTCTGGTCGGATGTTCGGTGGTCTTACAATAAGAAATGCGTGCATGAACACATCATATGCCCCATGATGCAACAAGATGTCCATGTCAATCTTAAAGACATATGCCCCACGATGCAACAAGTATTTTCTCTTTTTTCCTTTTTTGAGAAGAAAAAATATATATAAATGTATGTACTCTCTTCCTTTTTACAAAAATAATTGAGCATTATGAAAGCCTTCCTTCACCTCAAAAACCTGTTGTCGGAAGAAGGAACCATGTTCAGAAAACGATCCGCACAAGTCATTGACTAAACGCGATCTTTTTCTGGAAAATTGGTAGACTTGGGAACCCTTTTCCGGCCAAACAATCGTTTAATATGTACTTATTGTATCGATTATTATGGCTAACTGTTGATCAGCGCATTAACCACCAGGATTTCATATTGTCCGTGAATGCCTTTTTGTTTTGTTTTTTTCAGCAAAGTTTGCTCTCTTTTTTTTCTCTGATCTGTTGCCTTTCGCAAAAGATATTTGAAGAAGAAAAATAACCTATATGGCCCACTATCAAATACAACACATCAGGGAAACATAATTTTCTTAAGTTTATCTGTATTCTCTATCATGAACAAAACAGTACATTAACCTAATTCTATTGCTCTTGAAGTCCTTCCGACTTCTTCACCACCGCGAAGCTCTCCCTCACCTTCCCCTCCACAGTGCATGGTATCAGCCTCTGAAACACCGACCGCCTCACCAACGCCTGCCATTTCAATCTCCTTCGACGATCTCCTCGACACACTGCAGTCCGGATGTGGCTTCTTGTTGTTTTCTTCTTCTTCTTTTTTGACTCGTCGTTTTTGGTTTGGTTTCTTCTTCTCTTCCGATGCGAAGGGAGGTGACGAAACTGCTGAAAAATATAAGTTCCACATTGAAAACTTGACTAAATAAAATACAACATATAATGAATGGTTCCAATACTAATTAAGTTGGTTTTAAAAAATGTTTTCTTCATATTTTAATCAATTTTAAAATAAAAACAAGCGAACGTATGGGACTCATAGTACCATGTAGGTAACTAATAGAGAAATATGACAGAAACTCGAACAGTGGAACCACATTGTAGTAAATTGAACAGATCGGGGTATCTAATTGCAAAATCAAGAGGACATGGACCAACATGCTTCACAAGTGCAACCACAATGTACTAAACTGTCATTAACCCTTATATTTTTTCACTTTGCATTTTAGAAATTTATTTGGTACATCCAATAAATTTTAACGAATTCAAACTACAAAGGTAAAGATATTTAAAATATATATATATATTATTAAATTTTAAGCTAAAAATTTTAGTTAGCCCACCCACCAAAAAATTCATGGCTCCACCCTTGGTCCTCTAGTGGAACCTCTCACTCCTCAGAACTTGTATTAAAACCTACACCATCTATTAGGGTGAGCATTTTAATGCCCATTAGGGTACCATGACACCCCAGAAGATCAATTATCATCGTTAATCAAAGTGAGCATCTATGGCCACTTTTGTCCATATATGTACTTTGCTATCGGTTGCACACTATCAAGTACATTGGGCTTGATATGTTTTACTGCTTTCCATATTGTGTTATTGCTAATTTTTGCCCTATATTCCTTGCTTTGTCTTCCCATGACAAAAAGGGGGAGACGAGTTTTATTTCTTTGATATGTTTCTCTTGATATTGGCCCTTGTGGTGTGTAACCTGCAGGGACTTTTACTCCAAGATCAAGGCATAGCTCTAGGATGGGTTTGTGTGCTGAGTGGGAGAAAATGAGTTTTTGTCAAGGAAAGCCAAAGGGGAGACTGTTATGTTCTCGATTTGCTAGTATTGGCTTTCCTTGCCAAAGTCTTATTGTTTCTAGTAATTTTCTAAATCCTATTCATGCTCAAATGTTTAGTGTAGATTTAGATAGGTTTAGACATAATCATCTCAAGGATGATATAAGCTTAAACTCGTAATCTCCAAAGGTAAAGCACGTATTTGCATGGCATTCATGTTTAATCATTGCAGTGTTTATTCTTAGATGACTAGTTCGTGCATTATATTCGGGAAAAAGTTCAACGTCGTGATCTTGTGGTTCAATACATTCCCACCGAAGAACATTGACATTTTAACTAAAGGTCTTCATAGTGCTGTGTTTATTCTTCAATGCACCAATCTCAGACTTGGTCCAGTTCTAGCTGGGGCTGCTGAGATTGAGGGGAGATGATTGGCAAAAGTCCAGATGTTATGCTGATGTGTGTGATTGTTAGTGTTCACGTGGGTCTGTTAGAGTTAGTTATGCAATGGCTTAAGCGTTAAGTAAATCCGTAATTCACAGTTTTCTCATAGATACAGTTATCTTCCATCTCCATCGCTTTCGTGTTCTTCTCTAGTTCTTCTACATTCTTCGTTTTCTGTTTCTGTCTTCTCTCAAGAACAATAGCTTTCTTCAAGCTTCTCCATTTCTGTCTTCTCCCATGTCTAACATCATCTCTCCTCTCAAAGGAAAGAGCATATTGCCTTCTAAATTATTTGATACATTAGATTATTCACCCTATCAATGGTGTGATTTAAATCAAGTTGTTTATTGAAATTCAATCATGCTTCCCACAAAGTAAAATTTCCACCTCACTTTATGGATATGTTTAACTTCCCACTCAAAATACTTGCTCCTCGTTGGCTTGTCAATATTCTTGCTGCATATGCTTAATGTTTCTTTGCAAATTTGAATAAAATTCCTATTTCTTGGCAAAACCATGAGCTCTAATAAGAAACAATTGTGGTAACATGACGATTATTCATGAAGGGATTTTATTATTTTCTTTTTGGATACAAGTGATATTCTAGAATCTAAAGAATGGAAAAGAGAAGACGAGATTTGTCACTATTCTCCTCTCACATGTTGCCAACGAAATTTATAATCACAAAATAATTATTAAAAGTAGATAATGATAAAAGTCCATACAAGTTTGTCACTTAACTTTATAAACTCTACTGAAGTCATTAAAAATCTATAACTCTATGAAAGTCACTCACTTCGCTTAAAAACAAAAGAGAAGATGAGTTGTTCTTCTTTGTTATTGAGAGAAGAGATAGAAAATGGGTGAAGGAGATTGACGTTTGATTTTAGGGTAAAGAGGTAGTTCAGTTTCCATTCCAAAAACTGTTAAAAAGCAAAAATCATATTTTTGATCCTTTTTTTTCATTGGATCATTATAAGGGGCTTGTAGTTTAGATCTGCACCAATTGAGCTCGAACCCAATACTAAAAATTCAAATAGAATTCAAAATTCTTAATTTATCCTTAAACGTGCTAGTAAACCAAAAGTTAAAGAACAATCGTACTAATCTAGCAAAAAAAAGAACAATAATATGAAAAAGAAGAAGTCGTTGATTTGTGTTTGTTCTTCATGCCAAAACCCTACCTGCTCACTTTTGCATTCACATATGAAAAAGAAGAAGAAAAAAAAAGGATTTGTATTTTTCTATTTTCAAAAGCAAAAACCAGCTTTCGCGAAAGTAGAAGCCAGGCAAATCATGAATTTAACCCATCTGAAAACACCACCACCCTAAATAATTCATGTCGCCAATTGAAGATAAACAAGAAAGAAACCAAATATTCTAATCCCTCTCCTTTTTTTTTCTTTTAACAAAAATACAAGATATAGTAATTACTCTAATCCAGTCTGCGAAGCCCAAGCCTCCTTAACTAGAGTTGCATAGCTGGGCCAATAGCTTTAGGCCCATTAATCCAATGGGTTCCAAAATGAATTAATGGAATTGGCCCATGTCCCTGAAGCACCGCAGCCGATAGCACCACATTATCTGCTGCAGCATTCTTTGGCGTCATTCAAGTTCCAGACTTCCTCTTCGAAACACTAATAATAGCGACGCTGCTTTGGGATGAGCAAAAGCCCACCTTCTTAGCTTTAGGCTGACCTCATTATTTTCATCATCTCCTGTAAGTACTTTCATCATCAATATTACAATCAGAAATGGTTAATGAAAGGTTTCATTCAGTTTTTTTTCTTGTTTGATTTTCCCTTCCCTCTCTGATTCTCCCTTTTTATTTAACTGTCTCTTCCAATTTTCTCTTTGCTGAGTGATTCAGCTAGAGGAGGAAGAGGTCAGTATGGCCACCACTCAATCCTCAGCTCCCAGTCCTGCGGACGACAAGCCACAAAACCCGGGTACAATTTCTCTCTTTTTCTCAAATTTTCTTCTTTGAATTGTTGTTTCTTTATACAGTACTGCTCCTATAGTTGACGAGGAAGTTCAGGAATTTATGTTCAATACATAACTACTATTTGGTTACCGAATGATTTGCTTGGAGTAGCTTAGTTCCTGGTGCAATTAATTAAATAAAACCAGAAGATTTGTTTGTATGATTACTGTTTAACGAGTTAAATAAATTAATGGGTTATGATAAAAACATAGTTCTTGTAAATTAGCTGCAGTCTAGCTTATGTAAGAATAAAAGAAAGCTATGAATCTTAGCTATGTATATCTAAGCTGTATGTTTAAGATGGTAATCCTGATTTTTAACTTGTGCAACAGGGCTTGCTCAACCTACAATTGAGGGTCAGCAAGATGCTGGGGCTGAGCCCCCTAAACAAACTTCTACACCATCTGTCTTTGTGAACTCTGAACCAATGAGAGAGGAACAAGTACAAAATGCGGTGAAATTCCTTTCACACCCGAAAGTTAAGGGATCTCCAGTCATGTACAGACGGTCTTTTCTTGAGAAGAAGGGCCTCACAAAGGAAGAGATTGATGAAGCATTTCGACGTGAGCCTGTAAGTGAATTGTTGATTGCTATTCAAGCAAATCGTCAATCATCAATCTTTTTCATGTTTCACATTGTTTGTTTGCAAATTGCAGGACCCATCTTCAAGTGCGCAGGCAACTGCAAATCAAGGTAATAAAAAACTGGTATTAAAGTGGGTTTTGGCTTAAAGGTTGTGCATTGTTTGTATAAGTGATAGTTGTATATGCTTTCTTATGTCAGATGGACAAGTAAAGACATCATCAAATGTTCAGGCACAAAGTGCCACTCAAACTCTGCAGCCCGCAGCTGCAGCTCCAACTAACGCCATTTCCTCTGTGCGTACCTTAACTGGGTATAGATTCCACTGGTCTCATGCCATTGTTGCTGTAGGATTACTGGCAGTTTCTGGTGCTGGAACAGCTATATTACTTAAGGTAAAATACTCAACTTTTCTACAATATTAATTGTTATCCTCATGTTCTGATGCTAGCCCTATGAGTTATATTGCTTTTATATGCTTCTTTTCCCAGTTTCACATGGTGACTAAGTAATTGTACCCTTTAGACTTTGATCACTCAATAGTTATTAGCTTGGTGGCTTCTGATAACACGTTCCCTGTTTTAGAAATCTATTATCCCTAGGTTGAAGGCTTGGGTACGCAAGGTTGTATTGGAAGATGAAAACGACATTGAGAAGAAAACCGACCTGAAACCAAGTTTGGCAGAAGAAGCTGCGGCAGCTGCTAAAGCTGCTGCAGCTGCAGCAGCAGATGTGGCAAAAGCAAGCCAGGAGATGCTGAACTCTAAGACCGAAGGTGGGGCTATGGTACTTTATAGCTACCATGTTAACCTATTTCTGTCGTCATTCACTTTATTTAGTGATCTTATTATTGTCTTCTTTTTTACTTATACTGATACATATTACTGTTGTCATGATTTCGAACCATTGTTTATACTTGGGCCAGAGAGGAGATACTTTGTGGAACTCATGAGTTTGTTAGATGTTCAAGTGCAAGAAATGAAGTCAATGAATAATTCCATTCGGAAATTGGAAGGTACTGGAAATATTATATGTGATCAAGCTAGTGCTTGTGATTGATTTTTCTGCCTAAAATACAGTTACATCTTCATTTGTTTGCAATCAGGAAAAAGACTGGTTTTTGTTTGTAACTGGACTCCAATGATTATTTTGATTGATATTCTATCTTTCTGCCTAATGATCAGGAGAAACAAAGGCCTCAAGAACCTCTCTTGTTGATCATGAGGATAATCGCTACAATAGCACAAATTCAAAGGTCAGCTGAAGATAGGCATAAATTTGGAATTCTCGTTGATATTTAAAAGGTGTAGATAATATCATATCTGCATTTATTCAAAAGATAGCTTTTTTACTATTGATCTGTTTTACAGCAACAATATGCGAATGGCAAGGCAGAGTATGACGTGCGATCAGGTTATTATTCTCTAATTGCCAACTTTCTATTGTCTAATCTTTCTAATGTTTATTGATTTCTGCTTTGTGTTATTACAATTTTCTGTACAGTGCAATCTTCCTCAGCTCCTCCATCTGTGGAACCATCAGCTGCGCCTCACCCAAAGTCTTATATGGATGTAAGTCATTTTTATGGTCTTTTCATAAGTACTGTTTAGTACATGGGTCTATCATTGAGAGCTTCTCTTTTATCATATTAAACCAATCTAATGGTTCAAGGAATGTAGTCTTTCTTTTTATGTGCAAATTAAATATTTTGGTATAAAATACTCTGTTAGCTCTCAACTCTCGCATATAGACTGTCATCCAGTGGCAGTCAGTGAGTGGATGCAAAGATCTAATTTATAGGGATTTCTCAGGGCATGTTATCATTTTAGTTGTATGTAAAATTCTTTTCATTCACCATTTTTTTTACATTGTACTTAGAGCTTGAAGAGTTCTTATATAATGTGCTCTAACCTTCCAGTTGGACCAATTTGTTATTAAGAGATATCTAAGGTTAGAATGGATGAATCATAAAAGATTCAGGAGGTCCAACAGATTATAAGCTGACTAGGTTGAAAATAATCTTTTATGTAGTTTTAATTTTATCTAACCAGTTGGTGAACTGGAATATTATAATATGTGTCTTATAATTGCTTTTCATTTGAACTGCAATTTGAGTTTGCGGATTATCCATGCAATAGTTTTAACTCTTTCATTGTTGTAATGTGTGGTTAGGTTTAAGGCTTCGGAAATTTAACACTCATGTGCATTGTTAATTTTATGCCTGCCTATTTAATTTTTATCATAATATTGCAGATCATGGCCATGGTTCAAAGAGGGGAGAAACCTCCTAATGTCAAAGTAAACTCTTTGTAGATTTTCCAATTGAAGTCAGCTTTTTTCTTCTTTATTTTTTCTTAAATGTTAACCCTTTGTCATTCTGGATGCATACGCAGGACATTGATGATTTACCCCCCAACCCTAATCAGCAACTATCAAATCCTCGCTTGGCACCTAGAGCTAAGGTATTGCTTTTGAGAGCTTTTCACCTTTTCATATAAACACACACCACCACCACTCACGTGGCCCGCCCTCTCTTTTCCTTCTTTGATTCACTCCAGATTAGTACACATGGTTGGATCATATAAAAAATAATTAGATTATAGATTGCTGCATGTCTTTCACAATCTGTATTTTTTACAAACGAAAAGTGGCTTGTTTTTAAAAAATTATCTTCGTATTTACAAGAATTAGTTGTATGCTTTATGAAATTATGGAAATATATTTTTACAAATTCATGAACTTCAATGAAAATTTTGACCAAGTTAAAAAATTCAATTTTCTTGCTTTGATACCAAATGGAGATGATTGTTACTTTTTGTTTTCTTGGGTAGCCTTGGGAGGTTGGTCAGGCCCAAAACAACTCGAGCCAAGTATTTCAGTCTCAAGTAAGCAGTGAAGGCTTGAATTCCAGCATTCAGGACAGTGGGCTCGATTATCAGTCAAACGGTGATGGTACAGTGCCTTGGTGGCAGCGGAAAAATGCTAGAATCACTGAGATAGAAAATGAAGTCAATGCAGGGTCTTTTGGTGCACGAACTAGTGAGCTTCCAGTTCAGCCAGTTCAGCGTACATGGGTTCCTCCCCAGCCACCCCCGGTTGCAATGGCAGCGGCAGCTGAAGCCATCCGACGGCCAAAACCACCAGTGCAGAAAGAACAGCTGGGTAACGATCTGCCTATTACACATCCATCAGATGTGAGTGATGAGTTGCAGAGGATAACCAAAATATCTGAATCTGGAGGTGCGTTGGAGCTAAGTAACGGAAGCCCACCGTTGGGATCTCCTGAAATACAAGAGGAATACAGCTTGTGAGAAATCTGGAGTTCATTGCATTTAAAAGCTTGTTCTAAGGTGCTACCCGTTTATGTACGCCTGTTATACAAGGATGGGAGAGATGAAATCAACGCAAGATGTTTCTTTACATATAAAATAATAAGTTGTTCAAGGGTGAAAAGTTGAATTGAACTTTATAGAGTTGGACACTTTTGGCCGACCCTCCTCCCTCTTTCATGAGAAGCGCACATGTGTGCCTTTTCAAAGGGTCTATTTCAGTTCTTAGACCATCTCTAACCATGTTGGGGCTAAACTCAAATTTTCACCCTCCAAAATACAACTATTCATGTATTTTTAGAACTCAAACTGTTTTTTCCTCCAACCTTGCGGACTCATAATTTGAGTCCGCAACTTTATTAAATTATTAAAGAATAATATAATCCTATTTTGTTTTTGTGGTTAATTTTTTTAAAATTAATTTTTGCATATTACTTTGTGATTTATTTTTTTGAACATTTTGACATAAATTTTTTGAAATTTCACAAACATAATTTTATTAACAAATTGATGGGTATTTATAGAGTTTAGGATATGTTCTGAGGTTGCTTCCAACTTATAATAATATATTTACTTATTTTGACCTTTGGATTTAAATTTCACTTGTTGGATTAATTTTTGGGAGATTTACTAATATACCCAATATGAAGGCCCAAATTATAAAAATACCCCATATGAAATGAATTTTATAAACACACCCAAAACCCATTTACAACATAACAAAAAGGCTTTAACTTCTTATAAATTACAAAACTACCATAAATTTCTTAAAACAAGCTCAACCCCAAAATCTCATAAAAATACCCAAAACACTCAATAGGGCATTAAAGTAATTTAATAATCAATATTAAATTCAATAAGGCCAGTTATCATTTTTGGGGTTTTTTTTTGGTTTGTTTATAGAAATTCAATGATGGGGGGTTTATCTATAATATTAGTGCTAAGAATGGGTATATCACTAAATATCTCTTAATTTTTTTCCCTTTGATCCAGCCAAAATTTAATATCAGCCGTTGATTTCTAGCCTTTAGGTTTGAGAAAAAAAAATTTGAAAGAAGCCCATTTTAAATGCAGCCATAGAAGTCCAATTTTTAAGTTGCCTAGGCTTTGACAAGTGGCCAGCAACTTGGGGTAGTGGGCAACAGCCCATCATTTGCTTCAAATGTGGCCTCACGTGTCTCTTGTCTTTTGCGAAATGGGCCCCACAAAAATTCTACCTGGACTGGAATCTGAGGCGAAATTCCACCCTATTTTTCAATCCACTCAAATTACCCCCCCTCCAAATACATGGGTTGGAGAAGGTTTTGGGCTAAAAATCTCAAATTTTAGGTTTGACCTCCCATGGTTGGAGATGGTCTTAGTGGCGTTACTGTTTCTGATAAATATGTTTATTGATTTTTCTCTTCATGCTTTTTGGGTGGGACTAGCTTTTTATAAATAAAAAAAATAGCTGTGGTTTAAACTTTCTGTGCCATTCAACCAACAAATTAGTTTGGTACAAATTTCAATCGTGTGCGCATGAAATAGCACTATATGAAATTTGGTTACCTTTATTCAAACCCTATCCACACAAACAATAAGATTATAGGTCAGGTGACAAACACTTAATCAGTTGATCGTCTAATGTAATTTGCATTGGTAGTTGCTATTTGGATCTTCTATCTCAATTGAAGCTTCCCTTTTCTCCCCAATCTGAATATTTATAACCATGTTTGTCTTTAGGACAAATAAAATGATTATTATAAAAAATATAAGGGTGGGTCCTCAATTGGTAGGATTCAGGAAGCACTTTCTGTTTTAACTTCTGGTGACGAAGGATCTAATGCATTAGATACCTTAAGTCAAGCTAAGCAGAAAATGAAAGAAAAAAAAATTGGGGTCAAATCAGCATCTGTGCACCCCTTTGGACTGGCCCTACTTCAAAGATGAGAACTTGCATGTCACGGGGCTGTTTTGCTATCTTCATCTAATCATTTAATTATGTTTCGTTATGTAGAATTCTTATCATGTATGACTGAACGTAATTAATTAGAAATGGTAAAACAATAATATCCTGCGACAAACAAATTTTCCTCCTACTTCAAATCTATATTCCATCCTTCTCAATCCAAAAATTATAATTTTGTTTTTTCAACCGGCGGCATAAATTGTTAACATCTTCCAAGTTTTGCACATGATTTGTCTGACCCCAGAACCAATAATGTTTTGGTATATCTTCCCTTGAGCAAACAGAGGATCATCATGAACGGATAGAACGACAAAATCAGAAATAGATGAAAGTAGGGCAAGTGCTTGAAATATTTATATGCTAATTCATATACTTTGCACTTGTACAATCATTGGTACTCCGAAAATAAAAATACCAAAATTGTTTGTATTTATAATAATTCTGAAATCAGAAACACCCAACAACAATGCCATAAAATTCCAAACTTACCATAATGGCAAACCCAAAAACAGAAACATTTTATAAGCTTTCTTTTTTAGGTACAATACAATTCATGCAAATACAAGGCATCAATTCCTTTTTTAAAGGAAATTTTTGGATGGATTATAAGGGAATATCATCAAATGGTATAAACAGCATACTCTCCCAAGTCACTGTCCTATTTCATTTAAAACGCTTTGAAACGGTGTCGTATGAGCCTTGGATAGAAGTAAATCTGACCCGAAAGCATCAAATTTTCCCACTAAAAAAGTAGATTACATTACAGTCCACCAGAAGAAGTTGATTCCGTTCTCGGCTTCTCGTCCTGTCCTACAGTTTCGTCCTCATTCTCTCCGTCCGCACCTCACTTCCCACGTTTGATTATTTATGCCAAAAATGTTTAAAACAAAATAATTTAAAAGGAAAGAAGAAGCCCAATTAACTATTACCAGAAACCCATCATTATTTTACTATAAAGCTTTGCAATTTTCACGACCACAGAAAAATTGGCTCAAAGGGTTCTCGTGGTTTTGTTCATTTGTTTGAAATTTATCTTCTTCTCTCTCAAAGTTTATTGCTTTTTGTTGATTTGAATAAAAAAGCTGAGCTGGGATGGCTCTCAATTTATTGTCTCCAGCTGAAATCAAAGCCATCTCTTTCTTGGATTCCACCAAGTCCACCCACCTCCCCAAGCTTCCAGGTTCCAGTTACTGTCTTCTCTTGCTTTCAATTTTCTGTTTGGTTCCTGAGACAACGCAGGAAAACTGACAAAATGGGGACTTTTCCCTTTTTTATCTTTCCAAAGTGCATGCTGACATTACGGTTCAAATTGGTCACCGTGATTCTATGGTTTCTGTGTTTGTAAAATGATGAGGTCCATGTGCTTTATTGTATAACTGAAAGTTCATTATAAACATGAAGTGCCTATATGTGCTTTTGTCTTAAATTTTACTTGTATGCAGCTCTGAATTTTAATGATAGACTTGTTGATGTAATTTTATGGTTATGTAAATTTACAGTCTTGTTAATCTTAATAAAATTTTGTTCTTAAACGTAGGTGGGTTTGCTTTGAGGAGGAAAGATTGCAAAACAGTAGTTGGGAGAAGAATTCAATGCTCAGCAGCAGCACAGACACCTCCTCCAGCTTGGCCGGGACGTGCCGTTCTGGAGACAAGCCGCAGAACTTGGGATGGCCCAAAGCCTATCTCGATTGTTGGATCTACTGGTTCCATTGGAACCCAGGTGTGGAAATATATATTTTTCTTTTAAATTGTTTATGGGAGATTAAAGATATAAATATAATTTTAAGACCTGTATGGAGTTCGTCTTGGAAAAGAGCAAACTAAATTGATAGAAGGTTTGAAGCTCAAATATAGAAATAACATGATTTGCTACCATACTGATGTGGGAGTGCATCTTACTGTATAACAGCCCATGAATCAGAAAGTTTGTTAGACACTAATTTTTATGTAAATCTGGAGATAATGGTCTTACAAAACTCAGAAATCTAGTTTTTATGGTTTTATTATCTCTTCCTCGTAGATAGATGGAACAGGGCCTGGAATTTTCCCTGCCTTGGCTCTCTCTCTCTCTGTCTCTCTAGTTTTTTTTTTAAAACTCTTTTCAGTGGGGAAAAAGCTATTCTTTTTCTTAGTGAAACAAATTCTGGGCATCGTATCAGTTGCTTATAGTCAGAATCTGTTGTTTCTACAGACACTGGACATAGTGGCAGAGAACCCAGATAAATTCAGAATTGTAGCGCTAGCAGCTGGTTCAAATGTAACTCTTCTTGTGGATCAGGTAATCAATCCATCAGATAATATTTCCTAGTGCTTAGAAGGATTATTTATTCCAACTTACAAATAAACATTGGATTTTGAGTAGAAAAACCTGACTTGGCTCACTCCACCAACTCAACCTGATAATCATCCATTATAGCTACCAACCCTAGTGATCTGGGGTTTGTGATTGATATTTCTTACATGCTTAACTTGGGGTTGAGAATCCATTTTTTTGCTTTGGACAGGTGAAGAGATTCAAGCCCCAACTTGTTGCAGTTAGAAATGAATCATTAGTTAATGAGCTTAACGAGGCCTTGGCTGATTTAGAAGAAAAGCCTGAGATTATTCCTGGCGAGCAAGGAGTTATTGAGGTGGGCTAGCATCTAATTGCCCTCTGTTGATGAATTTTATTTTCCTCATCTAGAAGAAATTGCTCATGTTTTTCTCTTCTCAGGTTGCCCGCCACCCAGATGCAGTCACAGTAGTTACTGGAATAGTAGGTTGTGCAGGATTGAAGGTAATTGCTTTGTCATTGAAGTTATAAATGTCATATAAATTTTGAAATAAATAATATAGGAACTGGACGACAAGGGAAGGTTGATGGACAGCAGAGTTGGCTAATACCTTTTAATGAGTGATGATTCATAATGAAATTCAACGAAATATTTTCAGAAGAAAAAAGCAGTATTTGACTTATAAATTAACATAAATTAGCAGCCTGAATTTTCTCCTGTTATCTTCTTAATCATAGCCTACAGTGGCTGCAATTGAAGCAGGGAAAGACATAGCATTAGCCAATAAAGAGACCCTGATTGCTGGAGGTCCTTTTGTTCTTCCTCTTGCTCACAAGCATAACGTGAAAATTCTTCCTGCTGATTCAGAACATTCTGCAATTTTTCAGGTATGCAACGTCTTTATACTTATAGGTTAAGTTATTCAAGAATTATGTACTGATTCAAATGTCTGTTACACTAGTTGCGTTTTGTTGGTGTTCTAAAGCATTATTAAATTACATGCTGCACCTTAGTTTAATGTATTATTTTATATTTGTGAATCTTATATCTTAGTGAAGCTTAATGAATTCTCCTTTCTTCAGTGTATCCAAGGCTTGCCAGAGGGTGCACTTCGGCGTATCATATTGACAGCGTCTGGTGGGTCTTTCAGGTAAATCATTATATATGTGTTCAAGTTCTATTCTAGGCATTATTTACTTGTATTGTAACATCTTACTGAGCTGACTCTCAGGATATAGTTTTTGTTATCAATGAAACCTGATTGGGCTCAATCTATTTTGTACATGGCCAAATTAGGGATTGTTGTATTTCTCTGTTTTTGGATACATAATGAGGATTTTGACGATTGCTCACTCTTGTAATGACAGGGATTGGCCTGTTGAGAAATTGACAGAAGTTAAAGTTGCTGATGCTCTGAAGCATCCTAACTGGAATATGGGAAAGAAAATAACTGTTGATTCTGCTACTCTTTTCAATAAGGTTTTTTTATTTATCATTTCTAATCTTTTTCATGTTGAAAGCGTTCATATTGGAAGCACCATGCACTATTCCAATCTATGTGCTATTTGACTTTTGAGTTTCTAGCGGTTAGACATTAAGTTCTTTGCACTTTTGACAGGGTCTAGAAGTCATTGAAGCCCATTACTTGTTTGGAGCTGAATATGACAACATTGATATTGTGATTCATCCGCAATCTATTATACATTCAATGATTGAAACACAGGTTCAACTACTCAACATTTATCTGTAGTTTTGGCCTGCTACTTTTGTGTTTTAAATGTTTCTGTAGTTTGTAAAAACACTACACGCTCATATTTTTTGGGATTCATAATATGTTCTTTTCAGGATTCATCTGTTCTGGCACAATTGGGGTGGCCTGATATGCGCTTGCCAATTCTCTACACCATGTCATGGCCAGAGAGAATCTATTGCTCTGAAGTAACATGGCCTCGTCTTGATCTGTGCAAGTAATGAACCTTTTCCTTATTTCATCTTCATGGGTGTTCAGCTTGGGTCGTTTTTTTCTTTTTTTTTTTTTTTTTTTTTTTTTTTTTTTTTTCCTTTTAAATGTTCCTTTTCATGATAACTAAGTTCATATTATATGAATAAGCGCATTTCTGACTCTAAAGCTGGATGACTATGTCAAATATGTGTTGGAACTTCTAATGATTTAATGTCTCTGTATATTTCTATCGTGAATGCTGAATGCTTAGCTAAGTTTACTAGGTACCTATTATGTTGCTGAGATCTACTACAATCATAACACTGCCTTCTTCGAGAAACTATAACATTGACTAAAAATTAATATTGATGCAGGCTTGGTTCACTAACCTTTAAAGCTCCCGACAATGTGAAATACCCATCCATGGAACTTGCCTATGCTGCTGGACGGGCCGGTGGCACCATGACAGGAGTTCTTAGTGCAGCAAATGAAAAAGCTGTGGAGTTGTTTATCAGTGAAAAGTATGTGCTTTTATTCATCTTCCATTGATAGAAAATTTGAACTTCCAAACTTTAACTGCCTGAGGAGTTAGATTGCAAATCTTCGCTAGTATGCATTTTCTTGTCATACAATCTTCCGCTAATGTAAAAGTTTGCCTCTTCTGCAGAATCAGTTATCTTGATATTTTCAAGATTGTTGAGCTAACATGTGCTAAGCACCGGGCAGAACTAGTTGCCTCACCTTCCCTCGAGGAAATTATACATTACGATTTATGGGCACGAGATTATGCAGCTAATTTGCCGAGCTCTTCAAGTTCAATTCCTGTTTTTGCATGAGCAGTTAGTCTGTGCTTGTCGGCCAAGATACTGGTGCTATGAATGGACTGTCGGCCAGTATGTTGAATCTCCCAAGGTGTCCCTGGCTTGGGGTGGGAGGCGGGGGAGTGAACTGAAATGTGTTCTCCCCTTAAATTGGGTTGTATATGTATGAAACAATGGTCAACTATGAAAGTCCTATTGTGGACGGTAATTTTCAATGAGAGAAACAAGATATCTAATGAAAATCAGATTTGTTGTGAAATTGTAAAAAGTGTTTGATTCTCTGTTCTCAGTCCTTGTTAGACTGACTGCCAGTGCCACCCCAAGGTGCATTGTATACAGTCCGCAACAAAGAGGCCATTTTTATCTACTTTAAATGTCATTTGACATCTGTTTAGTGGGTACGAGAGGAGAGAGATGGAGAGAAATGAAATGGGGATAGTGAAGTTTTATTCAATAGGGAGAGGGGAGTGACATTGGGTAGGGAGGGGGGAGGTGGCGGCAGGGCAGTGACACCGCCAGGTAAGGAAGTTTCCAACCAGAAAGTTCAAAAGCTTCATTAGCAACGTCGTTACGTCAACCGCTATACAGACTAGCTTGGTTCACATCGTGAGAGCCCAACAAAATGACGACCTCTAAAGAATGAGAAGGTTCCCTGTGGTTGACAACTTTGTTTTGTGCTCTCTCTCTCCAGTCTTCATTTATCGTTTTCAATTGAAGTTGAAATTTCCAATAATGCCAGCAGCCGTTGCCGCCTCCACTTCGTTTTTCTCGTACATATGATTGCCATAAAATCGTCATCAATTATGCATTTGCGTGGTTAAGAGTAATTATTTCTGCACGTAAACCATTCCATTTCTTTCGACTGAAAAAAACCAATTCCATTTTACAAGAAAGAGAATACTGACCCTAAAATATTATGATAGCTTCTAAAACTTGTGTAAATTGTGTAATCCATCAAACAATCCCCACAAAACACGGGCGTTTTGCCAAATCAAAAAAGAACTTTGTCCCATTGTCTCCGTCAAACCTCCAGCCAACAACCCTATTAGTTACTCTAGTCGCTATGATGCAAGTGATTATTTCACTTTTTTGGACAGTGCTCGTGAAGTGGGCAATTTATCTCATTTTCCATTAAGACGGTGGATGTCTAGCTAGCCACAATTATTTCTATTTTTCTATATTCATGCAAAGCCAACTCCATAATGTAAATATGGGGTGGCAATGTCCTCGCATTATTGATTGTATTTTTTTTCTTCTTCATAATTCTAGAGCATACATACGTATATACGCATATAATATCAATATAATACACGGACATACGGTTTTTTCCACTCACATTAGGATTAAAATTGTATTGGTATTTCCTTTTTCAATCCAAAAAATAAAATAAAATATAACTTTTAGTATAAGCGATAGTCTCTAAACTAGAGGGTACAAGAATTTGATCTACAAGTTAAAGGTCATCTTCCACTGGGCTAGACAAACTTTTATGTTATTTTTCATTGACACATCACTATGATAATGCTTCCCCTACTAGTACATGATATTGTAGGAGAAAGATTGTTATCAAAGAGTAATGGCAATGTCTTCCAAGGTGCAATCCTCATCTTTGGAAAAGCATCTAATTCTTATATTACACAACTTTTTCTTTTTCTTTTTTTCTCCTCTGAAAGCTCTGTTTGTAAACATGAGGAAAGTAGACTCTTTTTCCGTCAGCTTTTAATTCCATTGCATATAAGTCGTCTTTGATGAGATTTACATGTCAATTTTGTTCATAGTAAGTGTCTGTATGCTTGCTTGCTGATTGAGATGGATACTTCAAAGTGGATAATAATGTGGGCATGGAAATGAACCTGGTCTGCCATTTCAAGATAGAGAAGATATTTAAGTGGGTTCTTGGTGAACATGAACATGGCCATTCATTAAGGAATCCTACCCACTATGCATACATATCTCCAATCAAATAGACATAAACAGGTACCACATAATTATTGCATTTTTTAAGTCCATTTTATCTACTATTTACTGGACGAGTGATTGTGAGTTTAAATTTCATGAACGACAATTGTTCGAGAAAAAAAAAAACTATTTTTTATTATTTAATTTAATAAAACTTGTGTGCTATGGCTAGTGGCAAAGAGGAGGGAGGGGAGATAAGTCTCTATGTGGATTTGGTTGGGCACCCAAGAAGTATGGGGTAGCTCTGAGATTGTTTTTACAGCCTTTGGCATTGTATGCTCTAAAAGAAGTAAAAGAGAAAGGATGGGAAAGTAGAAGTACCCCACAGGCCACAGGCTATGGGTCATAGCCAGAACCAGAACCAGATGCCCACCTTCTCTGCTAGCTTCTCAGTCCCTTCTTTCATTATTATTTGATCTTCTTTTTCCTTTCTTTTCTTTATAGGGATGTGTAGAAGAAGCTAAATAAAGCTCACCTGAAATATGATTAGCCAATAATCTTATCTTTTCTCTTTGGCAGAGAGAGCTTAGACCTAGAAAGTTTTGTTAATCACTGACACGGGGTTAATTTTTCCAAACCCTTTTATGCATTTTTCTTTTAATTTATGGTTATATTAAAGGAAGATGAGAGAAGGGGTGCAAGACTTGTCTGCCAAAATGTGGTTGGAGGTTGAAACTACGAAGTGCTGTTTGTTTGGAAGTTGGAAGTGAACTCATTCACTCAAGTATTTGTATGTATATGTGCTAGTGTCCATTATGTGCTGTCAAAATCCTTGCAGTTTTGGCTCTTTTTCAAGGTGCCCAGTTAGCAAATCTGGTTCAAGTCTCTCAGGTACTTCCATGTGTTTGACACAACCATTCATCCTCAGTTTCTGTCCTCTCTCTCTCTCTCTCTCTCTCTTCTCTCACCAAACCACAGAGAGAGAGAGAGAGATATGATGATGAAAGAATCTGCTTTACACATTTCCCTATGTTTTAGAGAGTAAGGAAGGAGCTTTTGCAGCTGGATTGACTCTGAGGCAAATGGCAAAGGGTGGGTGCAGATGAAAGACCAAGACCAAATGGGACACACACACCCACAAAAATATTGCTGCCCATGGAATTCATAGTCATCTCATCTCTCACCTTTTGCTTTTTCCACTTGACCCTTCTCTGTTATTGTTTTTATGGGGCCCAGTTTTCTATACTTTAACAAAAGAGTCACCATATTGGCTGGCTGTATCACCATAACTCATGGAGCCACCAGCAGCCACATCCAATTCATTCATTATGACTTATGAGAATATAATGAAGAAGAAAACATATGCTATAAATTTAATGTCATGCATGCCAATTTTGTATTGCATTAAATGGATTTTCTATGTCTCCTTTTATGACAATACAATACAATATTATAAACTACTCTAACGTAAAAGAAAGGGAATCGAATTTGAGTGTAAAGAGTAACCATATCGAACTTGAGTGTAAAGAATAAACATATCGAACTTGAGTGTAAAGAGTAAACATATTGTCTTAGCCAACTGGCATAACCCAAATCTTCATAGCTTTTCTATCCATTATTTGAAGCATGTAGTGGTGTAGGGTAGAATAATAAAATAAAGTCAAAATGAGATAATGTAAATTAATAATTTCATATTTCCATCTGCGCGCTTACTTGCAAGACACCCCCTTAATTAGGTATTACTTGATGTTGATTAACTTAAGCAAGATGTATAAAGTAGGCTTTTTTGAGTTCCTAATACCAACTCATATTAATTTAATTCTCTTTTTGGAGTGTCCTTAATTGACTTTGCACAAATCAAAATCAAAGTGAGGTTGATAAAAAGTTTAAAAAGAAATCTAATTTTGTTATTTTCTTGGAAGCTTCTGGAAAAGGACAACCCTCTGATTGTGTTACCAAATGAATCTTTTTGCCAATACCGCGTGAAACCCACTCAACAAATTATAACCAGTGAAAAAATTGTTGATTAATTTCCAAGTGGATTTACTCAACATAAACGAAGTTTCCATTGCTCTCACAATATAAAATATATTCCATGTAATTAATTACATGAAATGAACAAACCCATTTCTATTAACTAATTGTAAAAAAAAAAAAAAAAAAAAAAAAAAAAAAAAATTAATAATAAAAAATAATCACAAAATCCAAAACTTAGCCAAATTTTCAATCACTAATCTCTCAAAATGGATGCAAATTCCTGCTAAGCCCATTCACGTTAGAGAAGAACCCCACAAAGTCCTGCCTGTACGGTAAAAACGACCGTCGTTTATCTCCTTCCTCCGCGGCTTTGCTCCTCATGACAAAACGCTCCTCATTCTGCGACACGCCGCGGCCGCCGCCGATTCTTTTCTTGGAGACGACGTCGTCCTTGTTGTTGTTCTTGTTGTCGGCTCTCTTGGTCGAGGACGGAGCCAGAAACACGAAAGTCTCCTTGCCGTCGCTGCTGCTACGATAAAGAAGGTCCCGAAACTTCCAGCGCTTCGACGAGCCCGCGGAGCTGCTCTTGGTCTTGGGAGGGGCCCACACGCAGTAGGTGCCAGGTGGCAGGTTCTCGAGGTCGTCGGCCTCGGAGGACGAGCACGATGCCGTTTCGCGCTCCTCTTCGATCATGAGCATTCTGAGCGGCAAACGACGTTGCTTCGGCGTCGTAGCTGCCTTGGAGTTCTTCTTATTAACGGCGTCGGCATCTCCGTTAACGTTTTCAGGAGATACGACGTCGTTGTGCTGTTTTAATAAGTCTTGGTCGAAGAGAGGGTAGACGGGCCTGATCTGGCCGTTTGAGAAAATCTCGTCAGCAGAGATGGGCGACGTGTGTGCGTCTCCGCCGACAAAAGCAAACTCAAACTCCTCTTCGTCCTCCTCCGCCTCGTCATCGTTTTGGGGTTGTCGGTGGTGTTGTTTTACTTCTTCTTCTTCTTCAAGATGATGAGTGGCGTACAAACTTTCCCAGTCGGGCTCATCGTGGGTGAGTTGATGATCTTGAGAGGTTAACTCGCTGACGACTCGGGCGGCGATCTGAGCGAGTCGGTCGGAGGAAGAGTAGGTGTTGAAGCTGGGAGAAAGTGAGATTAATGGACCTGAAGCAGCCTGCATTATTATCAATTTGGTAGCTTCTTCAATTCAATTCTCTGTGTGCAGCTTTCTGATATTTTAATTCAGCGAAACAGAGCAAACAGAGCAAAGAGAAGAGAGAGAGAGAGAGAGAGAGAGAGAGAGAGAGAGAGGAGGGTTGGGTGGAAATGAGAATGACCCAAAGTGTGGGGCTTGACCCTTCACCTTGGATTTGGGTTTATATAAATTATTTTTTGTGACCGTGAGTGGTTGTGAAAAATGGCTTCAATTTTTCCGACGCTAAATTTAAAAACAAAACAAAACAGTCTTCTTTTTGGTTTTGGGTTTTTGGGTTTTGGTCACATATATTAAAAGTCTCCCCTACAATACTCAGGAAATTGTATACGCGTTTTTGTGAAAATTAGGATAAGCTCCTGCCCCTCTGTATGTGTGTGTGTGAGTTACTAAATATGAGAGGTTTGTTTGGGACAATCGCCCCCTCCGCCTGCCACCTGTTCACTGTTCATGTTTATGTTCTGGCTTCTTCTTCTTTCTTTTTCTTTTTTTGAGATGAATAATTTTATTGCGGAAATTATATGCTATAATAAGTATATTATTAATGATGGGTTTTTATGGGTGGAAGAAATGGGTTTTTAATTAATTAAATAATTACGTAAGGGAAATTAAAAGGATTTTTATTTTTCGCAAGAAAAACGCATTTAGATGACAAATGAGAGGCGGAGGGTGATTAGTACTCGTATGTGGGCTGTCATGTCGGGTGTGAAGCCCATGAGTTCACACGTGTACAAAGAAGCCGTTGGAACCTCAAAAACAAAACAACAGGTTGCCGGGTTGTTAATCTTACATTAAATTATTATTATTATCATTAATCTTCACATAAGTATAATAAAACTTCATCTTTGTGTGCGTTTAAAAATAAAAATAAAAAGATTAATTCATTTCAGATTTTGGTGTGTGCCTGCCTGAGCAAGAATACTTGAAGGTGACCCTCCTCGTTCTCATTCATTATAAAATAAAAATAATTAAATTAGTGATTTATCTAAACCACCAAGTTCTTTTGATGGGGACTAGACCCACCAACTTGACACTTGTAAATCAAGAGATATATATGTTTTGGAAATTCTCAGATGTTTAGCAGGAAACTATGCAAGTTGTGATGTGGATATGAAAACCTTGATTTGTGACATATCAAACTTTTTATTTATTTATTTCCAACCTGTTTGTGAGAACAAGACAACCTCCTTTTTCATAGAAAAGTATTATCATTTGCCTATTAAACCCACCTACCCTTATTATTAAATATTAATAATAATCATAATCATAAGGGTTGATGAAATGATTTGATGAGCTAAATCATATGGATGTACTTTTTGAGGTTTTGTTTCATGTTACCTACCAATTGCCTAACACTCCAAGCCTGAAGGGTTCTCCTCGTTTCTTGAATTGATCAACACACTACTAATGGGGTGTTAGTTGGATTGTCCAAGACTAGTTCCCGTGTACATGAATTGCCTGACTTTGAGACAAAAAAAATGATCAACACACCCACCAAAATATAATCTACCAATGATGTGGCCTAACATGGGTAGATGATTTTTGGGTTTCTCTCTCTCAACAAATATGTTTAAACTAATTATTCTATTAATGCATAGGATGAAACACATATGATATGAATAGCAATGGTTTGGTTCTGCATGAACAATGTCATGGGTCATGCGATGCATTGCTTGCTTGCTCATTATTTTGGCGTTTGAATTATATATATATATATATTTATTTATTTCTTTTTGGTGTGATGAGATGCAATTTTGCAAGTAATGTAAAAGCACGTTTGGAAAAATAAATAGTATTAAGATTAATAATATTATATCAAGTATATATAACACACTGCATTAATGAGATTAGCCTTTGAAAGCAAGCAAGGCATCTTTTTAGCTGCAATTATGAACAGCTTGCGTGGGCAAGCTTTGATATTGTTGGTATACCATGCGTTTTATTGAATTATAACTACAAATGATCGAGTCTCATAATCATCGAAGGAGCATATGTACATAAGATATACTAAATATTTCCAATCAAATCATTCCCCTCTAATAATAAACCTCCGAACAAGGCTTGCGATATAATTTTACAGTAAATCATGCGTATGCATTTACATATAAAACAACTAGCGTAATTCATCAACAACCGACAATTATTCACATATACGTAAAACACGTTTACTGTAATTCCGTGTGGAGTTTTGGATAAGTCAATGAAAAGACTATTGCATCTATTTATAATAGTGTCTATTTGTCTTATATTACAACAGTTTTTTTTTAGCATTAAAACGTCTAGAACTTTGCTTTTACGCTTACTTGGGTGACTGATTGATTATCTTGGAGTGGTGTGGCAATGGAACAGCACGGCCCACAGTTATCACCTAAACCCGTTGTCGTTTTACAATAATCCTAAACACCGTGGACCGACCATCCATGGAAAAATGTGGCATAAAATCTTTTCTAAAAAGAAAAGAAATAAGAAAAATGGAAATTTTCAATTTTCGTGAGGAAGACATCATCTCGAAGGCTGTCACATGAACATCACTAGCCCCTTGTCAGACGCTCATGCGTATCAATAGGTTTTGTTTTATTGTTTTATTGTTTTAATTTTTAAATTTATTTTTCATATTATCTGATTTTGTTCCATAAAAATTGATAAAATAGATAGTTATGTTCTATAAAAATAAGACCCATTATTTGATTTGTTTTTAATTGTATTTATTTTAATATGAAAAATATAAATTGATCATATTATCATCATTTAATTAATAATTTTAATTTTTAATATTTGCATTAGTCAATGACATTTTCTAGATAGATTATCAATAAATAAAAAAATGTAGCTTTAGCAAATCTGATAATATTGGGCTGAGGCCCAAGTTCAGTCAAGATTGGGCTTTTATAAGTATAGTTACATTGGGCTCATATAAATAGGCCCAACTTCGTTCAATATTGGGCTCATGAAAACAAATTTGGATCAGTTTAAACCGGGTTCGACTCCGGCAGTGGAATTAGGTTTTTTTAATTTTTTGCAATATTTTTAATTTCCAGTATAAATATTGTGGTTCAACAGCACAATTTATGCCATGTAAAAACCATGACTTGAGGAACAATTCACCCTTAACTTGGGCACCAAGAATGGCTTGGAATCCTTGTAATAAATTGGGTAAAGGATCAATAATTGATACGAAAGTAGGCACATGCACTTTCTTAGGTAAAAATTACTATGACTTTTTAAGTAGGTCCCAAAACTAGTGAAATCCCAGAAAAACCCCTTAGGCATCCTCGCTGGATCCCCCTCACTTGTGGTTAGAATATGTCATTTTGTCCACCATATTAATCTCCCTACTGCAAGTTGACCATTTCATGCTGTGATCTTTATAATGCTTGCTGATCAAAGCCATGGTGGGTGGAGGCAAATACTTTCAAAGCACACCAATTAGAGCTGGAAATGACATCCAAGGTGAAGTTGGTTTCTTAATTGGTCAAAACCAAACGAAACTGGTAAATGCGGTTCGAATTGGCCGATGTAGCCGGTTCAGCCGGATTGATGCCCACCCCGAACAAACAAGTATTTTTATACATACAAAGCCAATCCCCTTTCAAACAAAATCATTTCAATGATAAAAAAAAACTTGGCCTTCAGCAAATCTGATGTGCCCCTATCTAATCTTACCGTCGGAGCTGATAAGTAGGCCTGAGGTCCAGCTTGAGTCTATATTGGGCTCATATAAATAGGCCTTAGGTGCGGAATAATACTTTTTGCTTTCCACTATTTACTTTGAAGGCCTTAGAAAGAATGTTATCATTCCATGGGTGACTTAGCAGAAGAGGAACCATTTACCGTTGTCTTAGGCACCAACCAAGCATGGCTTGGGATCCTTTTAGTAAAAGAAAGGATCAATAATTGATATGAAAGTAGGCATATGCTCTTTCTCTGGTTTCTCATGTCATTCGGAGCATCATATCACCATTCATGACATGAGAGAATATTTGGTACTAGAAAATAAATAAATAAAAAACCCCCACGTAAGAAAGAAGAAAAGAGAATATATCATCATCATCATTATCATCATCAAGTCTCAACCGTTGATTGTGGAGAGCACCAATTCAATTTCAACCAGTAAAATGTCAGCGTGACTAGGTAACAGAGAGAAAAATAGAAAATTAGGTAAAATTTACTATTGAATTTTAGGTACATCCCAAAACTAGTGAAATCCCAGAAAAACCCCTCAGGCATCTCTGCTGGACTGGATCCCCCTCTCGCTTGTGGTTAGAATATGTCAATTGGATCCTCCCCCTACTGCAACTTGCAACTGTGCACTGTCTAACTCATCATCCCAACAAAGGAATAGGTTGCTCATCTACACCGCCTGTGTTATTTTTGAATTCCTTCCCATTTCTCTCTCCATTTTGAGCAACCCTTTGCAAACCTTTGATTTGCTGCACACACACAAAAAAATCTACAATCAGATTATTATACACAAATTATGTAATACATGGGAAATTGGAGAGCATGAAAAAAAAATATATATTGAAAATTGAAAAGGGTACAAAGAAGGATTCCTTTTTTCTGACTCACTCACATGATGTGGGATTCATAAGATTATAAAATTATATTAAATTTTATGTTGGACCACTTTATGTAAGGGAGTTGGAAAAGCAATTTGATGCAAGTTCACTGAATTGGTGACAGAACCTGCTCCAAGAAAACTCCCAAATAAGGAATTCTCTGCCTTGGTAAGCAAGTAGCCAAGAAGAACCAGCTAGACAGAATATTGAAAATAAAGATAATGATTCCCTAATAAATTAAATGCTTAAAAAGTTGAAAATAAGTTCTTATTCAATCCTCTGCCAAATAAAAAAGAAGAAATCAATTTCATACCTTGGATCTGAAAGATTTGATGATTGAAGCCAGTAACTTGTCTCCTGCTATTTGTCTCACTCTTTGTATTAGTTCATGCCTTGAGATTTTGTTCTCCTGAAAGAAACAAGGGTTCACAAAAATGAGGACAATAATATAAAAAAATTATTACAAAAAGAGTACCAATCTACAAATGCAATGAAGTACTACTTACCCTGTGATCTTTGTAATGCTTGCTGATCAGAGCAATGGTAGGTGGAGGCAAAAACTTTGAAAGTACACCAATTAGAGCTGGCAATGGCATCCAAGGTGAAGTTGGTTTCTTAATTGATTCTTGAGTCTTTAAGAACCCTACATCATGAAACAAAAGTGTAGAACATTAACTATAGATTCCAAACACTTTAGAAACAAATCCAGACAGAATATTTTTTTATTTATAAAGTTGAGAAAGTTGCATACCTTTCAAGCAAGTAGGAGCTCTGAAGCTGATGACATATTCTGGCAAGATGTGAGTGTTCATGTAGGTGCTCCATACTATATACTTCTTCGGAGCAATAGGATTGTCCACACCCGAATCGAACTCTTCGGAACTTGGATGATACTGTTCAGAACCAGGATGCACAACCTCCGGCCTCCCCAATATAACACGGCAGAGCAAAAGATGTCGCAGACCGTCTTCATCAACATTGGAGCCTTCCACACTAGAACACAAAACAAATTTGTCAACCAAATGTTGAGAATAAGTGACAAAATCAAACTTCTACACAATGAAATACAGATGAGCAGTTGATAAATTAAAGAATCAAGAAAAGTCTTAAGTTGGCATGAGAATTCGTCAACAATCATACAAATTAATTAATGGACTTGTTCAATTCCAAGTTGAGTAGACCAAGAAATTGGGACAAAGCAATCACTCACCATGTCATAGGAGAATCATCAGGAGCAAGGTAGACGCCACTGCCGTATAACCCATCTTTCTGAGGCTTCTCATGGTGACCAAAACCATGGCAGATGATATTAGAAATCTCATCCTTAGAAGAAGGTGCATACCAAGCATATTTCACATTGGGATTGCCACCGCATTTCTCCTCCACGGCTTTCAAGTAAATTTGGAACGAACGCAGCCTTGCTTGCCCCACAAGGCTAGAATAGGAGTTTCTATGAATGGCCACAACGTTGGCGTGCGGTCCAAGCAAACCCAAACTTGAAACAAACCTCTGCTTGATGAGATCGTGAACTCTGTCCCCGTCGAAAAGTGCGACCAACCCGTCATTGAACATCCGCGATTGCGCAGAACTGGAACCCGAATCTACGACACTTTCGCAGTCGGAGATCAACGAATCTTGATCATGGACGGAGGTCTCTGAGGCCGTATCGGTCGTACCCGAATCGGTAAGTTGATCGCTGAGTTTATCTTCGGATGAATTTTCAGAAGAAAGCGCTGTGCTCCCATCGGTGAAAACAGAGGACAACCGACCTTGAACACCGCTACACGCCATTGCAATAAAACCCAGAAAGAAAGTGGAAGGAAATCTAGTGTGGTTTACAATCTGAAACCGAAGACAATTGTATCTAAAGACTAAATATGGAAACGTATTAGAGTTTCGTGGAGGTAAAGCAAAAGAATAAAGAAACTCTGTTTTTTCTTAAACCAAAGAAAGAATCAGAGAAGAATTTGATTCAGACCCAGAAAGTGTTGGAGCAAAAGAAATTGATCCAACAAAACAGAAATGAAATTGTATGTATACAAAGGATGGGACTTAAGAAGAGTCGGCAAATTTTGAGAACGCTAAAAAAAGGCCAACTTACTAAAAATATCAATAGTATGCATACATTTCTGGACAGTTGAGAGAGAGAGAGAGAGAGAGAGTTGTAATTGCAAAGGGGTGGTTTTATATGAAATTCAAATCACAAAAACGGTAGTAAGAGAAAACCCAGAAATAAAGAATATGGGATTTGAAGAGGGTGTGTAAGAAATCATAACGAAACTGAGAGATTCTGAAACTGTCTGTGCTTTTGTAAGTGTGTGCGTTGGGGTTTTGTTTCAAATGAGAAAACCGTGTTTGCTTGGGAGAAGGAGGGAAGAAGAAGAAGAAGAAAATATAAATACAGTTCAGGAAAAACTAACGGAACCGCCTTGTTTTTGTTTTGTGAAAAAAGCGGTGCGGCGCTAATTGTTTTGATTACCCGTCGTTTTATTACCGAAAAGTGAGGCCATAGGCGCTCTCTCGACTTTTTTGGGCTAAGGCGGTTTACCCAAACCCAAACTATACCCGGTGGATTTTTGAACTGTATGGAATACTACAATACCCTTGTAAATATCTGTTCACTTTTTTGGCCTTTTTGAACATAAAATGAGAGAGGCAAAAACACATCATTGGCATGGGAAAGGGGTAGATTAAAATTTAAAAAGACCTGCTCAGATTGGTCGGTGGGGAGATTGGATGGGGACGATATTGTGAATCAAACATTTAATTGAGGGGCCATGGATTTGTGGATTGGATAGAGCTTGAATCTTTAGATATATATATATATATATATATATTTCTCTTTGAAGTAATGAATGTTTTGTCCCGTCTGCGTGTTTGTGTGTCTAAATGTGACTGAACAGTTTTTCACTACCCTAACTTGCCCTGGATTAAAGGTAACATGCCATGGGTTCATAGATTTTTTATTTTTCTTTTGGGTGCTAAGCTGTATTCATAGGTTTCCCAGTTTTCTTTTGGCCATCTGGGATGGGCAAATTTCATACACTCAGGGCAGAAATACTTGACTTTTCTACGCGGCGGTCAATTAATAGTTGAAGATAATAGAACAATGCTATCCCGTTTCATACAAGGTTTTCTACTTATATTGATCTCAAGGGGTCATCAATGTGGCTGGCTATGTCTTTGCAGAGAAAATATAATAAATAATTTACAAGGTATGATTGTGATACCAATAGAATGGAACGGGTGAACCTGTGGGCCGACCTCTCTCGGTTTCAGTGGGTCGGACAAAGATCCCAGCTGAAACAGTGATACAACAAGAGTACCAGTTGCAGCCACTAGCAATCTGCACTTTCTCTTTTTCTAAGCAAATCTCCTTGGGTCAACGCATTTTGACCTTCGGGATTTCAAATTAAAAAGGTAAAATGTCGTCCTAATAATAATAGAAACTTGGGCCGATGTAGGTCGACCGAAGCTTGAGCATTCCTTCATATTCTGCCTTAAGAGAGACAAATTGTATGTTTTTATTTTTTAATTTTTTTGCTTTTCATGAAGGTATAATAGAAGAATAGGAACGATTAAACCCAAATAAAAAAAGAAATAGAAAAAGAAAAGAAGATAAATACAATTTAAAGCAGTACTCCCAAACATGCCCCAAGTACTTGGCTGCTTATAAGACAAAAAAATATAAGCCCAATAAGCAAAATAAGGTGTATAAGCATTCTTGCACGTGGTCGTATACATTTTAATATAATTTCATTGCAGTATACTAGTATAGCTTCCCATGAAAACTTTACATTTTCGAAGAAAACTCTTCAAACCCATACTATAAGGAAAACAGCCTGATGTACTTTTAAATGGAAGGAAAGTAAAACACTAAGGATCAATTAGAAAATAACAAGTAGCTAGATGAATGTTTTTTTGTTTCTCCAATTGGGCTCTCTCAAGTGTTTTCGTATAAAATATATGGTTGTCGGCTTTTTTGTTTTTTGTTTTTCCTTCCAATTTGTCCCCACCCAAATGATATACATTATTGCTACAATAATTACAATCTAATTGACCTGATGCAACTAGCTGCCCTAAGCATTGGAGCATACTATACATGGACCGACTACACCTCGTATTCTCGGAATATATACAGAAGAAAAGAAACAGATCCCAAAACTTGATAAAATTTAATGCCGCCTATACAAGATGATTTGAAGCTGTTGGGATGGGACTAAGCTGACGGAGAAAAATCCATCACAACCATGCTCCCCATCCAGGAAACAGTTGACAAAGACGCTCGGGATCGATAGCATCTTGTATAAGTTGTTGAACCTGCAAATTTAGATTTGTCTTATGACAGATACCCAAAGCTAAAATGTATTCAAATCGCACCATTCTCAACTAAGTATTAAACCCAAAGAAGAGTCTCCATTTGCAGCGCTAGTTCCACAATGTGCCTGAGGAAACAAAGGTCCTCACAGGGCTAGTTCCACAATAGTTATAATCTTGTTGAGATTGGCAGGGGGGTTTCCGTACAAGAGGCTGGAAGTTTTCCTGATCTAGTGCATACAGCCTTGATAATGAAGGCTGGAATTTTTCTGGTTAAAGGTATTTGAGAAGTAGATTATCATCTGCCACTAATAGATAAGTTCGATATGCTCTGTGTTTTAACCTCCGGATCTTTGGTTTCCCTTGTAAACAGTGAGGCAGATGAAAAACTTGGTAGCTATATGAATCACTAGATGAGGACCACCAGGATTGCACCAAAGAGATGTCAAAACTGATTCCTCTGTCACAAATTTTTACATGAGAGGGAATCAATGTCCTTTTATGGTAATGCTCAACATTGGCACAGCTGTAATGATACCATGTTCATTGGTGCTAGTTATTTGATGCAGTATGGGGTACCAACCTTATCAACCAAAATGGTTAAAGAAAGAATATATAAAGAGGCTATAAAGTCGATGTAACTGTGGCACTCGAGAATTACCTGTCCATGTATGCTTCGCATCTCTCCTTCTTCGTATCCATCTAGTTTTTGTTTTACACGCATCAACGCACGTGCAGCATCCTTATTACCTTCATATCCATCTTGCAAGCCTTCGCAGCTTAAATTCAAGTCGTCATCCGTTTCCTTACCAAGAAAAATAAATTTATTCAGTATAATCGATAATGTAAGCTGGGGTAGCTTGAACAGCTGCTACGTGTGAAACCATTTAAGAATGTCAACTGAGATGGATGACTGAATCAAACGTTTGAAGGTGGCATATTCTATGAAGTAATTACTTTAAGTCAAAATGGCCAAAACATTATTATCATTGTTTTAGGTTCTGAGCTTTGATAGGAAGTGGAATTTGTCCACCTAAGCTCGCTGAGTAAACATAATTTTGGTGAAAGACACAAAACTTAGGACACCTTGTTTTCCAGTGTGTTCAAATTTTTAAGTTGTCAATGCCGTTCTAATTTGTAAATAATTTTCACACATTATCTGATGTTGATAAATTTTTAAGGGCCCCAAGTTTTTCCCATTCCCTTACCATTTCTTGGCAGACAAGTCCTCGACTCGATTGCACACATACACTGAATGTAAACAGAAAGTTAAGTTCCATTACCTTTTGACGCTGCAAAGCTTTCAGAGGTGATAAAGCCCACTTATAAAGTGGATCATGAATAAAAACCTGCATAGAAATCCCATCTGATATCAAGAGAAGCAAGAAGTTTTGATTTTTATTTATTAATTTGAGAAATCGACTAAAGTTACATACTCAACGATGGCAGTAGTGCGTCTTTATTTGTCCTCCATAACAGAAAGAGTTTCTCTTCCCAGCATCTTCTGAAAACCCCTTCCACTCCAGTGACACCCAGTCCATCAATGATGTCCTTGTAAGTCTGAATGGAACCTGTGAACATTTGTTAAGATAAGACATTGAACCATACTAAGTCAGGAAGCTACACAAACAAGCTTAGAAGGGAAACATAATCACAAGTACAAACCCTTTCTGGTGTTTTAAGCATCACGCCTTGTTCAAAGCAACACCAAGATCTATATGAACAACTTCTGCATGGTTTGATCAATTAATATATCATAGCTGTCGATCTCCAAGGCCAACAATATACCAACCTGAATTGGAGTGCAATTTCTAGAATTATCAACAAGTAGACAATCATGCAGTCATCTTTATAAATTAACAGGATTCTCCTAAAGAGATTATTCTTAAGAAAAAGACTGGAAACTATTTTTTTTGGTGAACTTGGGGGGAAAGACCCCAAGCAACAGAACTACAACAGTCTCTAACAAGGCTTGGAAGTTGAAACTACGACATTCCCTATTATTAAAGACCATGTCCAAACTCAACTGCCCCGAACGAGTATAAATCACTAACCATTGAACTAGTAGCAACACTTCGTGTGTATGCAAGTCGCTTTTTCAAACCAGTCAGCTGGTTGCAAGAATCTCTCCAAGAAAAATGATGCATGACAGCCTGCATGAGGTGTGTCAATTGAATTACGAGGTTAACCATTTAAAATTTTGGAAAATTTGGTGTCTCCATGTCAAAGACAGGTCTGACATACCTGAACTTCCTACAAACTTCCTGAATGCCTTGCGCTTGTCCTTTCCCTGGCAAGACCAAAGCATTATGTAAGTTTGTTAAAGGTGACATATGCTTTTGAATGAGAGTACTAGTGATGATAACTCTAATCTGCTCTGTACATTTTCTTTTGTTCGTAAGTTGTGATTACTTGATATAGAATTGTAACTCTAGCTCTCTCTCAAGACATCTACTCTCCTACTATTTTGTAACACCTACCATATTGGAGCAAACGTTACGCCTAGCAATTTCCCTTTACACCTAGTGAAAATATTAATGATGAGTGAAAGAAAAACAAATAATGTAAGCCCCATATATGCACAAATTTGAGAGGACATAATCATATTGGTATTCAGACTAAATGTTGTGTCCTAAAAAACAGGCGTTCCCAATCTTCGTCAAAAAACTATCTAGGTTTAGTGAAAAGGAGACCACCCTCCTTATATTTATGCCATTTCAAGTAACTGGTTTGCTTAAAATTCACAATATTCTTCTACTGTTCAAATTGTACGCAGTTGTACTTGCCTTGCCACGTGTTCTCGCATTTTTGAAATGACCAGTCCCCCACCCATTAGCGACCATGGGCACCTCCATTTCTCTGCTGCAAATTGTAAAAAGGAAAGTTAGAAAAACCATATTATTCACGCATCTAAACCTCAATAGGCTCTAAAAGTGTGTACATTACCTTCCTAAAGATATTCACCAGAAGGAAGAGTGCCACAACCCATTAAGAACACACCAGACTTGGAGTAAATGGGAACTACCTATTGCATCAAGAACATTGCTTTTTTTTTTTAGGTAAGAGATTAGTTAGATGATAAAATTATGTTGATTTTATTTTTTTATAACAAAACCGTGCTAGCAGTTGGAATCAATAATGCAATTTACGCACAAGAGTTCATTTATTATAAATCTCAAATGCATAAAGGAATTATTGAAGTCCCATCCCCATCAGATATCACTTCCATCCCCCTTTGGGATGCACTATCTCTATCTTAATACATTAATACTTAAAGAACATGATACAGACCCGATAACACATTGCATGTTCAAATTTCCATGAAATTTTAAACTCTGTAAAATGTTTCAAAAGATAAAAAAAAACAGAGGAACAAAATTCTCATTGCCACTAGAACAATCATCAAAAAGAAAATTTGGTGATATTATTCGTTTTCACCAAATTAATATCAACCTTCTCCTTGATCATGATGGGATCTGATATGTCATTATGTGTTGAAAGAAGAAGATACCTGTTATGTGCGCACTCCGAATCTTCGTTGCCACATGATCCCGGTGGTTCGTAGAAAGGGTTGACTAAACCAAAAAACTGTCCATTAAATGTACATTTATAATTGAATCTTATAATATGTGAAAAACATGACAGAACATTATTCCCAAGGAAACAGGATTACTAAAACATTTATTTTAGGAAAAAAAGAAGAAACAAGCAAGCTTCCAGAGAAGACAGAATGCCCTCATAGAAAGGCTAAGTAAAGACTAAAGAGTAATTATTCCAAGGTTCCATGTCTACACATTACACCGATCCCACCTGAAGGGTGGCAAGTAAACTAGACAACAAAAGTTGTAAGGGTACAAATTAAGATAGCCTGTTCAATGCACTGTTTTAAAGTAGAATGGACGTTTGGGAATAGTCAGGTAAAAATTCTGAAGCTTCTGTGCCTTATCAGAAAGCTTGAAATTTTACAGTGTCCCTGAAGGAGTAGATGGCAAGACAAATAATATAGACAAAAAGATATGCATTTGCAGGCACACGAACGCACACCCAGCCGACATACAAACACCATGTAGAAACTCTTACAGCATCCTGTCTTAGATCATCATTTCCAGATTTTGCCAGCTGTCTGTATCTGCAGCCATCAGAACCTAGGCATTCGACCACCTTTGGAGCATTTACACCATTCATTACTCTGTATATACACCAAATCCATCAGAATGTAGCATCTCTTATGGTAAGAAGATTTAAAAACACATATTGATACGAATTTCATAATATTGCAAAGACCTACAAACTGAATCTCCTAATCCTTTGAGTAGGGGAAAGAGCCTTCATGGTATTGACAACCTCGGTCAATGAAAAGGTAGCGGTCACAACAGGCACCTGCCATTTCATCATAAATGCAATGCTATTAATTAGTTAAGTAATAGATGCAAGCTCAATGAGCCAATTTCCGTCCAAAACCAATTAAGATGCCCAATCACCTAAATCATTATTCAAATTGAATTTTCAAGTAATAAAACAAGAAATACCTCACTTCCCAAAATACCATTGTTTATCATAGAAAGATTTCACATTTATCATAGAAAGATTTCACAGTATCAGTCATCACATCCCTATCAAATTCCTAAGTACAAACTATAAAGGTGCTGTACTTACAAGTTCCAGCTGTCGAAGATTACGCATTCTCTTGGTAGCATTACCTTTCATTGGTATCCTGTTGACACAATCTAGTTAGGTAGTAGCAGACAAACTGTTTTAAGGCTTTTCATTCATCATAGGAATGCAACAAAGTTATTGAATTAAGATATTAAAAGACTAGGATCAGTAGTAATGTGTAATTAGGAAGAAGAACAGCTCAACTTATTAAATTTCACTAACCTCTCTCTTTGTTTCTAGTTCAGCAAGTTTGATATAGATCTCTACCATTTGTTTCATCTAATAAAAGAATGCATATATAAATATATGTGCACGCATTTTTAGTTCATATAGATCTAACAATAAATTAAGATAAATAACTTGATCTGGAAAAGTAATGCAAAATACTTGATTTATCATAGCTCCGTGATATGATGTTAACTCTTGTAAAAGATTCTCTGCTGCAAGCTTTTTATCCATATCTACCACAAATGAGTTCCTGCTGCGCTGCTTGTCTTTGATACGGTCACCATTTGCCAATGCTAGAAGCTAGTGCAAGTACAGATGGGAACGTAAAATATTCAATATTATTTCAATGCATAAAACAGGTTGACAAGACCATATTCACAATGAGCACGATTGGAAAAAACATGGTACTTGTGGTGCGATATTGGCAATGAGAAGGTTTTTGTTTCCTATTTCACTTATTATAGCAATTCATACAGAAATATGAAACCCTTGTAAGCATATTACTCAAGAACAAAACATGCTTGGAATTTCAGGCCAGCTGAGGCCATTAAAATTAATCTTGAATACCTGAAAGATAGTATGGTATGGATGGTCAATAGCCATTTTCTTTACAAGAGAAACCAAAGCAAACTGCACATCCAATAATTAGAATCAGAATATACTCCCAACTTCTGAAGGAGCCAAGAATATGAGCTCAATGTGAACCTGAAAATTACGAGGTCCAGGGCAATCCTTTAAGCTACCCACTCTTGAAGCAATTTGGTATACTAAAGGGATGAATTTGTAAGACTGAACCTGTACAAGTATTGGATTACAAATCAAGCACAACTCTTATATAGCATTCATTATCCAGAAATATATGTGTGTGTAGTATATATATCTATATATATATTATATATACTTTTTACAGAAAACTATAGAAATTTGGTTTCTATTATTTCAAATATTGATTAATAATATTGTTCTCATTCACAATGTACCTCAGTGATTGTGGTAAGCATACTGTCTATGACATTTTTTCTAGAAGAGAGAGAGAACCACAGGGAAATTAGCCGAAAAACCTGAAAACATGTGTTAGTCCTCAATGGCATTATACAGGGTTCAACAATAAAATAAATCAATGAGGATGGCTTTTATTTGTGTAAAACTATCCACTCAATCCAAGGCAAACATTTTGTTTTCTGCTCAATTGAATAAATATTAACCTCATGCAAAGTAATCGACATTAAGGGCCAGAGACTCTTAGGACCATTCACTACATAATTACAGTGCTAGATTAGGTTCGGTTGGACATAGACGTTGAGAGTAAGTGCATACCACTCGCACATCATATTTGTTGCCAACAACCAAACAACGTTGATATCCCTCCAATGCTAGGTTAAGGAAATTGTCCCTGTCATCCTGAGAAGTTAATGAAAACAAATACAACAGTTAAAAGTAGATTATATTTTTACAAGTCAATTCCCGTAGATACGCTCACCACTCTGCATTTACAAAGGAAGCCCAGATTTTAGATCCAGATGTCCCACAAATCATTCACTAGTTGTTAAAATTGCCCCTCCAACACAAAGCAAATGAGAAGGACAAATTTTGAACAAGACTTCAACAAACCAAGGTATAACAACTACCTGAAGTTTTTCGGCCTCCTCCTTGTCCATTGCAAGTTGCTTTTGCAGCTCTTGAATTTTGACAGAGTAGTCAATCTTCTCCCCCTAAAATTATATATGGAAGAAGAAAAAAATGCCATGGAAACTTGGCAGGTTATCCCCATGGTACCTATAAATCAAAATGGCAAATAAGGAAACATAATAATGGTTTGAATTTACCTTTGTCGAAGATTTAGCCGTTTAATAAGTGCTTCCAATTCCATTGTCTGTGAAATTGTCAATTACTAAAAATTGCTCAAAAACACTAAACTTGAGTAACTTTGAGTGCTTGTTCTAAGTTATTCTTGAGTACCTTGTGTTTCCTTAAACGCATAGCTGCTTGCCACTCATTAGAGGTAAGTCTTTCCTCATAACTCCTAAATAGAGCATCTGCGTAGTGTGCAAGATGAAAATGTGTTCGGCTTTGTCTATCTCTGGACCTCTTGTCTGCAGCCTTCTGATTCTCGGTAAGTGAAACAGCAGGCTTCAAATACTTCTCTAAAATAGTTCTTGAGCTGAATTTATATTCCAGACAAAGAATTAAAAGAAAAATCAGTATATCTTTTATTCACATCCAAAATCAAATTATCAGTAGTTAAGATTTTCTATAACTTGCTAGATCTAGTCTCTGCCAGCCACTTCCCAACCAAGCGATGAACATCTGAAGACTCTTCATTTGACAGGAAATTTTGTGAGACATATTTTGCAAGGCTGATTGCCATCTCATGCTGACCTTGGCCACGCAAAAGCTTAGCTTCTTCAAGCTGCCAAGATACAAAAGTTTACCAGTGTTATTTCCAACTTTTGAAAAGCATGACAGAAACAATTTAGACAGACAGACATATTAAAACCAAATTTAATTAAAATGCAGAAATTAATTAAAACAAACCAGAAAAGGCCGCAAAGTGAAACATACACTGTTCACAGATTCAGTGAAAGGACTATGAGAGAACGTGTTTCTACTGAACAAATAAAGCATAGCAATAACCTTGCACTTGAAAATGAAGTTTAAGTAGAAGCTATTAAATTCTGTTTTGCACGTTGTTTCCATCCACCCAGACAAGGAAGCAACTCAGAAGTTTGTTGGAAAAATAAAGTAATTGTGCAAAAGAAAAGTATCAGGCAACAGTTCCCACAGATCTTATAAATATTCAAATCTAGATGGCGGGTTACATGCGAAGAGAGTGAGTCCGCCATTAAAAACGCTTAACAATGAGTTACAGTCCTAAGACTCAGTGTAGCTGATGTTTGAATAATTAGAGACAAGAAAAAAGAGGATATATTCTCAAATGTGAGAAAGAAATTAACTTTAAGGGAGATATTACAGGAAGTCATTATTTAGAGCTTCCCAGCACTCTACAACATCAAAAGTTGTCCACAAAAATTTGAGTCTTGTGACTACAGATGTAGTTAAGCAGGATCTCTAGTTAAAAAAAGAAATTCTCAAATAGGAGCCTCTTATATGTACTCAAAGCAGGTTAAGAATTATAAAAACTATGTACCCTTCCAAGCCAATATAGGGACGAATCTTGCTCTCCTGATTCGACACAGAGGAACTTAAACTCATGCAGAGCTGCAGCTGCTTGAGAAAATCTAGAACCCTGTATAACAAGGAAAGACAGACAAGGAGATATCAGGAAAGCAGGTTAAGTGGATGGTTCTATGATTATGAAATGCTGAAAATACCTTACGGAGGGTAGATGTGGACTGCAGAAGATGTTGCACCATACAGTCCCTACAACTTAAGATTTGAAGTAGAACTCGCCTGAACGCTATCAAAGGCTCTAGTAAATTCATGTGTAACTGGGTCCGTTCCAAAATGGAACTCCAATCCATGTTCAGCCAAGATAACTAATTCAAAGTAAAAGACTATGTCAGGCAACCAGACATTTGTGCACACACATACATATCTGAAACTGAGGTAAATTAATTAATCACATATGAAATTTCTAAACCATGCTTTATGATTTCACCATGCATCTATAAGAAGAAACCTTAAATAAGCCCAAACAATAATAAAGAACACAGATTAGGCTCAATCTTCTTCTAATGTAAATATAGCTATAACATGTTACTACTACACAAAAAAATAATTACAACTTCAATATATACCTAATATGAATTAATAATTGTATAACCTATTGCGGGAAAACAAAAAACTAAATCATCATTTGAATAGAAAAAATACAAATTTATAAATAAACCCAATCCTAGACATGTATTTATAAAAAAAACCCAAGCACTATTTAAACATAGAAATACACCCAAAATTAACCATAAAGTCAACTTTTTGGGTGTGTTTATAAATGAGTTTTGAGTGTATGTAATGATGGGTTTTGGGTGTGTTTATATGTTTAATAGTGCTTGGGTTTTTTTATAATTTCAACCCCCATTTTGGGTGTTTTAGTGAAACTCCCTAGAAAAAAAGGTCTTTATCCTATCCAAGGTCCCTGGCCTAAATGTTCTTGAACACTTAAATTTAAATCTGTTTATGGTTTGCATGAAATATTATTTTGCCTATACATCTGTAGTATAGCTAGCTCACCCTCTTGAGCTAGTATATTGGGAAATGTCAACAGGACTACCAACCACTAATTCCTCATTTTTGGTGCCAGAGTGGTGTATGAAGTGAGATTAACTTTATAAAAAAAATTACTAATTTAATTTTCAATAATTGTACGACATAATTTAGAAACATGATTATCACATGTATCATTTTGTAGCCACCTGTACTGATCATCCACCAACAAACAAATGATGGCTACTTAATTGATTTCATCCATCATTGTAATACCTGATTTATGGTAGGGATTACAGGTTCAGAATTCACTTCTTCCATCTCTGGATAAGAATTTATACCCTCACCATAATGAGATGATGTCCAACGCAAATCCCAAGCCATGCCAAGATGATAAAGGATCTGCACAAGGATACATAAGTTTAAGGGAAAAAAAAAAAGGTATGATTTTTCTTCTTTTTTGGTAATAAAATCTAGAAAATATGTAACAGGTTTTTTCTGGTTCTCATGGCATGTCTAGGTTTACCCAAGCATAATGAATCGACAAATTAAATCATTAAAAAAATAACCTTGTAATGGACAAAAATTATATATTTAAACTATTTATAAGTATTGCATCCAATGCAATAATTAGCATGAAAAAAGTACTGATAGACACCGAAGTTGGCGAGGATCGAAAGAATGCTGTCCATGTAACTCTCTACATCTTCGAGATGTGTTGCTACTATCAAGAATGACTAAAATCAGACCTAACTATCCAAACAGAGTCATCCAATAGAATTCAAAATCTGGAACGTAATGCCAATTTAATGTCTTCGTTCAATTACAAATTAAAATTTGGAATGAACCTCTTTCCTTGAGAGAGGTAATCCATACTTTAAAAAATTTAGCAGCAATGGAGGCCAAAAGTGAACATATTAAGGAGCACCTGCCTTTTATGTTTATCACATACCTGGAGCTTAATTATTGCTGAATATATGTGTTCAGTACTTTCTTCACTAGCACGAGAAACACAACACACAAGCTCCTGACACATATGAACACACAACATAAGTAAAATTACACAATGTCGAGTTGGTAGGAGAGACAAAGTTGAGACCCATATCACCTGCTTTGAGTTTTTCAGCTTTCTGTGAAACTCATTGAAATCTCCCTTTTTCAGAGCCCTCAAACAACTGACCGTTAACAAGGATAAACAAAGAGTCTGAGATACTTCAAGACTAACATATATGTTTTGTTTTCTTCACTTGTATGGCACGAATGTCTCTTACCTATGCAAATTTTCATTAAAATGATCACTTTTGATGTGCATACTTGATGAAATAGAATTATTCCCAACGTGAAGTAAGGAGAAATCCCAGTTTGCAGTACGCCAAGCAGCCTCATACTGAAAATAGTAGATCAACAACATCAAGAAAAATGGTACTTGTAGCATTAAACTAGTGAGAAAATTTGCTAACCATAAAGCCAAACATATCATTGATCAGGCATATTTAACTAGTTAAGATTGAAGACCTGCAATTCAGTAAACTCCAGATCATGATGAAAGTGTCCCTTCCGAGTTGTCAATCCTTGGCAATACAAATCTAGAACATGCATACAACCAGTTTGCTGCAAAGATCTAATCAGACCTTTATAAGGTTTCCTCTGCCTCATCACATTTTCCAATGTGGGATTGGATAAATGATCTGTTGGTTGAGTCTCTTCCAGGGATAAATTTCTGGAACCAAAATCCACTGGTACCAAGGAAGCTGAACGTACTTGCAAGTCATAATACTCAAGGGCCTTGCTCCAGTTTCCCTCATGCTCGAAGGTAATGATTTGAGAGGTCAGCTTTCAATGCCATCACCACAAAACCAGAAAAAATAATACTACTATGAGAATATACTTATGTTCTGAATATAATATCTCAGACATTCTCAGGTGCTCTCAATATTTGATGATTCAAATGAAACTGGATGGCCGAAGTCATAATTGGTAAGACTACATAACAGACACAACTAAGCATAAATTCACCTCATTGCAAAACCATAATTTTTGCTAACCTTGTGTGACTGGATGATCCCATATAAGCTGTCAGGTTCATTGATCTGAGTGACGGCTGCGACAAGTATTTCAATATGATGTGGCAACTGAAGAGCAGAAAGACACAGAACAGGAAGAGGAAGTCAAAAGCAGCACCAATTAAACAGAAGGACAAGACAGAACAGGAGAACAAACAATTCTTCCCATATGGAAGGACCATATGTATCTTCCATTTTTGTATATTGTTTTACAACAGACCACAACTGTAAACAAGATCTAACATATCAGCTCATTAGAAAACAAGTACAAAGCTCACTATATATGTGGAACTAACCGCTTCAATGTGAGAGAAATCTGGGCTCCCCAGTGTGAGGCTGTTGAAATGCTCTTCACACCAATGCTCCACATACATCACAGCAGTAAAGTAATTGCCACAAATCTATGAAGTACACATCCTTGTCAAAGCTATGGACTTATGGATACTAACTAAAGAAAGTTGTTTGGGCAGAGACTTGGAATTAAATTATAAATGAGTAGGAACAGTTCAGAACTCACAACTGCTGACTTGGCGACGATAAGATAATCAATAGAAAGCCAATAAACCTGGGAACATATTTAAATTATCAGACAAATAACAAGAAAAAAGAATGGTTCAGAACATATGTTTAACAAGCCATAAACTGAACCAAACACAATATTTAAACATAATTAACTCCAGAGAGTAAGGCAACAGATAACAGAATATCTTTGAACATATGCACAACACAATACCTTGTCCCATAAAGACGTCGCCATTGCCGTTCCACTTAACGCAGGAGCTGAATCTCCAGCCTTTCCAGGGGTGGAACGGGATTTGGAGCTATAACTAGAAGGCTTAGCACTCTACAAACCCAAAAGGTAATAATTAGATTAGTGCCATCTATGTGAAATATTCTTGTGACCAAAGTCCTTGGATGAAAAACATACTTTGCACGATTTAATTAGTAAAAGATCACTGTCAAGACGACCAATAGACCTCTCCCATACTTGATTGAAAATTGGCAGCAGCAGAACGTAGTATTGTCTAATCTATTATAAAACGTACATATTATAGAAACTTAACTGCATCAAATGCAAGCAGAAAATATCCAAAAAATTCAAATTTTAGACGTTGTTTTATTTTAAGGTTATCTTCAAAACTTTTTCTCAAACATCAACAAATATCTCTCAATCTTATTCTTGGCTCCATCTCTCATATCCAAAACGGTATTAAAATAAGAAGAAGGATGTCACACTTTGTTAAGTGAAAGGGGAAAGAAGGCTGTTTCCTAGATTAGTAAGTAGTTTAGTTCTTGGCAGGAATAGGAATGATTGTGCTGTTGCAATGCAATTTGTAATATTGCGGCGAACATCTTTTCCACTGGGTTTAGAGCTTTGGAGTTAATTTGTGATAGGAACCGGATTGGACTTTTTGCATCTTTATGGGTTTCTTCGTCCAACTATTTGACTACCCCTTAGTGCAATCCTTCTTGGTAGGAGAGGAGTGTTGTATTATTGACCGTATCTTGGGTAGTTGCTGTTTCTAATTTTTCATTTTGATGCTTGTGTTTTTTGTCTGACTGAGAGATATTTTCATGTATTATACTTCTGGTGTCCTGTTTTTGTAGGATGAGAGGAGTTTCTCTTAGACTGTTGGTCCACTTTGATTGTACTCTTCACCTTTTTATTGCAACTATTCTGCTTCCTATGCAAAAGAAAACACACACACACACACACACACACATATATATCTTGTCCACTCCGTTGTACTGTTTAAAGAAAAAGAAAAGGATGAGAAAGAGAAGAGAAGGTAATAAAAGGCTATCTTGAAGAGGTGTAGGGAACTGAAAAGAGAACCATACAACAATTTTTCGTTTAATGCGAGATAACTAAAGTACTTAACAATCTGAAACAAACTTAAAACTAAAAAAAATGAAATCATTAGAAGCAACTACAAAATAGTTTCATAGAATACCTTGGAAATTTCTGCCCTCGATGGCAACAAAGAAGTTCTTTGCATCACATGACATAACCGAAGTTCATTAAGGGCATTCAACCAAATTTGAATTGATTTGATTAACGTATTAGAGTCTGTAAATATATATTCCTGCACCTGCACACAAAACATAGGCAACCAATCAAATCAACAATGTGCATAACAAGAACAAGATACAGCAGAGGGGAAACAGACCTGCAATGCTTTCAGATAGATAACTAATAAAATAAATAACTCAATGAGGACTAAGTTATAAAACATTGAATCAATTCATGTCTTTAGATTAAGCCAGCACATCGAATCATCTAAAATTACAATCCTGAATAGCATGAATAATAAGAAATAGCCCATTCAACTGCCTCACATTCTCAATCTCATATAGGTGTCTCAATCACATCACAACTCCTCTGAAATAACACCAAGTTTCTTCCAATAATAGTTCCCCTCCCAAACAAGAAATAGTCTCCCAACACAACACTTGCCCCAAAATTAAGAGACAATCAAAACAAGTTTCCTACAAAGACAGTCTATTTTTCAGTTACTGCCACCCATAAAATGAAAAGCTTCCAAAACATGAAGCACCAAAAAGGTAACTAAATGCCACTAATAGTTTGAACTTTTAATGTCCAAATGGCAGAAATGAGAAATTACAAATCTCAAAATGGAGAAACATCACACTAAAATTAAAAATAGACCAAAATACATTCCAGATTCAACCTGCAAAGAGATTAATTTGAGGAGATCAACATCCATATCCTTCCTTCCAGCAAGATTGACAACAACGCTTGGTAATAGAAGCTCGGCAACTTCAGCTTTTGCCAACACAACATCCTGACATAATCTGAAAGAAGCAGCTAAAAAGGATAACCATTCTGACCAACATATCTAGATCAATGAACCCTTAACAACATACGATATCAAAGATAATACCTCAGAATCACATCACTGCAATAGCCAATTAGTGAATAGACAAGTTGACAAATCCATGTATCGAAAGTTTTACCATCTGTCACCCATACAGTAGAATTCTCTAACGGAATTGCTTCAGCTGAAAATGAATTTAAGGAACTATTACATGTTGAACCGGAAAACCATTAATGAGAACCACACAACAACAAATAACCCAAGTAAGAGGTGTAACAAATGATATGAATCCGAAATTGAAGGTATAAATCAGCATGATGCAACTTGGAAGGTATCATGAGAGTTGACGTCACACAGTCACTCACGCATGAAAAAACAATGAGATTTTACAACCAGTGATAAACAAAAAGGAAGCCCATGCTGCGTCTGGATCCCTAGGGCCACATGAAGCAGAAAGCATCAAGAAGCCTAACTAAACACTACTAAGACAGCCTTTAACAAACAGTTTAAATTAGGGGTGGGCATTGGAACCGCAAAACCGTAAAACCGAACCAAACCAATCCGGAAAAAACCGAAAAAAACCGTGTTGACCGAAAAAGTCAAAAACCGAGAAAAATCCAAACCGAACCGGTTCAGACCGGTTTCGGTTCTGGTTTTCCACCCTTAGGAACCGGTCCAATCCGAACCGGTCCAATAAAATTAATATATATATATTTTTATATTATATTTGAAATTATATAAATATTTTTATACTTGGCTAAGTTTGATTGGGTGTCTACACTACTACCATAGGCGCGCATCACAGAGGAAAAAAAAAGACTGACTGAAACGGCCTAGGTTTTTTCGTTCCTCTCTTCTTCGATTTCATTTCTTCTTCGTTCGTTCCTTTCCTTCATTCATACAGAGCTGCCCCCTGAGTCAGAGAAACGACCTGGGTTTTTTTTGTCTTCGTTCCTCTCTTCTTCGATTTCATTTCTTCTTCGTTCGTTCGTTCCGTTCCTCTTCCTTTCCTTCATTCTTCGTTCGTTCGTTCGTTCCTTTCCTTCGTTCGTTCCTTGCCTTCTTCCAAACCTCTATTTCTCTCTCAGTCTCAGCCATCACGTCACACCTCTCTGCCGTCGCTCTTCTTCCAGTCGCCGCCGTCGTTCTGTCGCTCTTCTCTCTCTCAGCCGTCGCGCCGCCGTCTCTCTCACTCACGCAGCCTGCAATTCAAGAGATGTCATCCGACCTCAAGAGATGGAGTTCCATGTCGTGACGCAGGTATAGATTCTGTCTTTTCTTTTTATTTTTTGACAAATTTTCCATGGAGTTCCTACAATTCAAAATCTTCTGACAAGTTTTCTTTTTTGCTCTGCACTTGGGCAATGTTGTTGTTTATGTCTTTTTGGTAATGCTAGGATTTTACTACTTGGTTTTTAATTGGGTTTTTGTGTATTGAGTTGGATAGATCTGGGGTAGCTCAGTCATTGGAGAACTGGGGTTTTCGGCATTTGGGATTGTGAGGACTTGCTTTTGGTGAATTGAGTATTGTAGTATTTGAGTTTTTAGATCTTGGTTGATTGATTGGGTTTGATTGTGGCAGCTTTTCAATTGCTGCTTGAGAAAGTTAGCATTCTTTTCCTTCATTTGCCGTTGAGGATCTGGTTTATTTGACATGGTGAAGATGAAACTAGTAAAGTTGGTACCTTTGGTTCTTGCTTTTGTATTGCTTATGAGTCTTAGATCATCTGCTTCATTCACTCCTATCGATAACTACTTAATTGCTTGCGGTTCTTCGAAAAGCATCACATTTCAAGGTCGAACCTTTGTTCCTGATACACAACAATCTTCCCTTGTACTAAAAAGTGCAAATTCTGTAGTTGCTAGCTCCAATTCTACTGTCCCTTCTCCAATTTACCAATCTGCTCGAGTTTTCAAGGCAGCAGCTTCTTACAAATTCAAAATCCAGCAAGAAGGCCGGCATTGGGTCCGCCTTTATTTTTACCCTCTTACAAGTCCTGGCCAAAACTTGGAGTCTGCTCAATTAACTGTTGTTACTAATAATTTTGTACTCTTGACCAACTTCACTTTCAAGAACTATAATGGTTCTTATCTGTTCAAGGAGTATGCAATCAATGTAACTTCAGATACCTTGACTCTCACCCTCATTCCTTCAAACAATTCAGTTGCTTTTGTTAATGCAATTGAAGTTGTATCTATCCCAGATGCACTGCTCTCTGACCAGGCATATGCTGTGAATCCATCTGCTCCTTTTAGTGGCCTTTCTGACCTTGCCCTTCAAACAGTTTACCGGTTAAACATGGGGGGGTCCTTTAGTAGTTTTCGACCAAAAAAAACCATTTTTTCTTTTATTGACAGCTTATGGGTTCTTCTCTTTCATCAGTGCTGATACTAATACCTTCCTTCATGCTAATGTCTAGGGTTGGCATCATCCTCTCAGCAGCAGCTCACGGTGGTAAATACACCTCCATAGGCTCGAAGTTTCATTGGTTTCACGCAGACCAGCATCAATTTTCTCGTAGCTTCCATCAGCAGCAATTCTGTCTATCTCAGGTATTCTTCATCTCTCTCTCTCTCTCTCTCTCTCTCTCTCTCTCAGATATTTTGAATTTGATGTTTTGCAACTGAAATTTGGATGTTTGCAACTGAAATTGGTTTTGATTATATCTGTATGTTTTGATTACATCTGAAATTTGGATGTTTGCAGCTGAAATTGGTTTTGATTATATCTGTATGTTTTGATTATATCTGAAATTTGGATGTTTGCAACTGAAATTTGGATGTTTGCAGCTGAAATTGGTTTTGATTATATCTGTATGTTTTGATTATATTTGAAATTTGGATGTTTGCAGCTGAAATTGGATGTTTGCAGCTGAAATTGGTTTTGATTATATCTGTATGTTTAGATTATATCTGAAATTTGGATGTTTGCAGCTGAAATTGGTTTTGATTATATCTGTATGTTTAGATTATATCTGAAATTTGGATGTTTGCAGCTGAAATTGGTTTTGATTATATCTGTATGTTTTGATTATATCTGAAATTTGGATGTTTGCAGCTGAAATTGGTTTTGATTATATCTGAATTTGGATGTTTGCAGCTGAAATTTTGATGTTTTGCAATTGAAATTTGTATAGCTTGTATGATAATTGGTTTTGATTATATCTGTATGTAATTTGATTATATCTGTTTTAAATTGAGGGCTTGTTTTTTGTTAGTATCATGTTTAAGTTGCTTTTTTTTTGTTTCTTAAAGAAATCATGAATGAGTCAAACCCATTTGGAGAGGTACATCCCACTACTAATAGTGAAGTTGGTTCATCATCCGCATCCGTATCCACATCCGCATCCGCATCCGCATCTTCTTCAACACCTTCATCCACTTTACCTAACCCTCAAACACTAACTCAAAGTACACCTCAACTGAGTGGTCTTCCACCATTACCTCATTCCGGCCCAAAAAGAGAAAAATCGGAAGTATGGGATCACTTTGAGAAATATGAAGAAGTGGTTGAGAGTGTGAAGGAGGATGGGAGCAAATATGCAACCACTAAGAAGAGAGCTAGGTGCAAGTATTGCACTATGAGCTATGCAGCAGACTCTACTAGAAATGGGACCTCAAATTTGAGGAAACATATTGAAAACTTATGTAAGAAATATCCGGGAAGGGTTCCTAAAGATAAACGGCAAAAGCTCTTGTCTTTTGACCAAGAACATGGGGTTCTTACATCAACAATGCATGGTAAAGAAGAGTGGTTAAAGGCATGTGTAGAGATGGTAGTAATGGATGAGATGCCGTTTAGTGTGGTTGAAGGAAAAGGGTTTAGGCGGTTTTGTAATTCTTTGAACCCCCATTTTCAAGTGCCATCGCGTAGGACACTTGTGAGGCATTTCATGGTAATGTATGATGCCATGAAACAAAAATTGAAAGAAGAATTAGCACCACATAGAGTATGCCTCACAACGGACACTTGGACAAGTGTTCAAAACATCAATTACATGGTCATCACGGCACACTTCATAGATGGTGATTGGAACTTGCACAAAAGAATCTTGAACTTTTGTGTGATTTCCAATCACAAGGGGAACTCAATTGGTAAACTCCTTGAGTCATGCTTGCTTGATTGGGATTTGAAGAAGATATTAACCATCACGGCCGATAATGCTTCTTCAAACACAAAGGCTATAGATTACTTGAAGTCGAAAATGGGTCATTGGGGAAATGGTAGTCTTTTATTAGAGGGAAAGTATATGCACATTAGGTGTTGTGCTCATATTGTGAATTTGATAGTTCGTGATGGGTTGAAGAAGTTGGAAAAAAGCATAGTGTGTATAAGAAATGCTGTGAAGTATGTAAGATCTTCTCCCAAAAGGTTGGAGGACTTTAAGAGTTGTGTTAAGAAAGAGCAAATTGAATGCAAAGGGCTTGTGGTGTTGGATGTGCCAACAAGGTGGAATTCCACATATATGATGTTGGAAGCCGCCTTAAAGTTTGAAAAGGCATTTTGGAGAATGGGAGAAGATGATGAAGGCCCATATATTTCTTGGTTTGGTGAAGATGAACCGGATCTTGAAGATGGGGTGGTTATGTCTCATTATCCTAGAAAGAGGGAAGGACCACCAACTAATGAAGATTGGAACAATGCTCGTACCTTTGTGAATTTTTTGAAGGTATTTTATGATGCTACATTGAAGATGAGTGTCACTTTGCATCCCGCTTCCCACACCACATTTCATGACTTGATTGCAATGGAAGAAGAAATTGAGGATTTGTTGATGGAAGAGGAGGAAATATTAAGTGAAACCCAAACCTCCAAGGTTTTGAAGGACATGGCACTTAACATGAAGATGAAGTTTAAAAAGTATTGGGGTGACCTTGATAAATTGAACCAAATTTTGATGGTTGCTCTTGTTCTTGACCCTCGATACAAATTGGGGAACTTGGAGTTTATCTTGAAAAGCCGGTTTGAAAACCCGGAAGATGCGGTTAAGAAGAAGAATGAGATCAAAGAGATTTTAAAGAAGTTTTATGAAGAATATGCCATGCCACCACCACCACCACCACCTACTCAAAGTAGTAGTTATTATTCTAGTGATACTACTACAATGAGTACAAGTAGTAGCCGAGGGGGAAAGAAACGAAGGCAAATGACCGAAAATTGGAGAAAAGAGACTCGAGCAAATGATGTTGTGGTATTGGAGCATGAGATTGATAGGTACATCACCGACCCTATTGAAGATGTGGTTGATGAATTTGATGTTTTGAAGTGGTGGAAATTGAATGGGGTTAAGTATCCGGGGTTGGCACTTATTGCAAAGGATGTGCTTGCCATCCCGGTATCAACGGTGGCTTCGGAATCATGCTTTAGCACGGGTGGTCGGGTAGTTAATTCATTTCGTGCTTCTTTGACTCCTAAGATTGTGGAGGCCTTAATTTGTTCTCAAAATTGGTTAAGGTCGGATGACATTTCCTCTTTACAATATGAGCCAACAATTCAAGAGATGGAGTTCTATGAATCGATTGAATTAGGTATGTCTTTGTAATTTTATATGCTTTATTAATGTATTATATAATGTTTATGTTTGACTAATATTTTAATGGGTTTATGTTTTTTTTATGTAGATATTATGAGTTCATCCACACCTAGCACCATAGCTCCAACTACTTTTCAATGTTAGGAGGAATTTAATGAAGTTGGATTGAATTTGGGTTGTAATGTATATTTGAATTGAATTTGGGTTGTATTTGGCTAGTAATTTATTTTGAAACTTATTTTGTTGAAGTTTGATTGAATTTGGGTTGTAATTTATATGTTGAAGTTTGATTGAATTTGGGTTGTAATTTTGTTAAAGTTTGATTGAATTTGGATTGCATTTTTGTTAAAGTTAGATTCATTTTGATGCGTTGAAAGCTTGATAGAACCTCAAATTTGAGGTATGTTAGTATATAAATTCATTTTGGGCAGGTTTGTTTATTATAAAAAAAAAAAAAAAAAAAAAAACAAAAAAAAAAACCGTTGGATTCGAACCGGAACCGGACAGGTCCGGTTTGGTTCGGATTTCTGTATGGATATTGAGCAGAACCGGTCCAAACCGAACCGGATTGCACTATTGGATCAGGTTCCATTTTTCTCCAAGAACCGGTCCAAACCGAACCGTGCCCACCCCTAGTTTAAATAACATTAACCACAATTTTGAATATCACTTTAAACAGAAATGAATACGTATAAAAAACCAGCACCAGCATTACCTTTAAACTTAATTTCCAGATCGAAAAGGAGCTTCTCCACCAACTCAATATTGACACCCTTTGAGTGAACCTGGAAGACAAGAATAAATTACACGAGTTTTCCATTGAAATAACATCATCCACAGTATTATAACTAGGTATAAAATTTAACTCCACAACTAATAAAATGTATAATAAAATAAAAATACAGAGAAAAGCATAGTTACCTCAATAAGAGACCTCTCATAAGAATCAAATGACAACATAGTACTTTGACCCCTTTGAGTTGAAAGAATTCCCTGCTTCCAGGAAAAAAGCATATTATAGAACCCCATAAAAACCATCAGATTATAACAAGTAAAGCCAAAAAGAGAAAGAAGAATGGGGAAAACAAGGAGGGGGGAAGCAAACAATAGATTTAAAGTTCCACGAGCAAATAAAAATTCACGCTATAAGTAACAACAGCATGCATAGTTTTATTGTTTAAAAAAAAAAAACAACCAGTTCCTGGACAAGAAGTAATAGTTTACCTAGGTATAGGCTCAACTAGTCGATACATACGACAAGAACCCACACACTTGAAGCATTTTGCTAAGTGAAACAGTAATATAGCAACAAACTTGCAGACTAGACTATTACAGTCATCCAAGCTCATCATTTTCAATCTTATACAAATGTAGGATCCATGCACCTAATCTATGGACAATAATATTTACCGAATCAAAACAGTCATAATGCCCCGGACTCAACCTTGTAAGGATTTTATATCTTTAGGAAAACATTGCCTCCTCCTCACCTTAACCCTACCTTACATTTCACTCGGTCCTCCCCTTTAATAAACTAACATCATTCAAATATATTACATACTTATACTTCCCTCAATCTTGCAAATTTGCATACACCCTTGTCTATCACAGCAATTTTCTTATATTCTGGTATATATTTTTTTTCTTAAGCCTGAACTTGTATCATGATTGACCATTCACAATAAAGAATTGCTAAGAGAGTTCAACTTTGGTACCACCAATTTTTCAGCATAGAAATGAATGTGCCCAGCATAGACAGGTTGTGATCAAGATTGTGGTTAGAAGGGGGAACCTAAAGATCTCATTAATCATAGGAAGTGTGTCACAATTCTTCACTTACCATAAGTCATACTCATAATAAGTTTGCCGTTAGTCCTCTTAAAGTATGGAAGGTAAACAAAATTAAACAATAATGAATATATCAGTAACCAGGTATCAAATTAATTAAGATGAAGTGGTCAAGACAACGTTATCATTGAATGAAGTCTGACAGACTTGAAAAGAGGGCAAAGTCAAATGGTCATCCAAAGACTCACCCGAAGAGATTGAGATGTCATATCAACTATTTTAACGGAATCATCCATCAGGTACTTTTTCAGAAGTTTCAAAAGTGCAACCACAAGTTCTTCAGATAAGCCAGCATCCATCCAAAATTTGACTTCTGTAGAAGAGTCATGACTAATAGGTTGGTAGACATGGATATCACTAGAGTTTCCTGGAAGACGAAAAACAACACCATGTGGATCCCCAACACCAACCTGCATTTTTTGGAAAAGAAAAGGAAAAAGTATTATTGCAGAGTTCAATGGGCAGAAGAAGAGATAATGTCAGTCTAGCAGACGTACCCTAGATATGAAATCAGAGAGCAAAACTCTAACAGTATTTGTATCATCCGAGCCACACATGCGGACCAGTGTCCAGACAGCACTGATAATTTCCTGGTCACAATGCCAATATGTATTCTTTTCACTTTGAAATGTCTCACCCAAAAGAAACTTCTTGTGCAGTGCTTGGAGACTGCAAGAATGTACCAAGTTCACAGAGAATCTTATTACCAACAAGCAATGTAAGAAGAATTGGATTACAATTCCTGAAATAAAATTGAAACATTTTAAAGTTCAACAGTTATTAAAATCATCAAAACAATTTTGTAGTATATTCCTCAAAAGTGATTGTGCAATTTCATTCAACAAATGACAACATGTAGGGTTAGAGAACAAGACCGCAGAAGAGACAGAAAAGAAGGAGAAACCACCTCCACAGAAGTAATCTTGGCGGAAGGTAGCAAGATCTCTTAACAAACTGAAAAAAGTCACAGTAAATAATTCAATCAGTGAGAAACTATTTAACAATATTTGGATTTCATAAAAAGCAAAGTAAATCTACACTGATGAACTTTGTTGGTTTGCCAGTATTTCCAAAAGCTTAAGCTGTTAGAATGTGGATGAACTATAATTTTTATGTATTAACGCTCTCCATCATGGGACTCTCTCCCACCACTAGAGAGCCTGACACATGGAATCCAACATAAATTGGAAGGTTGCATCTGTAGAGACTTGAACTCATGATGCCCGGTTCAAATAACCATGAAAAATTTGTAGGTTTACACTCTCAAAACTAGCGTAGGATAAGGACCAACTATTATTTTCATATTGTATATACAAAAATCGATATTATATACCTTCAACAAATGATCTCGTGGAGAGTAAGCTCGGCATAAATCCTGATGGAACTTCCGAATCCCATCAAAGATATCTATTTCAGGGAAGGGCTCCAATTCCTACCACAGAGAAATTACACAAATCAAAGGGTATAACTCCTCCAAAACCAAATTAAGAATATTTAAGAGGTGAAACTTCATTGTTGAGAAGCCAGAAACGGTACTCTGATGTAATCATGAAGAGATGGATCAGAATCCACAGTGAGCTCAAGGAGCAAAGACAAGACTTGGGATGATCTGCTGCCAGATTGTTCTCCCTTAGCTTCAGTGGGAATGCAACATGCCACCAACTTTGACACTAAAAACTGCATCAAAACACAACATGAGTGTAGCAGAGAATACTGAAAGGGGTCTTTTTTTGGGGGGGAAATGGGGTATTGAAGGGGGGGCCCTAGGGGAGAAGATGTGCGGATGCAGAACAAAAGATAGACATATAGAGTCAATAAAGGAACAGACCTGAAGTTGCTCACCCAGAACACTGATAATTTCTTTGGATGGATTACTTTTAAAAGTTTTCAGCAATGCAGAAATGATACGACAGCATTGATCTTGTAAAGCACGGCAACCAATGAATTGACCAACCAAATTGAAAAGATAACTGCATCAAACATCAAATAATCACAAAAGTAAGTGCATATTAAATTATATAGTTTAAAAAACGTCCAAAAAATTTCTGTTTTCAGTGTTTTCACTACATATGAAAAGGACTAAAATTATATAACATAACATCACTTTTCCTCTTCCATCCTATATGGAAAGAGAACTGCACACAAACACCATTAAAAGATACGAATATCATATTATTTGCTTTAACATTAGAAAAAATAGGGGATAATAATGGAACTCTGCCCACTTAAGTGCACCACTATAATCTGCAAAAGGCATCTGCATTCTTTTTCAAAAATGCTAATCCAGTCACACAAGTAACAAATTAATTAGAAGCTTGTATGAATTGCTTGACCAAACATTGTTTTAATTATCTAATGATGGATACTGATAATGTAAACTTACTTGGAAGTGCTTGCAACAGCAGCTCTATACCCAAGAATATCTATAAGCACCTCAACTCCAGTCAGTCGGTGACATGTATGCCTATGGTGGGTTGCTGCTGCAATCTTATGATGCAGTTCCACTATAAACTGCAGAACCACAATAGCAATTCATTTCACAAAATGCATTGAACATGCCAACTGAACAAGAGAATTGAATATAAGGGGAATCCCATCATAGGCATAAGGAGATATCCAAATAGCATTTTACCATGAAAACCCTATCTGCGCGAAAAATGTTTATCTTGTCAACAACACAGATGCTAGTAGCATCATCCTCCCTACACATAGGGTCATTAAGAAAACATTTTAAGCTAGAATTTTCAGATATGTAAACCGAATAAATCAAAGAAAATAGTGTACATCTCCAAAAATCCGTCAACAACTGTCTGAATTGCACGTGCAATCGTGTCCCTAGAAAAGAATGGAACTGCAGGGTTTGATGCAGACGAGGAAAGAGACAGAATGTGGCTGACAATAGATACCTATAAATGTGCCAAGGAAGAACAACTATAAGAGATTAAAACCATCTAGTTAATTCTGATGAACCAAAAAATACGATATATATATATATATATGTGTGTGTGTGTGTGTGAAAGGTAGGGCAATCAATCCAAAACCCAATTGAATCCATAGAATCAGTAGCAAACCATATTTTTCTTGATGATTTTGTCTCGTTCATTCTCGGATATCTGAGCAAGATGCAAAATTGAATTCTGAAGCACATCTGCTCCCTTTTCCCACCCAGATTTCTTACTGCAATGCAATGCCATGCAAACTGAAAAAATCTGCACAAAGTGATTTTTCACCAGAACTTCCAGAGGTTGACAAGCAATCTGGAATAAAATAACCCTGTGAGACTAACAACTTAAAAGGGTTGACGACAAATATATACATATATATATATAGAAAAAAGAAACGAAGAGTTGACAACAAATAATGGATGATGAATAGGGAAATAATCTTGTAACCTAGCTAATCCATCTACCACAGATAAACTTTGAGGAAAAACTACGTAACTGTTGGAAATTTTACAGGTCTCCCAACAAATGGGAAAGGAAAGAAAATTCAAAATTTATCTTACCTTAACAACCCAGCTAAAATTTACTCAAGGGTTGGAAATTTACAGGTTACCCAACAAATGGGCGAGAGAAAGAAGGTTCAAGATTCATCTTACCTTAGCAACCCAGCTGAGATTGCAGTGATCCCCATGCAGAAGTAGAGCCGGAAGAAGCCAATGGCAGCAATACTGCATGAAATAACTAGGTTCGGAATCTGATACAAATAATTGCCTTATCTGCAAAGGTAAATTGTCAACTAATCAGATTGGACATTTATGGATATGATATTCCTACGCAACAGTTGGTCTGACAATGCAGTACCAGGTAACACAAAAAGCTAATTGTGAAGGCACACCCACAATGGTTTGTAGAACACACACCGTCGCATGTAATTGTCTTAAATGCATAAGCTACAAACATTAGCAGCGTCAAATCTAAAATAAAAGTTGAACTTTTAAAAACAAGAAGAAGACAAATTACACTATCAGCAATCAACAAGATAGTCAAGGCAATGACACTAACATCGTTAGTACTATTCTAGGTTTTTTGGTAACAAACATTAACTTAAATAAAGATAAAAAGTAAAGAAAGGAGGCCAAATTGTCAACCTAAAAAAATAGTCTACCAACAAACTTTCAGCAGAAACAGTACAATTAAGTCAAAACTCCAACACAATCCAAACAAATCAAGCTAAAGGGGGCAATGAAGGCCACAAGGACGCTAAAAATCTGCTCCTTTTCCAAAGAAAATCCCTCTCCTCCACTTATCCTAAAAAATCCTGTCATTTCTTTCCATCCCAACAAGCCAAAAAACTGACAAGACTGAACTGCCAAAGAAGGATCGCCTTCTTCTGAGCATCAGCCCCAAAATATCCTCTGCCAAAAAGAAGCAATCTCCAGACAAAATACCCACAACTCCAAACACTTGTAGCAGCTTCTCCAAATTTGATAGGTGAGAGCAATTCGAAAATTTATAATCTAGAGTCCACATTTTAATAGCACAAAACGCAGATATCAGGCAATAAACAAGTATTTGGTCTTGAAAGATGAATCTCTTTGATAAACGTCACTCTAAAGGCACCCCTTGGACCACTTAGAAGAAGGAAGGATAACTGTGAAAGATGAATTTCCAAGGACAAAGAAACTTGCTTCACAATCCTGGAATTCCACCCGTTCTACTGTACTCAGTAGTTCTAAAAACAAAACATCAAACTGAATCCTACTCAAGAGTGAATCTCCACAACCATTTACATAAGAAAGCCATTCCTTATCAGTAAGTTCCCGATAGTTAACACACCATTTTGTGTAAGCTATTGCACTAAACCCCAACTAGTTACAAAGATCTCCTTCATCTTAACGAATCATTCAGGAAAATCCATATCAATAACAAGTTTGGCTGCAAAATATGTCCTTTACCCAAATTTATTAGCAAGATTCCCTACATAATTTTGGAGAATAAAGGAACCTACAATTTCTGCAGGTCATTCACACAATTGAAACAAAATAAATAAGATCAGTGGACAAATGAGCACATTACCTCAACAAGAGCAGCAAGGCTTACACCACAAGCAATCCAACAAAAGAGAATTGATCCCATAAGCTCTTCCAAGTACTGCAAAAGAAATTTGGAGACCTCAACTATATACAATGTATTATTTGGTTAAGTAACTAAAGTTTCAGATTATTGAAAGTCTTAATTTGATCAAGATGATTGTTGTTATGAACAAATAACTTGTGCAAACTGTTTGCTACACCAAACGCCCTAAACCCTTATATTGTCAAATATCCTCCTGTCCCTCTCCATCCATATCACCCACAAAAAAAGCCAAACCTGCAGCAACCCCAGAACGAACTAGCCTTCTTAACTTTCCTAAAAGAAGCATGAATTTCGCTAAGCAAAGAATTGGCACCCTTCTGGAATTACCCAACAAAATAATCATAATAATAATTATAGTAATAATGCAAGGAGAGAACTACAATTATTACCTTAAACCTAGTTGTATAATGCAGCTGCCTGGAGAGATTATCAAGTACTGCGACAACCAATTCCCTGAAAGGAGGGGAAAGGAAAATCTTTACAGATCAAAGAAACATAAAATGAAAAAAACAATACATCATAATAGTGCAAATATATTGCCTAATTGGAAGGCTGCAGTGTCTTGATTAGGATTGGTTTTTTTCTCTAGTTGTAGATCTCTGTACTAGTTTTCTTGTTTCTTTCTGTTATTGGTGGATTACTTATCCACTTTTCTGTATGGTTTTTTTTATGAAATAACATTTCTCCTTTTCAAAAAAAAGAAAAGAAAAGATAGTGCAGATATTGTACCTCTGACCAGGATCAATAGCAGAAACCACACATATCATGAACACAGCCTGCATGTGCCATGGAGATTACCAAATGAATACAAATGCACAACAAAACAGCTTCTTACAATGTCATAAACTAAACAAATTTAATCCATATACAAATGAATTCTAAAAGACCAATGACATTTTTGAATCAATTCTGCTTACTCCATTCCAACCTAACAGAAATTAAAACTAGTTCTAAGGATTCTTAGTAGCCACTTCTACACCTTTCCATAAAGAAAAAGGGAAATGAAATAAAACACATGCACACACATACACTGTAAATTCTATTCTACGCACCTTCCATCCATCTGAACACTATAATATGTGCACACATGGTATGCAGCAGTTGAGAATGTGTTTAGCCAGATTGACTGTTTCTAATAAAAAAATAAAAGACAAAAATAGCGCTACTCCGTACTCCGTAGAATTTGAGATGACTTTAGCAAGGTTGACAACTTTGGGTATGTCGCAAATACTTTATATAGAGTGACTACAGTTTATTAATAACATAATGGACCTGATTGGTAGATGTGCAGTTTTAATTGTCCCGCATTCACCCACATTTCACTTACTTTGGATTCTTCTTCCTTTTTGGTTTTTGTTTTTTTTAAACTTTTGCACACACAACGTTCTTCTTTGCTTTGCATGCAAAGTTATTTTTATCATCTGGGAGAACAATTTAAATAAAGAAAGTCAGCATATATACCTCAAACTCTATTTTCTCACTATGCAAAGCAAGATGCATAAGAGTGATAATAACAGTTTCCATTGTGGGACGAGGCTGTGGACCGACAGCTACGACCTCACTTGCAGCAACAAGTTTTTCTTTTGAGGGAAACACCAACAACACACCAAAGTTGGAACTAGAATAACAAGCACAAATAGATGTTAGCAAATAAAAATACTTTATGTTAATATAAAAAGTAGGCAATGTAAAGCCCCCAAGAGGGAACTTACAATAAATAAAATAGAATGTAGGACATTCAGAGCATTAATGTCAGTTGTACCCTTTTCAAGTTAAGTTGGGGTAGGCAAGATTTGTTGAGAAGAATACAAACAAGCGCCACAAATAATCATAGTCAGCATGATATGAAAATATTTTTAAGTCCAAACTCACCAGATATCATGGAATAATTCCTCATGTCCATCCCATGTTTGGAAAAGAACATCAATTCGTCTGGCCAGGGAGAACCGGACTCGATAATCAGGATCTTGGAGCATCAACAACAACCTTTCAATCAGTGTCTGGTAAAAGAGTTACACCACAGCAACCATTCAACATAAGAATAGATGGAAAGAATAATAGAAAGTTATTCCTGATAATTAAGACAGAGTAAGCATTACAAGAGCAAGCAACTGAACTGAGGTGTCTATTAACATCCAAAAGGTACACTTGCCCAACATAACACCATAAACGCTTGGTAAGGAGCCAATACCATATTAAGCAATGGCACATTTTCACACAATCTTTTTCTTTTTGACAAGAAAATAAAAATTGAAGATATAATAAATTAGTACCTAAAAGACAAGATGGACAAGGGGTCCATTCAAATCAAACACCCAAATTACAACTTAAAACCCAAAACCCACACCAAATTGGACCAAACAGACTCACCTAAACTAAAATGGCAGACCAATCCAAGGAATCCTAATTGACCACCAGTTGAGTTTTTGTAGTTAAATATTACCACATTAAAATTCCCCTGAACACACCATACCTGACACCACATAAGCTCCCCACAACCTCCTATCAACCTGCTCCATCCGAGTTTCCACAAAAACCACTTAGTCAGGACTCAGAAGTTTCTTTCACCCAAAGATCCTTAAAAACCACTCTAACTAAAAAATTTCATTGGGTGAGATCACCAACCAACCTCTTTTATGTCAAGACTACCACAGTTAACCACTTCCAACCATATTCAATTCAACAGTTCCTCCAACTTGTCCCATTGTTTCCCTCTAACAACACTCTGTCCCTCTTCTTTGTCCACCTCCCTAGAAAATTCATCCATATTTCCTGCCTTTAGAGACCCATTATGAACTACTAGGTTACAAACCTTAGATGGTCTAACTCCTGACTCCCTAATGCTGAAAATCTCCCCTTGTGACCCCTGGGAGAAACTCTCATGCCTACGCTACACAAAACCTCAGGACAAATAGGACTTGCAGAACCAGAATTTGTCCCCTGAACCCTTTTATCAGTGATCCCCACCCGGTCCATGTCATCAGGTATTGGACACTTGGTGGACATTTAAAACTTATAATAACAAGCCATCATCACATGTGACACTTGGTGGACATTTAAAACTTATAATAACAACTCATGATCACATGTGAATTCATTTCCCCCTTGTTCTGCAAAATGCTCCAGAGCTTAACCGTAGGTAAATTTGTAATTGAGAAATAAATCACCTGACCAATTTGAGGACTAAGTAAAACAAAATCGCATATGCAATTAATTAGCTTGGCACGTCCAAACCAGTCAAGAAGATCACATTCAGCAACTTTGTTCACCACATCTCCAAGATGCATCAAGTTCTGAGATTTAAAAAATAAAATAAAAAGTTATTCAGTGAAAGAATACAATTAACTCTTGCAACAACCATGGAAAGGAATGATTATCGTGATGATTTCTTCATGCGAGGAGCATAATACACAATACAACAGCATTTGCTTTCTTTTCAGGAAAAATATATAAACAAACAAACAAAAAAGAAATTGACAAGATACGTAGCTAGGAAAAAAAAGTATGAGTTGCTATGCAGGACATGTGCAAACTATAATAAGGTTTTTTTTATGAATTGCATGATTGAAATGCAGTAGCAGATAATTGGCTGCCTGTACAGGGCATGAAGGGAGTAGCTTTCATCAAGATTTGATTTCTGACTTATGCTTCACAAATAGTGTTGTGCTATGTTTATAAATTTATAGATTTTTTATTATCGAAAATGGAAGTCACTTTGTTTTACTTTACTTTCATATAAAGAAAGAGTGCATAAAACTTATGACTATTTTCTGATGCTGCACATATGTATTTATATAAGAAACAAAACCTTATCAGGAGAAAAGCTTAAGTGCATAGGAAGACAATCCACAAATTAAAGGAAAGAAAGCAAGTATCAAACAGTCTTCATTTTTATTGTAAAATCGAGCAAGAAAAGTTTGAAAGTACCTGCTTAGATCCTCTTTGCCCCAATGAGACAATGACAAATTTATCCTTCCTGATAGAGTCCAAGGATGATAAAGTGCCCAGCAAACCACGAATGGCAGATAATATCTTAACACAATCAAGTTTAAGACTGACTTTCATCTTAACCATTTCATTCATTAAACTGACCTGCAAACAAGGCAAGTATAAACCCATGATTAATCAAACTCTATTTTGAAATTAAACCATTAAATACCTAGCCATCTTGTAAATCTGTAACCTAAATTCAGAGGAGTTATTAATTACCATGTCTGTAACATTTTCAGGAGATGACCAGTATGGATGTTGACAAAGACTAAGTAGAATTTTTTCCCGCACCTGAGTTGAAATAAAGAAAAATGAAATCAAAAGGGATGCGATTATTACATGCATGGATTTCAGAATATCAAACATATGTGGAGAAGAGAAGTGTGTGATACCATTTGATCACTTTCTTTCAACAGGAGTTCAAACAGGACATCCCAGGTAACGTGTAAAACTGGGAAAAAATCTGAAATAAGCAATATCATGTCCAGCTTCCATTTCTCTACAGAAGAGGATACCCTACTGGCAATTTTACCACCAACAGTTAATACATCCACATCTCTGGAATCTTCATTAACATCCAACTCCATGTCCACAATCCTACTTTTCTGGCTACCAGAAGGACAAGAATTTTGTATTTGGATATCACATGCTGATAAGTCTTGCAGGGCCACATCATACTTATGACTACTTAAACCATTACCGTAAACTTCATACACCTTAGCCAGTGCTTTTAAAAGCCTCTCCATCAATTGGATGATGGAACCATAAAGTTCAACATCCACATGATTTTGATCTTTCCACCTACTGAAGATAGGGGAGTAAACAAAACTCCTTAAGGAAGCAACAATAGAGCTTGTTCCATTAGAGGCAAAGTCAGAGCCCAAGCAACCAAGAGCCAGAAAATCATTGTGGTTTCCTTGGGTGACATGAACTGCACAGTTGAGCCATTCTAAAAGGTATTGGCCCAATTTTGAAAGGAATGATGAAGCTTCCTCTCTTTGCCTGGAATAAACCAAAGCAGGTATGGTATAAACAAGGTAGAGCATGCAAAGAATGAAAAACAGCCAGCAATATAAAGGTAAAGGTCAGATGTCGATGTCCGCAAAATCTATAAATTCAACCACCATGTGAAATAGTTTCAACTGCAAATTTTTACAGCATGGCATAACAAACACAACATCTGGAATCAGGATCAGTATGTAGACATAAAGGGTATACTGCACAGTGTTGAACATAACATGTCTACAACCCCAGAAGTACACTATGCGGCCCACAAGTGCAACACTGACTCAAATGCAGAAAAAACTCATAAAGACAGCCAGAACATATGCATGTCAAGTCGAGCATCAAATTACAAACGCCTACTAGTGAATAGTGAACTATTTTACTTAGCAAAAGAAGTACTTCGTAAAACATAGATGTCTTCAATAGTAAGAAGATATTTATCCTATTAACAAAGCCAACAACTGATACGAACATGTTACTATCAAATACAAATGTAGACAAGAAGATGAAACAAACCTCGTCAAGACTGAACCATAGATGAAGTTTGACAATAGAGCACATATAAAGAATGCATCAGATAGAGGTCTCTTTCCCATCTCCTTGTCTACTAGAGCTTCAAGAATAAGGGTCTCCATCTCAAAAAGCAGTGGATCCCTTATCTGCGTGGGGAGCCATACACTTGGATGGGTTTGGGAGGGGAAAACCTGAATATGACCATAATGTCTCAAAAAATATATAAATTAATCAATCCCAACAAATGGGGTGCTTATAAAATTATATTCCAGTACCTCAACGCTAGAGCTGGGATCAATATTAGCGAGAACTTCCACAGTGCAGTCAAATAGCCCATGCAGACAATTGTGCTCAGATTCTTCTGGCTATAATCAGGAATGGAAAATCTAGTTTCAGACCAATTGGACGCCAACAAGTACAGTGACATTCAAAATCCAAATGAAAACCAAGGTGAATTAGCACATACCTTCTCTGAAGCCTCAGTAACATCTACAAAAGAGTAAGATAGAGGAAGCTCTTTACAGCATTGAGCAAAAGGAGCACTACCAGCACACAAAGAATAAACAGCTGCAGGTAACAATAACACCAACTGCTCATTAAGCACAGAAGACTCCTGCACAAGAAAAACCAGTTTATAACTTGACAAAAATATGAATTCTAACTACAAATTTTAGCAAGTTGAAAGCATGTGCACTTCAAAGGGGTGAATTAACAGAGGCTCCATGGAATCATATAAGGGAACTTCACACAACTTGGGTTCCATTTCATCATATAAGTGAAAAGCCCCGAGTCAGCTATGATTTTTGTAATAAGGCAAGTGAGATACAAGGCTTCCTTGAATAAACTACCATATTCAAAAATTCCTACAGCTTTAGTTTGTTTCCATAACACCTTCGAGGCATATGACAAACAGTCTCAGTTTCATTATTTTCAACTTTACAGACTCGGCTTAGATAGGTGCCTAGAGGAATCGAATGCCAAACCACAGGCCTCACCATTCAACTAAACCCTTGTTGGTAACAAACAGTCTCAATTGAACAGTGTTCCAATGCATTTTGGAATCAATAACATTCTCATTTCTACAGAGTATAGGAAAAACTTCACTCCGGACCTTCTGGTCATATATCATATGTGAGTAAACACTACCAATTCACACAGGTTCTAACAAAAACAAGATTAATTGAAGAACTAAGAATACCACATATTCAATTAAAATTAAAGTAATAATACCATCCATTTAAGTTGACCCAAAACTGATCTCAGGAGGTTTTTTCTCAGATGTAAAATGTCTCGAACATCACCCTACACAAACATGAGGTTGGTTATATAAGTAGACAAACAAGGCTACAAATATGATGGAACTTAATTTGTCTATCTTGTAATGTTCACTATGATGAAGGCAATTTCAAATGCCTTTCAAGAAACTAGATGAAATACACGGCTTGCATGTTTTACAGGTAGAGGTAATAATGAAACAAATGGTTATATAAGGAGACAAACAAGGCTACAAATCACCCACTTACTTGTGAAACTTTCTTTGAGAAGTAACATGAAATAAAATACAAGACAGACCTGAAATAAAATCATAATCATACAATTAGGCAACCTGCATCACAAGAACAGCATCACATATAGGTCATCATAGTAATTTAATTGATAGGCAATGCATGCACTTACACTGATGGCATTTGTTTAAATAACCTAAGATCCCAAACATCCTGAGGTACAACACATGTGTATATAAGATCCTGGAAAGAGAAAGTGTGAATTAAGAAGACTTTAGAGAAAATTTATACAAGTGACAGTACCTAACTGCATAAAATATTAGAGAACAGTCTGAAGAACACACGTTGTCACACTCACATTTGATATTATGTTTCCAAGGAGCACCATAGCGGCATCTACCTGCACAAAGGCACACAAAATGAACAAAAAGAAAATTCTTGACAGATGTTCAGAAGCTCCAAAAGTAACTTGAGAATATACTATAAACGTCTTGAGATTTTCAACATATTCATTCCCTAATTCCAAAAGATACTATAAACATCTTGTTAGATTTACCTAATTCCATTAAAACTTAGGCTATGTGTGTCTAAATGTGCGCTAAAGGGAATTTCAGAATATAATGAACAGAGTATACTATGAAAAAAAGTTGAGAATAAAGCTACCACGTCCGACACATTTAACAGTTATTGGAACCCAAGTCAATTTTTTTTAAACTTTTTAGTGATGCCAAAAAATAATCCTGTGAGTTAAAAACTAATATAAGCTGATTGGAGCACCTTAAATTTCTTGCAGACAACAGAACAATATAAGGCAAACAGAAAACTTTCCAGAAAAACAAAGGCGAAGATGTACCAGATATGTAATTACAGAACCATGGAGGAGAAACATAGAAATGTATATCCATAACTCAGCTGAAAATACAAATATGTTTGAAGAGAACAGAAAGCCAACTTAATTCAGCTTGATTGGTGGGAGTTGTAAGCTGATTAAAATTTCCTCTAATTTTTTCTGATTTGTGGAGCAAGCATTGATGCATATCTTGGGTGTCTTGTCTTTATACAAGCTTTATTTCAAAAACAAAATTTATAAATGTGTTTCCTATCAAAGAGAAAGAACCGAGACTTACAACTGGAGTTACATTACTGAACAATGGCAACCCCTGCATCAGGCAAGTCCACACAACTTGCCAACCACAATCAAACTGCAAAATATTGTCCAGCAATCCAGTCAATTCAAATACCAATTACAGGAAATAATATTAATGATAGTAGCACTACATAAAGAATAAAGTTGACTCTCTTGACCCCCCACAACCCCGGTGCAGTAAATTTTTAAAAGTGAGACACCACTTAAAGTTGAAATCATTTACCCAGTACTTCTTTAGCCATTTATGTAACGCGCTCCTAGAAAAATTAATTGTAAAGAGGAAACTCCAACCCTATCAGAACCAATTCCATACATATTACTGATATTTGCAGAGTCCCTGAAGAAAGCACTAACAAACTTACGATAGTACAAACCCAGGGTTCATTCAGTTGGACAAAGGATGGATAATCAGATTTCCACTCATCTCAGTTTATGTTACTTTTTCACAATGATTAACTGTAGCTTAAATACCGTAGTTAAAAACAATCTTTCAATTGAACCTCTTGAAAGATGACAGGCTTAAATCTGGAAAGGGGTAACACAAAAAAGAATGAAAAGCTGTAAAAAGAAAACATTGATCTGCAAAAAAAACAAAAATTTTAAAGAAGAAGCACCTCATTCAAGCACGAGGAGCTTGGTGGCTTCTTCAGCTTCGGATCTGAAAGCAACACAGAAGAGAGTTCCTGCAAGCTCCTTCACATGCAAGTAAGTATATAAATATGAGTGCACATGAAGCAAGGGATAAAGAAGTAGAGAGAAGAACGCAAAGGTGTCATCCATATCCTATTTTCCAGTAGATGTTTGTGCAGACATAACAATATTAAACTTAGATTAGCACCATATATGGCACAGTCATATTGAAATGGACCACAGATGTCACACTTTTATCAAACTTATACACACTGGCTATACACTTTAACAAAATTCAACTGAATAGTAGATGTCTTATGGGAAATAAGAGCAGTATACCTCAGGGTCCAGAGCAAACCATCATAAGCATGCACCATATTTGCATCATTCAAAATTCTGCAATATGTTCAATTCCATCAGTACAATAGTGATCAAAACATAAGCAGCTTCACCATTTTATTCAGTGTGCTAACAAGTATACCACAGGTATGGGCCAGAAGTGAAACATTTTACACTTGAGTCAACTCACTGTCCAATAGTAATTGCCTACACAAGCATGCAGGAATACTCAAACTTAAGAAGATATCTAGTCAAGAAACACTTAACTACACAAATGTGCATAGACACTCAACCCAAAAGTGTAATTTGAATTGCATATACACGCAACAACGGCAATTGTTGCCACATAGAGATGCAACTTTCGTTCTAGAGGCAAACAGGATCAAACCTTGATCCAACACAGCCACACATTTCAAGGAGTTTGTATTTTTTTCCCTAAATAATGTGCATATATAGTATACATATATATACTGGATAACAAATATATGGCACAGGATCTAACTTAGAACAAACCAGGTACAAGACTCCAAAGTAGTATAACAACAATTAAAGAGGAGCATTCCAGGTTCCAAATTCATATGTCAAAATTATAAGAACTTGGTTTTCAGTAAAGTTATATTAAAAGAAGTTAAGAGAGAGAGAGAGAGAGAGAGAGAGAGAGAGATCAGAATAAACATTAGTTTGATTAACACTAGATAATGAGACAATTATAACTAACTATAACATGGCATGATGTACCTTTGAAAGCTTGTGCATATGCCCTCGAACCAGTAGATGAAAATATCCTTACTAATACGTGTGTGGTATTTACGAGTCAGAAAACAAAATGAAGCATTCCTGAAATCATTAAACCAGCCCATCATAAGCATCAGTGCCAAACAATAGTTTATCATCCACATTACATTATAGAAAATTGTTTTACACTGAAGGAAGTGCAGTATCATCCACAGATAGAGCCTGTGCACAAGTTACTACACAAAGAAACTAAACTACAGACATAAACAGTCAGCCTAAACTTACCACAACCATTTTCCTTTCATGAGAGCCTCTCTTAAATGGGCAGCAGCATGCTCTCTCTTGACCCGCTTTTCAGTTGATGGTGCTTTAGTCATGTTAGTACAAGCCTGAAGAGTGAAATCGCCTTTTTTATGTTTTTTTTATAGGAAACAAGAACTTCATTGAAAAGGAAAAAGATGAGATGCAAAAAAGGAGATCAGCCATAAACTAGGATCATCAGTCTCAAGAAAGCAAAGGAGAAAAAGTGCAACAAATTTTCTGCTTCTCCAAGTGTTTAAATCAGTTGTTTGAGAAACAAAACTTGCACTCAAGACCTACTCCAACCTCACTCCACCTTAAAACACTTTTTCCAAAATTGAAGCAACATATACAGGAGTGTGGAATTCATAATTCCATACATATTAAGAATTGGAATATTGCCTTAAAGCAAACCGACAAAAACTAGCAGAACTTTGGCAATGTCGACTTAAGCTTTGAAGGATGGAACCCAAAAATAAAAATCCAAATCATTGTAAAGAAATTTGCGAAACCACAGTGAAGATATTAAGATTAGGCAAGTTCCACTATGAGATGAAAGTGGAGTAGTTACCCGATAAAGTACAGCGGCTGCAAGCTCAACCAGACCACAATGTGAGCTACTCAAGGTACCAAACTTGTCATCTTTAGTTGCATCAGTCCTGCACATACAGAAAATTTTACATGATCATCTATTGAAGCCACAAACGTAAGCTTCTATCAGGAATACCATAAGAGGAAAAGTAAAAAAAAAAGTTTATAATAACAAGGAAAAAAAAAGTGGAAAGGAAAAAGAAAAAACCCACCTAGGCACATTAGCATTGGATATATAGCTTTGATCTAGCTCCTTGTAAACTATGTCTAGAAGTTGATGTACCAAAATGCTCCCATCAGTAGCACCTCTAGTAATATTCAGCTGTAACCTTGCATAAAGAATAAGTACATCCTGCAAAAGAAAAAAATACAAATGCAAACACAGTTAGCAATCAGGATACTCAAATACATATAAATAAACTGCCGAATTTCTTTGAAATGCATTAAAAACCTTAAGGGCTCGATCATGGGTTGTCAGCCAATACCGGAACACAAATTGCTGCACGGCATTATGGATCTCCAAGGATTCACAATCCAAATTTGGACCATCTTTAATAAAAAATGTATTGATACACTCAATAAGTTTTCGAGAAATCTTTCCCTCATCCCTGGGCAAGATACAACACGAAAAACAGCATGTACTCCATCATAATGAACATAGAAGGCGAATGTTGAACATTTTAGGCCACATCAACGCAGGAGGTGGGTGAGAAAGAGAGAGAGAGAGAGAGAGTGTTACCTAATGAAACAGAAAATTTTGACAAAACGCTTAACAATGTCTTCCCTGAGATTATGTGGGAAATCTCCAGGCGGATTCTCCAAAAGCGCATGGAGTGTAAGAATGCAGCGAAAGACCTCCTCCTTGGGATGATATTGATTATCATTCTTACCACCCCAGCTGTCCTCTACCAACTTCATGTACTTTTTCACCAGCTCTTATCAATGCAGAATAAGATAATTAAAAAAATGAGCAACAACAGTTTTATATAACATTCAAGAAGAGATATGTATTCGAGGTTATTTCGTCAAAAGAATGACTCACTGCAATAGATGTCCTTCCTCATGTGAAATCGATAATCTCTGACAGCCAATAGATGCCGGAGAACAATCCCATATTCCGATTGAAAGCTTGTGACATTTTTTACAACCTCCCATATATGATTAAAAAGATTTTTAACCACAGGTAACAATGGCAACGGCTTGCCTGAAATGATGATGAAAACAAGCATAGTTAGATGTAAAATGCTTAATCACACTCTCTCTATCACTTCAAAACTTAATCTCTTGGCTCTCTTTAATACCTGAAAAATTATCATCCTCTGCTCGCTGAACCACTACCCGTAGAGTCTTTGCAAATATCAACTTTGGTCGCTTGCTTGAGGATATCTCCAACGAAGTGCACTGAATGAGCATATTAGTGAAAAAAGGCCAGGTTTCAGCTGCAATAACAATAAAAACAGTTTGCGTTCACTTTTTCAATGATTATTTATATAATACGAGAGAAACTGCATTTTTCGTGAATAAATCTTCATCATACACTGAGGAATCTCATCTGGAATAAGCTCTGCAGTGTTCTTTCCAAGATATTTACAGAAACCAATCGATCTTTCTCCTTCTAACCATGTATTCAACAACTTTATCCCTTCCTGTAGATACATCAAAATCTTGATCACACAATGATTTCCGTGAAACAAGAAAATAATACTGTGTTTTTTTTTGGTCAATGAAAGTAATACTGTGTTAAGCAGCAAAGAAAACAACAAAAACGCAAAAGAACCAACAACTCAGTAGTTCATAATCATTCTTAAACACAAAATTTCAGAATGAATTCTCTCATTTGAAGCCTAAAGTTCAGACAGCATTTTGACCTGATTGGTCTCGGATTCCATGTTAAACTTTAGAACAATTAAGCACACATTAAGCTTCTCCGTTATCATAATTACACAGAATAGACGTACATGGATCCTCTTGGTCACCAATAAATTTCCAAGTTCGCATTCCATAAACAGAAACACCTACTTACCAAAAAGCGCTACTATAGCGATTAGGGTTAAGGTTATACAGTACTTCACAATCCTGAAATTATTTATTATCAGTTTAATAATTTCATTTTATTTTCGTAGTATTGCATTTTCCAGGCGACCAAACGGAGGGGAAAGAAATATCGGTGAGAGAGTAGGAGATAAATACTTCTCGTGTCCTGGCTTTATCGGACGAGAGCTTTAAGACAATCTCTTCGACGTCTCTGGAAATCACCATCGGAAACCACCGGAGCTCCGATTACGAACCCGGCGATCTCTCAGCGCGAGAGACTCGAGCTAGGTTTCGTTTCCTAATGGCAGTGGGTATTTGGGACGGAAAAAATGGCGGGAAAATGAAGGAGGAAGTGGTAGAGACGAGAGAGTGGGGTTTCTGAGTGTGACTTTTGGCAAGGTTTTGTTTAGCTCAAGTGTTTTAGACAGCAAAGGTTTGTATTTGCTGATGTTAATATGCCAGAGGTCCAAAGGTCCAAAAGGTCGTCAAACCCAAATAGGAAAGACGATGACTGAAAATTTTCTTTCTTTTATCTCTTTTTTTCCTTCAGGTTGGGTCCACCACCCCCATTATATTTCCACGACATGTCGTTCGTTTAGTTTTAATGCAACTCACACGATATGTCGTCCGTCTCCCAAAAAGAGTGGAAGTAGTCCCTGCAGCTCTTACGCCTCGCTTGGCCCATGTCTCTTACACATGCGTTGGGCTTCATAAATCCACAACTCTGTATCCTTGCAATCTCTATTTGTCTTTCTAGTAAGGCTTATGTACTGTTTTAGCCTTTGGAACTCTGAGCTCAGTCTCACTTAACTCCTTTGAACTGAAATTTCCGCACTTAATCTCCTATTCTGTCTAAAAATTACCCACTCCACTCAACGTTGTCCCATTGACCCGATAAATGAGCTTGTGTGGCAAGGAAAGTGGGCCAATTCACACATGTGATGATGCTGATGTGGCGATGGGCGAGTGTTGTCTCAAAGAGGGGAACTAAAAGAGGTTATTTGTCGATTAGGGTTTAAAATAGTTGGGGATTTTGGGATTTAGGCAGAGGAAAATGGTGCGACAACAAACGCAAAAATTGTTTTGACACACAAAAATTGAAGAAAATACATTGGATGATGGGTTTAAGTGATTTAAGTTGAGTACGGTGCGAGCTGACAATGCAATAACTTAAAAAATGAATAGTATGAGTAATAAAAAAAGGTTTATATACTATTATGTAGGTTAAGAATAACACATGTAGAGTAACAAATGTAAAGATACATGACAATAATAAATAAGAGGAATTTATATAATATATGTATAAATTTACAAAATTCTATTAGCGATATAATTTACAAAATTACTTGAGATGAGTGGTGATAAATTGGCGATATGGAGATATATCAGCGATATATTGCCCAAAGTCAACTTGTGAATGATAGAAATTATCTTCTTGATATTAACACCGAAAAATCGAAATTTATAAGATAAATGCATGGAATATTGCCAAAATATCGGGGCTTCAAAAAAACTATTATATCGCCAAAATATTGGCGATATTATTAAAATTTTAGACTATAATTGGAATTGATTCATTTTGTATGTATTTTGAGACATTATGATCATATTAGTGGGGAGGTTCTACAATGAGGGGCCTATGCTAAGAGTATAATTAAGAGTTCTATTCGGTTATTAATACTTTTTAGGAGGGGGTTGTCCTCCTCCTTTTTCACTCTACAATTGATCTTCCTACGTTGGTCTCTTCCCCAAATCAAAGTTCTTCTTCCCCTTTTAGTTTTTCACTTGAAGAGCCCGAATGATATTAACAACAATGAATAACTAAATCACCACAAATCATCTCATGAACAACACAACATGCTCAAACTCTTCGTCGACAATGAAGGCGAAATTGGCCCCGACCATCTCACGGAATTAGCCATCTTTGATGAATCTTATCAAGCTCTCGATATAGTGGACTTGGATTTATTGTAATTGGATTGTTATTAATAATTATCTTTTCTTTTTAATTAGTGCTGCTCTTAGCTTAATTATCTTGAGTTAGTTGGGCAGTACCAACCGCCAAGGTTGAAAGATTTGTTAATAGTTCATTATTTTTGTACTGTTAAAACATCTTATAATTGTTATCATTAATTTTGTTACATAAGCCACACATGAATGTAACATATGAGCTGGTCACAATTTGGTCACTTTCAACCAGTAACTGATAGATCAACCTTATTCTTCCTACCAAGAGCATTAACTTCAAGAAATCATACATCAATCTGACTTACAAATTAATATATGAGCTGGTCACAATTTGGGTGTCATGATCAAATATCATCATGTTTTGGTTTAATGGAAATCAATCGTGTTAAATATTTTTATGGTACATGTTTCATGAGATTGATTGATCCATTTTATGTCTTGTAAACTAACAAAATTGGTCTGCTAAAAGAACAATAAAGGCTAAACAAAGGTTAAAGTTTTCAAACTTGGTTGTTAAGAGTTGCCCCATTTTCGAGAGAGTTGTGGATTTATCAAGTCCAATGCATGTGGAAGATACATGGGCCCAAGCGAGGTGTAAGAGCTGCGGGGACTACTTCCGCTCTCAATTGTCGGTCCCCGAACCAAGTTTGGTGGGGACTTCCCTGGGGCCACTAGCTTCCCTTAAGTCATCACAACCGTTGCTTCCTTCAATGCCTCTATGTAGGAAGCCATCGGACGGGTGAGAGATTTTTTCTTTTTTGCTTTCCTCTTTCAATTACTTTTATCATTTCCTAGGTTCGTCCTCCTAGCTATAAATTTAAGGCTTCAGTACTGTAATTGAAGTTGGCTTCTTTTTGTTATGATAAACATAAGACTTTTTTTTAATTAGTATGCCGGTTATGTTGTCACGTGAGCTTGATATTTATGAACTTAAGTTACTTATAATATTATTAAATAAATACATGTATTATAATATAAATAAATTATTGAATTATATATAATGTGACGGTCATATCAAACAAATTAAGTGAGTAAGTAAAAATATATTCTATTAGATGGAAATTTGATTATTGTGAGTTTCACTAATCGAATAGTTAGTTAATAGCATATTAGTGGCTTGCACAAGGCGTTATGAGTATTTGGTATATGCATAATGCATTGGTTGGTTATTAAAACGTTATCAAGAATTCAATAGTGACATCCCACATAAAACAAAGAAATATACACTTTAATTAGAGAATATTGTTCCGCTTCCCATAATGAAATATTGGAAAGTTACTTTAATTACGATTAGTTTGATAAAATGAATGAATTGGATATTATTGGAGGTTGAGATTAGGATTAATAAATGGGCCGGGCCAGACTAGTTTGGCCCAAATGTCATGAGTTTGAGTTGGAATTGGGCCGATTTTCAAAGAAAAGAAAGAAAACAATGGACCATACCAGATTGGGCTTCTTCAAACAATTCAAAATCTAGACCCATCCCAACTGGCCTGGCCGGGCCGGGCCCAATAGGCCTACTTTGTTTTTAATTTTTCTTTGTTTCTTTGTTTAACTATCTTTTTTGTATGATATTGAAATACAGATGCATGTTAATCTTTATATCAATAGTGCGAAGAAGCTAGATCGCATGACCATCCTCAAGTATCGCACAATAATTACTCATTTACAACGTGAATCATAAATAAGAATTGTCAAACAAAACTCGCCAACAAGAATAACATACTTCCCATCTCTTACTTTACCATTTAAGTTAAGGATAAAATTTCAACTCAACTTGAGTTATTATTGCTTGTATATATGAATGTAACTAGTAAGGAATTGTGGCACAAGATGATCGATTGGGCGGTGGATGTGACAAACATCACAACTGACTTGGTGTCAGGTTAACTTAACTTCCCCTTGACCATAATTTCAAAATGTAAAGGATAATTCAATAAGCCAAACCAAATGGTCATTTTCATCATTATCACTTCAATTAATACACATAAGCATTGTTTTCGATTGGCTCATCTCCTCTGCGCCAAGATCGTTTCTGATAGCTGCTAATCTTGCCAGGCTTTGGCTGAAAATGAATTAATACAAAATCCTTTTTCAAAATGTAAGCCAAAACAAATGGTCATCTTCATCATTATCACTTCAATACACAGAAGCATTGTTTTCGATTGGCTCATCTCCTATGCGGCAAGATCGTTTCTGATAGCTGCTGATCTTGCTAGGCTTTGGCTGAAAACGAATTAATACAAAATCCTTTTTTCAGCACATCATATTTTCACTTCACTCACCAAATGCCCAAAACAAAAACCAATGGCAAGAAAGTAAAAACAGAGAAGAAAGCAATTTTTTTTTCCCTTTTCTGCAGTTAAAAGGGAAGAGATAAAAGAAAAGGAAGCAAGTTTTGTCGCATAAAAATGGATGGATTGCATTAGAGGTGTCAAACGGGCTGTGCCGGGACGGCCCGTCCCATTTAAACTCTTGCTTCTAACATTTTCGTGTTGTGTCGGGCCGACCCATTTAGTAAAATCATTGATCTCAGCCTAGCCCAAAGCCCATGTCCACATTGAAATGGGCCGGTTTGTGCTCGTGCTCGTGCCATACTCGGGCCCAAGAACCAACTCATTTAATTTGAAGTTTTTTCACTTGATTTATTTTTTTCACTTGATAATTCAAATTATAAACATTAAAAATATAATTAGAGGCAAGAAATGATGAATTATTTGAAAACATTAATCAATCAAACATCAAAACAATATAACAGGCGGAGGGCAAAAAGTGTACAACTCCACTTCAACTTTTCATTTTTAAACAACTTATTATTTTATATGTGAAGAAATGTCTTACTTTGATTATAAGAGGAGCTTATATGTCATATGTACTGATTAGATATCAAGTCCAATGTTGTTAAATTAATTTGTAGTTGATATGTTTAATTAATTAAGGATCCAAGAAATTTCCCTAAAATGAAAGACATCAAATATATGTTTATGATTATAAAAATATAAAAAAACCATATAAACAATGATATTAGATGTCAAATTTTTGCATTTTGACATTTGAGAAAGAAAAAAAAAGTTAAGTGGGCTGTGCTTGGGCCATGCTTAAAGCGGGCTTGGGCTCGTGCCGTGCTTGAAGCGGGCTCGGGCCGTGGGCCAGTCCGGTCCATTGGACCTCATTTTTTATCTCGGCTTGGCCCAAGTTTTCATATCGTGCCAAGCACGGCCCATTACTATTCGTGCTCGTGCCGTGCCGTGCCTCAT